GGATGGGACGAGATGAAATCATCGACAGAAGCATTTCCTTTCAACTCACAACTCGGCGGAGGACGCCATCATTTCCCACCACCCACACGCGGCATCTGTTCCAAACATTGTGAAAATTATTTCTCTGTGTAAAGGAAAGGCACGGCACGGCACGGCAAGCGCAAGAACGAACGACTAGGCACTGAGCGAGCTGCAGTGAGCCTCGATGTTGAGATAGATACTCAGGGCTGTTTGAAACAAGCACATCTCGGGCGCTCACGTCACAGTGCTAATGTCACTACTCCAGATTCAGGAATTCCCGATTGCTCTTCACCACGATGTGCAGCGAACGCCACTGCTCCCAATGCTGCGGAAGGAAGCACAGAGCAGCTCATTGGATATGTATGTATGCCCTCATTGGGGGCGTACATTGCACTGCATTGCACTGCTCTGTTCTGACGACGAGCATGACGAGTATCATGGCAAGCGCGTCCACAGGCTCGGATGGGAGACGGGTAAGGGTAGCGTTCTGAAAAGGTCTAAGACAGGATGGTGCATTTCACGCAGCTGTATCACGGGGCCAGAGGAGGAACGTCGAGCATAACGGAAGGGATCTGGCTGGGAGGCATAGCTAAATTTTGGACCATTTAAGGGTCAGGATGGGGAGTGTGTGATAGCAGTGCGCTGGGAGGCACGAGAAAGAAGAGGGGACAGCCGAAACAGAATTTCGAGCCAGCTATAGCTGGTCAAATTTGAGCTCTCTTGTGCGGTTGCGGTTGGAGGACTGATGTACTGAGAGTAGGGGTATCTAGTTGCTGGATGTGTCTGGGTCTGCAGGACACGACGAGAAGTCACCAGAGTGGTTGATAGCGGGCGAGGACTTGGGGGCAGATGTCGGCATGAAGCTTTCGAGCAGGAACGGCGTGGCCTATTACTCATAGAACAAGCTACATATAATGGGAGTGATTGATAGTTCGACAAAATAGTCATTTTCATTGATGGATTCAATAAGAAGCTATAACGATAGTGGTAGAAACATCAAAGATACATGGGAAAGTCGTTTAGGCCAAGCAACGTGAATGAAAGTATTATGTTGCCTGTCCAATCCTGCGCCAAAGAAAAGACAAGTGAGAAGTGAAGTGAATTGTTGAGGAGAGACTGTGACAAAAATGCAATGACTGTTGACATCTGATAGTGTTGGTACTGTTCTCAGGATCCATCGTGCTGGTACCGTTGTTGAAGCATTGTCGTGTAGTGAAAAAAAAAAGCAAAAACTGAGCAGAGAGGCGGTAAAGAGTGTGTGAATCCTTCTGCAAGGTGTTCTTGCCTGATTGGGTCAGAAGGATGATTGTGAAAAGATAGTAGTGCTGGTGGAGAACCGGAATGGGCTTCGTTGGAGCATGGTAAGCGAGCCAAAGTGTCGGATAGACTGTTTGGGCAGCAAGATATTTGCGAGATGCGTACTTGCAGGAATCGCTCGATGATTGGTCGTAAGGTTTGCTGGAGCGGTCAAATGAGGTGAAGTGCAGTTCGGGTGGAGTATCAGACCTGACCTGAAGGCTGAGTCTCAGGGGTTGCGAGCCTCGTTGTCATCCTAAGCTTGCGGATGGCTCACTCCTGTGCAGCGAGCTACGCATTTGACATGCTCACATCTGAGACACTTTTCGGGACATAGAGCTGGGTTATTTGCGTATTTACATTTACAACATCTCCACCAGCCGGTCATGTCAGCTCGAGCACGAAGTCGAAGGGATGTCTTGGACCTTCCTCCTTGGGGCCCAGGGTTGAATGAGCTTTTGACATCATCCATGTATAAAACCTTGCCCTCATCGGGGTTGCCATTGAGTGGACATGCCGAGCCACAGTTCAAATTATAGTAGTCCAGTTGTGCCTTTTTGGGCTTGACCGGAGGCGGAATCTTGTTGTCTCGCCGGCAGCATGGACAACAGCGATGCGCACAACTTGCACAAACAGTGCCATTCGCTATAAGCTGCGGTCCTGCTTGGCAAGAGCAGCACTCCCATTGAGGCCTCCGAGGCATGTTGAGGTTCTGAGAGAGTGCGTGTCTCTGTTCGTAGATGAGTAAATGAAAGAGGTAGGTGGAGCTTAAAAAAAGGAATGAGGTGCGTCTTGAGATGGTCTTGTGATTGTCGTAGTGGGAGTGGATTCCACCGTAAGTTCTTGAGGAGTAGTACTCGGAAAATTCAAAGGCAGAAGCAGAATTGACAAAGTCAAGGAGCGACGTGAAATGAAGAGGAAAGAAATTGACCGACTTGATAGACAACAGTATGAGCAATGTAGCGCAGAGACGAAATCAAGATGAATTTATAATTTGGAAGCTATTGCTCGTCTTCAGCACAAATCCAACCTACCGTGGCATTGAGCTTGCCCGAGTGAAGCGACACCCCACTGAGTTCAAATTACCATTCATCCAAAGGACTGAAGACTGTAGACTTCAATATGCCAGTCAGTGGAGGCTTGACTAGGAGTCAGCAATAAAACGCTCAAGGCGGGACATTGCCTTCTGGCATGGTTGGAGATGCCGTTGGTCATTGCGAATAGTCTTAAAGAATAATCATTCAGGCTTTGGGGCAAGAACCTTCACTCAGCCACGCTCTCCAACCTTGGAGGTACCATTCTTGTATCAGGACCTCCGAGCAAGGTGTTTGATAGGTATGCCTCAGTCTTAAGAGACGTCAATATTCGATCCTGGGGGTACTCCTAGGACGGGCTATGCAGGACGGTCGCCGCCTCCTCGGTCAAAATGTACGTATTGCACGTGGCAGGTGCAGAACTCAGCAGGAGGCAGACCTATAGGGCTTTGTGCCGTACACGTGGATGCCAGGCTCGAGGAGTCAGTTGTGGGGATTTTCAGGCAGAAAGTACATTTAAGTGTACAGCCCACTGCGCCTTATCTGAGGATTCAGAAGCAGGCAAGGCCACGGTTCCAACGCCGAGAGAGGGCATCAGACTTGGCGCGAGTGGATAAACCGCTGACTGTGCTGTTAGTTTTAAGTATGCGGGTGTCGGGCAACCCTCCAGGTTGCAAGAAGCATGCGACAGAGTGTCAAGAACTGCCAGGTGTTCGTTTGTGGACAGATCATAAGTATATTGTTCTTTCCATTTGTGCGGAAAAGTGTCTGGAAATGCCCTCGAAGAGGTAGCAAAAGTTCGGGACCAAGGGTGTAGTTAAAACGGCTTCAGTAGGCAACGAACTGAGCGGGGTGACCGATCCTCTGGGACTCATCGGTCGGACTGGCCGGATCCAGCAGGGAATTGTGCTGTGGACCACGGTATCTGTGCCCGGAGACCATGATCACGAGGGAACGAGATCATGTGGTTTGCTGTAATAGAGGGATGAAGTCTTCTGGGACCTCGGGAATTTGAGGATGATTCATCCAAGCCAAGGGTACATAGGCGCGGGTCTGATAAGCGACTCGAGCTGTTTCGATCATCAGGCGCTGAGGGTGTACAGCAGCACAGAATGAAGTGCTGGTCTCGTTTGCCAGGTTTCCACACGGAGCCAGGCAACCTGAATAACGCGTGGGGTGTGCTGCGGGTTGGACTGGATAAAGTCGCCCGGGCGGAGATGACTGTCGCATTGACATAGTCGGCAAGTGCTGTTCGAGTCTTGGGCGTGGTTGCCGGCACGAAGCTAACTTAGTGGATGCCTTGTTGTCAGCCTGATGCTAATGAGCTTGTGGCAGTCACGAGTCACAACAGGCAAGCGGAACATGATGCCGACCGAGAACTTGAACTTGAAGAAGCAGGTGAAGAGGGATGGAACTCTAGAGTCTCGACGGGTGGTGGACGTTGAAAGATGGGAAATTATGTTGGGCATCAACTGGATTGATCGGCGGAGCTCTGGTTAGAATATGGGAAAGGAGGAGATACTGTTAGGTCGGGCAGTAATCGGCGGTAGTACAGTAGAGGTGGTAAGAAACCATCCACCATCGTCTAGTCTGGACAAGGCAACCTTGTTCATAATATTGAGGAGAGTGATTGAAGTCAAAACGCCCGACTTAAGTATCAAAGAATGCTTGGGTGTGGCACGGGATTATGAGGGAGTGATACGAGACTTGAGAGATGATGTTGAGAAATAAGACCCTCTCCTTGGTAGATATCTTGGCCGTGGAAGAGGTTCAGTGATGGACCGTAACGGTTTCGGTTAGAGTTAGAAGGTAACCAGTAAATCCACCTGAAGAGCCACGTCACGGAAGAGCCGCTAAAAGAATGCGAAGAAAGATGACGTCGCGTCTGACTCAAGGGAGTAGAGGGAAGGGAGCCTGGAGGATTCGGAGTTTTAAAGGCGGGCTTCAGGCTTTGGTTTAACTAGAAGGAATCACCCGCGGAACTAAACAAGGCTTAGAACCAGGCTCCTCGGGCTGGAGCCCAAGCTGTGGCTCCCCGCTTGGATACCTATAATGGAGTACATCGTACGGTTTAAGTGGGCTTGACCCGTTCACTGGCATTGCAGTGGTCAGTGTCCATCACTGCTGTCAACGCTCAACGCCTGTCGCCGTGTTACCAGGACAAAAGATGAAATAATTTATCGAGTCTCGAGTCTCATCTGTTTATATAACCGACTTCATTCCCCCCTGCCATTGACCACTCATGACAACCAAAACGTCTTGCATGTATGAATCATTCCACATTCCACTCCGTTTTTATGCTCAATTTCTGCACCGCACAAACGTCGAATCCCCCCTCGCCTATTGCTAACTAAACAAGAACTTAACTACCTTGGTTAGCCTAACCACCAGCCCGAGCCCGAGAGACTCTATCCTCTCTGCGCCCCTCCCAGTCGCCCCTCATAATTCCTCCCTCCTACCCACTTGACTGATCATCATCATCACCACCACCACCACACTACCACTTCCCTATTTATTTCTTACCCTCTCTTCCACTGCAGTGGCCACCCCTTATAGACCGACACGATCCATTGACTTGTTGGACCACTTCATGTCGTAAAACACAGCACTACCTTTGTCAACATCACTACGACCACCCACTCTTCCACCATGGGTGAGAACCGCTATCGCCCGGCCTCCCCTCAACGCCGGTATGGCGACCCTCGTGCCTCCACTGGCATGGTCTTCTCAACATCCTTTGATGGCACCAATGCTCGATATGCTTCTCAACCTCGTACTGCCGTCGATTCCTTTCCAGTCGCTCGCCATGGAAGTTTATATACAACCCAACCAGTAAGAAAGACTTTTCTCGACGATTCCCACCCAGGCGGTTCCATTACAAGAACAGAATACAGTGTGCGTCCGAGGAACAATTCCAGTGTTACCGAACAGCGCCGCCCTATGTCTACCTATGTCCCTAGACCGTCAAACTCGCCTCCACGCATTCGGCCTACAGTCGTGTCGTCTACGCGAGACGACCCAAGACCTCCTCATGTTGTCCCGGTACGAGAGGAACGATACCTAGTTCCCGCCTCAGGCCAACCACGACATCACCAGCGCCATTCTTCTGCGACTCGTGCTGACCAGGATAGACTTGGTCCACTCAGAATCCCTAGGCAACCAGAGTACCATCGAGGAGGTGGTTATAACGCAACTCCCACATATGCATCCCACAATGGTCCTCTAAAAGATGAAGACTTCTCCTACACGACTCCCAAAGAACAATTTCTTCAAGAATCCTCCTCCGCCATCCCTCAACGCCGGGAGAGCTATAGTCGGCGAGAGCGGCCAATCAGTATGATCGGTATCGTTCCCGAATACAGAATTCCACAAGGGAGGAGAGACATGGGTCCCCCTCCATCCTCCGCACGCATCCTGGAGAGAATCGATAGACCAGACCCTTATAGGTCAGCGGGCACCCGAGGTACTGATAGTGACACGGATCGCGAGCGTGGTAATGATGTCCCAGTTCGCCGACACTCGACTCGTGCCCCTGTCCTACATCAATATCGAGAAGACCGGAATGGTGGTCGTTCGTCGCCAAAGGATGATCGTGAAATGCGACCTCCTCCTCGCCCACGTAATGATCGCTACGACGATGAAGATCGTGTTGCCAAGCCTAGACACAGGGACGATCGAGAAAGAGAACCACCTCCAACTCGTGACAATGATCGGCCTCGCGAACGAGATCGAGAGCGTGATAGAGACCGAGATCGAGACAGGGACAGAGACAGGGACAGAGATCGGGACCGAGACCGAGAACGAGACCCCGACCGAGAACGTGAGAGGCCACGAGACCTTGAGAAGAATGGCAAATTTCCAGAAGAACGACGCAAACCTCGGAGTAGGGATCCCAGTCCAGAACATTCTGGGATACGGAAAGGAGTGGCTGCCGCTGCCGGACTGGCGGCTGCAGGTGGCATTGCTAGCCTAGCATCAAAAGCTCACAATGGTCGTGAGGAGTCTGATAGCGATGACCGCAAAGAGAGAAAGCACCGGAGACGACACAATCATCGAGACGATCCTGAAACCGAGGAACTTGCCGGTCGTGTCGAGAGAGACATCAACATCAATGGCGAAAGACCATCGCATGACCATCGTAGAGGAGAGCCGAAGCCCGACGACCCAGCGGAGAATGAAGAACGCCGGGAACGGAGAAAGCATCATCGTAAACATAGAGACAAGCAGGGACGAGGAGAGGAATCTGATACCACTGAAGATTCCATCGAGAAGACTTCACGTCACCGGGGTCATGAGAGAGAACGAGAGGCTGAGCTTCGGGAGCCCGCTCGACCACGTCGTGAAAGAGATCCTTCACGTGAAGATGAACGAGCTCCACCTGAACCCCAACAGCAACGTACAATGTCACCCGGTGAAGATGAAGACGCTCGACCCCGGCGGGTACAATTGGTGGAGCCTGTTGAGAAAAAGGAGGAGTTCAAACCCAAGGGTATCCTCAAAAAACCTCGAGCTGTGCCATTCCCAGAAGATCCCAATCCTCAACGAGAAGGTGTTGCACCTCTTAAGGATGCTGGCAAAGAAGGTATCCCTCCTAATGCCAGATGGACCAAAATCAGTCGTGCCCTCGTCAACCCAGAAGCTCTAGAAAAGTCCCATGAAAGATTTGAAGAAAGGGACGACTACGTCATAGTGCTACGTGTGGTCACCAGAGAAGAGATCATGAAATTCGCAGAGAAGACAAAAGAAATCAGAGGTATTTATTTCACATTGTCCTGACCAACATTCCACTAACTATATGAACCAGAAACCCGAGAACGCGAGTGGCAGGCTGAATTGGAGCAGAAGCGTCACCATGGCTACAGCGACAGCAGTGATGATGAAGGCCCGATCAGTGTTCCACGGATCGAACCCGCTCCACTGAACCAACAAGATTTCCGAGTACAACTCCAGCAGCAGCAGCAACAGCAGCAATCTGTCCCCGTGAGAGTCGAGCAACCCATAGGAGTGCCAGGCACAATACCACCCATTACCGCTCCGCCTCCCCCTGCTGGAGGCTTTGGACCAGGCGCTGGCATTCAAACTCAACCACTCGCACCAGTCCAGCAGCCACCACAGCAACCGTCTGCGGCACCCATACCACAAATCCAGGTTGAGCCTGTTCCGGCGAGCTATTCAACCAATGTGTGAAAAAAAATCATCCTTTGATCCATACGTTTATTAGCCTGATTTTGAGAATGTATCTTTTGTGAGCGTTCTATTTGTTTTTGGGAAAGAGAAGATCGAGAAGAAGCATGCATGCATGCATTGGAAAGATGAGAAGATAATGACTAGCGTGGAGCGGAGCACTGTGGTTGCCACGACCATTGTTCGATTTGAGAGCGTGCATATATATCCAAGCAAGCATAATCATGACGGGCGAAAGATGACGAATAGAGCGAAGAAGGCATGGTGTCGCGAGAACTTGATTGATCGAGCACATGGCGGAACGTCAACTTCAGGCTGCATGATGTTGATGTTGCTTCATTGACCTGTCTATCTAGCAGGGTTGCTAAGCATGTCTGCGGACGACGATTACGCATAGTATCGTATGGTGCACGTGTGCCATCTGTCTGTCTCCTGTACATCAATCACTACACGGGAACGGGATGAAGATGATGGAAACGACGAGGGAAAAATGATTAAATATTGAAGATGTGCATACTCTGTGAGAATAGACCTAGCTAGTTAGATGTCCACCAACTACCTAGGTATGTATCTAGGCACCCACTAGGTATTCTATCGGCCCGAGGCCTTTCCATTGCCCAGGTGCCCATACCTGGAGACTACTGCAACTATCATCGGTCTCTTCAGAGTCTTGTGTTCTGTCTATTCCATCATCTTCACCATCACCCTCATTTCTTCTGGCCCTGGTCCTCCTCCGCTGAGCTGTGTCTCTGTACTCTCTTCCAACCCAGCGCTTTGCAGGTCGTACGGCGTCGCGGGCACCATGATCAAGTAACATCCTTATCATCGAATCGTGACCATGAGAAGATGCAACCTCGAGCGCCGTGCCACGACACCCTCCTTGGTAATTCACATCGGCACCATGATCGAGTAGAATCTTCACACAGCCTACAGATCCGAGAGCACATGCAGCCATTAGCGCGGTGCCATAAACGCTCCCTTCAATATCCACATCGGCACCGTGCTTGAGCAGACTCCGCACTACCCTTTCGGAACTTTCGATGCATGCAGCTATAAGCGCAGTACCATACTCGCCTCCTGAAGCATTGATTTCGGCCCCATGGTGGAGGAGGATTTGCACTACCTCCTCATGTCCAAAACCGGATGCGGCTTGCAGGGCGTTCCCATATACATCCCTCGACGCGTTGACATCTGCTCCATTTTCGATGAGAATTTGCACTATCTTGGTGTGGCCTTCTTGACATGCTATCTGCAGCGCGGTGCCAGATGAATCTGAGCAACTGTCGATGGCAGCTCCGTGTTCGAGCAATGTCCGCACTATGTTTTCGTGACCCTGCTGAGACGCCCAGAATAGCGCCGTACAACCTCTGCGATCAACTTCGTTCACGTCGATAATTTCATCGTTCAACAGCTGTGTCACAACTGGGAAATGATTGCTGAATACAGCAATTTGGAGTCTGTTCAACAAGGGAGGTCTAAGGTTAAAACATATCCGTGAAAAGCTGACTCTTGCATAAAACTCTGACGACCACCACCAAAACAGGTAGGGGTCGTCGTAGAGCTTGCAAATATTTTCGAGTAGATGGCTGTCTTTCCACAAAGCCGCATCACGGAGATGGCTTGGCCAGTGCGCTTGCGCATAAAGGAGAAAAGCGGTTGTGCCTTGAGCGTCATCATCAGGCTCTTCAAGGGGGATATTCTGATAATACTTGCGGTTAAAACTGACTAGGCACAGACCCTCGATACATATCCGTGCCATTGCCAGTTCTATCTCACCAGGGTCAAATGAATGTTTCCAGAGGGGGGTTTGAGCAATGACAACATCAGGGTTCCTGATCAAAAACTCCCTTGCGGTTTGGTGGACGAGGTAGATTTTGGATTTGTCTATGACAACAAAGAGCCCGCACCATTCGCGGATATTCTTACGGAGATGGAGTTTGTCAACAGCCACCTCCTCAATAGACGTTGGGTTTCCCGAAGTGGCAATTCCTAGTGCTTGAGACATTTCAGTAACGCTCAGTGGACGTCGAGCACCGAGGATAATTTGTAAGACTATTCTCACCACGCTCTGTTGCTGCTTTTTGACTCTGCTGAGGATTTTTTTCGTAGGCGTCTTCCACGGATGAAGGAAGTGATTTGAGTAAGGATTCAATCAACCTTTCGTCAGGCCGGAGACTGTCTCGACATGCTTCGTATATACCATCGATGGCAAGCGATAACCATAGGTACGTACGATGTTCCATGCCGAGAAGCTTTTCCTCCAAGTGATGCTGCATCCCTTTCCAGAGGGGAATATCTTCAACCAAACTGGCCACTTTTGTGTGAATGACAGAGTTGATCTCCTGGCGGATCTGGTCAGATTCATCTTCGCCTCGCAGTCGTATTGTTGGCAATGATACTAGGGATGACTCTAGAGCAGACTGAAAATTTCTCTGGATCATGTCATAAGGACGACTTGTGACGAGGAATTTCAACCAGGGGCGACGAGGACTTGGATGTGACGAACAGCTGTAGAACTCGCCTAGCTTTTTTATCAGTCGGACCAGGTCAGCCTCCCGGCACTCGTCAAGAGCGTCAAGCACACAGGTAACGTCATGCGACTTTGTATCTCGCACAGCTGCCATCAATATGCGCCACATTTCCTCCACCTCTTGCATCAATTTTGGACCGTTTTGCACCCAGGCAGGCATTGCGTGCTCAAGAAGGTGTGGCTGACTCGCGAAAAGTTGATGGAGTATAGCGGATAGCGCCAGCGGAAGGCTGTTCTGTTTTTCATTATCTTTGAAGAAAAAATAACAGAGCGTTTGGCTGCCAGTTGACCGCAATTCATGATCAATCAATGACTTTGCAAGCACTGATTTGCCGCAACCTGGATGAGCTGATATCCACAATAAGTCGTCTCTGTCATTTTGTGCCCACCTCTTATATGTTGAGTCTTCGAGCACCCAGACACACGTATTTGGAGCTCGATCAGGATTGAAGTTCTTCTCCTCCCCATAGGGGCTTGACTTGAAGGCTCGTAAGCATTCTGCTCTGCGATCTTTCTCGGAATCTGTTAATGGGGCAAATCGAGAATCTACCACAGGTTCAAATGGTTAGCAAAGAGATCATATTGAATCAAACGGTATCTTTAGTGGCTTGCTAGTACCTAGCCACGGTTTGAAAGGGTCGTTTTCTCATCCTTCAAGAGATGACAACAGCAGCTTGGTCACTTCGGTCAACATCATCATAGATTTGAAAGTGAGAATGACATATGAAAACATATGGTGAGGTCTTGAGCCACGACTAGTTATCACACAACATAGAAATCTTATCACGAACCTAAATCTTCCTGGTTCCGTCTTTCCTGAGACGGATTTTCTGTTGAAATGTAGAGAAGCAGCTCTTTAGTATACGCGGCTGCAGTTGCAGCTGCATATTCGTGCCAAAGATTATTCTTGTGAGAGTCCGCGTAGTCGCATATTCCCCTTATGACGAGGCAGGGGAAATTGTTCATCAGGCCGGCGGCTTCCATCTCAACGCACAAGGCATTGTAAGTGTAACGAAGGTTGTCCCTAAAGGCGGCATCCTTGACCACCACATTCCCCGATGCGATAATGCCGTAGTGTATGAGTGGATTGGTCTCAGTGCGCGCTTCTCGGGGAATTTGTTGAGTAGTATCGCACTGATCGCAGCTAGCACAATCTGAGGAATGGGGGTGCATTACGCCGAAAAGCTTGTCATGTTTGGTGCCTGGATAGGTATAGAAATCTTTTGGTAATGCAGGACATCGTCTAGGCATTTCAGAGAGGTATCTTGGTATCAGACTGCCATTGGATTGGTGAACTGTTTGCAGGGACCGGACTGCAGTCAGGAGTTCTGTCGGAGGTGCATTCAGAATTCCTTTGCGTGTGAACCCGCCTCCATCGATACGTTTACCTTTGTCGTACTGAACGACTCCGCCGCTCGTTGAATCAGGCTGACTAACTACAACGTCTCCTAGTCGAATGTCGATCCCGCCTTGCAAATGGGGGATCCCTCCCCCTATGCCAACAAGTAGCATGAATCGCAGATTGGTGAATGTTCTTGCCATATGGTTTCCAGCTGTCGCCGCTGCTACAAGTCCGTCAACCCCTGCGGGTAAGCATGTGATGACCACGTCGTGGCCATGTATGCGTCCAGCAAGGTAGATGTTGGTGTCTCGGCCTGTCCCTCTGATGATCCCATGCTCTTCGTCCAACATGGACTTCGCCGCGACCTCCTCAATGGAGAGCGCACATATCCAACCAACACCATACCGCTCCGGTGGGAACACTGGCATTTGGGAAGGGCTTGCATCAAGAGAAATGTGACAGATCTCTGGAAGATAGTAGAGGCGTTCTTTATTGCAAGTAGACCATCAACAAAGAAACGTGAGGCTGAGAACCTGACTCGGTCAGACAATAGGAGTCAAATCCATGCCAAAGTGGCTGTCGGCAGGATGGGGACCTGAGACCGCTACAAATAGATCATTGAGCAATCCTTCAGTCAACATGGTTGAAATGGTTGAAGGACAGAAAGGACATCGAAGAGATGTGAATCGTAAGGCTGTGCCGTGTCCAAGCCAGGCAGGAAACACTTGGGGCGGCGTCCCTCTGTCTGCGGGGAAAGAGCCAGCAGATGAAATATCTGTTAGTGCAAGAGTAAAGCGGCAACGAATCAGCCAAGGTGTCCTACATGTACATACATAGCAAAGGGCAAGCGCTATCTGATCACCATGGTCATTATCACCATGTTTATAAATTTCTGAATATGACCTGACATTGAGTCACGGGAGTGGGAGGGAAGGAATGCTCCGGAAAGCACGAGTCATGAGCTGTAAGACACGAGGAATGTCCTTCAGATCTTTCTTCAGCAATCAAAGTGATATTTCTACCTAGCGACTCCAACGCTACCAAGAATAAAAGACGAAGACCTACCAACACAATGCATTCACGACCTATCCTCAGGCCTACTCCTCATCGAAGCAGTTTGACTTGTCCTCTTGCTCCTCCTCCGCCGGTGATGCCGTCTCCGATGCCTGCTTTCGCCGGCCTTCTCGTCCAGCCCGAGTTCACCCTCCAGAATGCCCGCCTTGCGCTTTAGCTTCTGCACGACGGCTCCCATCTTGTAGAAACTCGTGGGGTCGGAGTGGTCGGTCAGTGGCGAGGGACGGAGTGGGAAGATCCAGTCGAAGAAGTTGGTTCCCATGACCTGTTTGAAATTGCCGAAGTTGCCGAGATCAAACGGGTTGGCGCCAGGGTCGGTTTCGAGGATGGCAAAGGTGCGGAGGGCGTCTTTCTGAAATGATAGTGTGTGCGGCGCGGATCGGGGTGGAGATGCCGCTGCCGACGAGGCGTTACCACGTGAGGGGGGTGGTGTGTTCCTCGCGACGGCTGGGTGTGGTGGGAAGGTAGGTGTTGATTGAGGATCGTATGTGTTCGAGGGGGGAGATGGGCCTTGTGTATCCCAACCCTCTCTGACAATACTCTGTTGGCTGTCGTTGAATTTTGCACCGTTCTGCGTGAGGAGTTCGAATTGCTCGGAAGCAGGACGAGGATAACTGATCAGCCTCAGATCACTCCGTCCGGAGGCATTATATTTGTCCAGGACGGCTGGTGGCATATATACCGCTAGATACCAGATCTTTGTTTTCCGCGTGAAGTTCTCGATGGTTGTGGAATTGATAAAAGCAAACTGCAAGCTTGAGCCACACATGCCTGCATTGAAAAGGAAAAACAGCGCCCCAAAAACCAAAACCAGGATCCAATGCACGTTGATGAAATCCTCCTCTCGTCTCCGCTTCGCGAAGAAGTATGCCATGAAGACCAGCGGACTGAAACAATAGACAGCGCCCCAGCCGGTGAACTGGATGAAGAACTTGAAGGACGTCTCCGAGACGATTCCACCGACCCAGGGACAGAAATGATCCATCTTGACGACACAGCGACCGAGTTCACTGCAGTGGTGGGCGCGGTCGGGTTTGTAGTTGTAGCATGTCGAGCAGAACGGAGGCCGGCCATCCCAGCCACAGACGAAGACGTCTTTGTGCCAAAACTCCTCTGGGCGGATATTTGACTCGTTTGACCGGGGTCGTGGAATATTCTGAGGAGTGGATCGCGCCGTGGAACCATATTCGAAGCCTTCTTTGTTTTTATCGTGGCTTTCACTCCCTTCCCTTTGCGTCCGCTCCTTCTCGACGTAATACTGCGGTCCTCGAGGAATAACACCGGGGTTCGTAAAGATGGTCTGGATCATGCGACCAAAACAAATGAGGGTCATTAAAAGTGTCAAATAGTATACGGTAAGTATCGCGATGGCGGCACCGGTGTCTGGATGAAGTAGAGTAGGAAGGGAAAGATGTGGGCGCAGGAGATAGTCGATGCAGACATGTTTGGTGATGACATAGGAGCAGTATCCTATAATGCCGAGCAGGAATATGGGGACGATCCTGGCGGTGATGATGTTGCCGCGCTGTTTGCTCATGGGCTTGACTGGTGAAATGAGTTTCATGGTGGCGGGTGTTTGGTATTAGTAGAAGCGTAAGACCATGGAGATGAATATATTAGATGGGTTCACATGATAATGCGATACCACAGTCAGAGAAGGACTGTTAACCCGAGGGGCATGAGTACGAGTAGTATCATGTCGAAGAGAAATGGTCGACGTGGAGATGTGGAAGAGATGGAAGAATGTATGGACGCTGATGTTCAAGTTGGCACTGCAGTGGCAGTCGTCATCTCCAAGTCTGCGTCCCCTGTAAATAACTGGGAACAACCCCCTACTCGTAAATCCACCATCAAGTTCGTCCAGCAGCCACAATTCGACCGAGGCAAACATTCTTACTCGCCGATTCCGCCATCAAGCTCCATTCTTTCTTTTGACACATGCAGGACTCGATACGATACAAGAGCGATGCATCTGGATGGTCGACTTGTCATCAAAACTCCAAGGGGTCATGTCGACAGGTCAAGTTGAGATTTAGGAGGCTCGCAAGACAAAGGCAAAGTGGACAGGTCTATTTTGTTTTATTCATTCATTCATCGAGTCGGATGGCTCAAATTTGGTTACTTATTGCCCGATCCTCAGTAGCCATCCCTAACTGCCAGAAAACATGCCACAGATCCACAATCTAGGAGCCTTTTTTGGTTGCAAAAGGAAAAGAACTGGTTTTGAAAGTCCATACTCGTTGCACATGGGGTTTCAATTTTTGACCTAAGCCTTCTCAAGCTTCTCCTTGAGGATGCTCTTGAGAGTGACAGCATCAGCAGCGAATTTGCTAATACCCTCACGTAGCTTCTCGACTGCCATCTGTTCCTCATTGAAGTCGAAGCGGAAAGTGGCCTCATCATTGATATATGTTCGCTTGGGGATGTCAAGCTTGAGAGCATCCTCGGCCTTGAGCTTCTGTGGGACCGGGTCTGTAGACTTGTATAGGTCTTCAAGCAAGTTGGGAGAAATGGTCAAGTAATCGCATCCAGCGAGCTCGGTGATTTCTCCAACATTTCGGAATGAGGCACCCATGACAATAGTCTTGTAGCCGTGCTTCTTGTAGTAGTTGAAGATGGCGCCAACACTCTTGACACCGGGGTCTTCTTGGGCGGAGAAATCCTTCTTCATAGCAGCCTTGTACCAGTCGAGAATACGGCCAACAAAGGGAGAAATGAGGAAAGCATCGGCTTCGGCGGCAGCAATGGCCTGGACCAGGGAGAACATCAGGGTCAAGTTGCAATTGATTCCTTCCTTTTGAAGGATCTCGGCTGCCTTGATACCTTCCCAGGTCGAGGCAATCTTGATCAGGACTCTTGACTTGTCGATACCTTGATCTTTGTAAAGCTAGGATATGGTCAGTTTGTGAGCCATCGGAATGGAGGTCTCTGGATGCGTACAGCAATCAAATGGCGAGCCTTGTCAACCGAGGCCTGTGTGCTGAAAGAGAATGAAGCATCGACTTCGGTTGAGACCTTGCCGGGGACAATCTTCAAGATTTCTTTGCCGAACTCAACCAGGAGTCGGTCAAGGGTGGCATCGACCTGTTCATCGATGGTTTTGCCCTGGAAATGCAGTCTTAGTGGTCGTTTCATGTTGAAGAAGATGTATTCAGGGAGAACATACATGTGCCTTTCCATATTCTATGGCAGGGTCCATCAACTTGGCGTACTCGGGCTTCTTGGAGGCGGCAAGGATGAGGGAGGGGTTGGTGGTGGCATCTTGGGGTTTGTATTGGGCGATGGCTATAGTGAGTTAGTAGGAGGAACGAGGGCGATAAAGGATGGAGCAATGCAACGTACAGTTGAAATCACCCGAGTCACTGACAACTGTCTGGAAGATATGTTAGTCGCTGATATGCTTCAGGAGACTGCCGCCACAGCTCAAAGAGGGGATGGAAGATGTTGCATTGCACAACAGCAGCCTTTGGAGACTACCCATGGCTCTTGAGGAGCATCAGGAGCAGCTCTACAAACTGAAACTCCCGGACATAGTTGCATACAGAAAAGCAGCTCAATGTGGGTGCGGGGAGGGAAAGGCGGGACATACTGTGCCAGTGGCTTTCAATTGATCGAGAGAGGAAGTCATGATTGCGATATGAGGATCTTGTGGTTGAAGTATGAGAGTGAGTATTGGAGAGAGGAAAAGCGAAAAGTGATGAGAATGGTTATAAACGAAAAGCAAATCCAGGAGCTGAGGAAGATGTGCCAGTAGTAGTGTTTGATGTTTGTATGAGGCAAAAATAGTTGGAGGGGTGTTCCGAGTCTTGGGCCCTTGAAAGTTGGACCCCCGGGTGGTTCTTTCCCACTGGCACTACGCAGGTCTGATGTCGTCCAGGAAGGTGGGGCAAGATGGCCACTGCAGTTTTCAACACTTTGCTTTATGGGCGGAAACAGGCGGCAAGGCCTGATTTGGTAATCCTTCAGCACCCCTGCCGCTCGCTGAGTGTCTGTTATTTTCTCCAACCAAACCAAAGGGAATAGGAACGGGCTACCCGCCGAACTGGACTTTTAGTGACTGCTACGGGGAATACACATCATATTCTTGCTGGTGGCCATTCCGGAGCACTGTGCTCCGTAGACATCACTCCGGGTGACATATCCCAACATCGAGAATTGGACCTCGCTAAATCTCTAGATGGGCATTCATTAGATGGGTAAACATATCATCATCGCGTAGTCTTGAGAATCCGAATCGCCACAGCAATGATATCGCCCTATCGCTTCTCCTCGTAGGTATCTCGATCGACAATCAAGCCAACAGCGCACCGCATATCAGAACAGTATCCTTTCTCCTCGGCTACCATTTTCCGATATGACAATGCTTTGTTTCTTTCTTTTTCTTTTCCTTATTTTTCCTGTCCTTCCCTTCTCAACCCTCTATCTATAATTCTAACTATCAACCTTTCTCCAGTACATACCATGAACCCCCATTCCATCCTCGCCTCTATCCCACCCTACCTACCTAAGGTACTCAAGATCAACAGAGTCCCGCACGCTCAGATCAGGCCATACTTCTCGGTCCTGTGATACGCTGATGCGCCCACAACGAGACGTACCTACATACCCTACCTAAGTAGCTAACCTCAGACTTTCCACTTGCTGACTTTGATGCCACCGAGTGACTCAGCACGCTACAGCTCTCTAACCCACCGACTGACCACCCTATCCCGTACTGCAACACTCCGCCCACCTCGTCGCTTCACATGCATTCGTCACCCCATCATCCCATGCCCCCTGGGTGCCCCCTCCCTCCCTGCAAGCTTTTTTCCAACCACCACCCTTGCTGGTGTTTGCTGCTTCCAGAAACCTGTGCGCGCTGTGACGTAGGTCGTGTTTATGTCCTGCCCTGGTCTAGCAATTGAATACTCTCCCCACCTAGCGCTCGAAATGTAGTTTCCCATAGTCAAACTAAGTAGTTCGGTTTTCTTATGCAATCTATGTGGTATGTACGAGTAGGTAGAATGCACGAACATGCTGTTTCCTCGATTGACTCGCTGTGATCAGAGGTCTTGCAGTGGTCGGTAGATCACCTAACCGGCATGCCTATACGGATATGTGGGGCACTTCATCAAATAGCCTATTCTCAGTTAACTAACTATGGAGGACAGCAAAATATCACGATCCTTCTCTACCGTTCTCATCAAATTGCAAGTCAGTAAGAACAATAATAAGTACCCGTCGTAACCACTCTCGCACTCCACACAACCAATCGAACATCAAATCTAATTTGGCACCCGATATTTCGAATCATTATTTATTAGGTATCAACTACTTCGCATCCGGATGAGTATTATATATACTTGTACTGTCTTTCCACACCAACAATCACGACGGACAATAAAAGGACGGTACGCGCCACATGTGTGTATATTTTTCGCGAAAAAGACAAAACAGCTGCAAGTGGTCTACAAAACGCAGTCGATTGTAGAAGCGCACTCGTCCCCTGCGTTTTCGCTGGTTGGCACATATTATTCTCGTCTCCTTTTTTAGTCCAACATCTCGAACAAGCTCGCAAAAGGGAAATGCCGTCATCGGTTGTATCAAAGTCTTTTAAAATCAAATGGTATCTTAAAGAAAAAGGAATGGTGTGTGTGTGTTGGGGAGTTCATCCCTCGATGCGATCAATCAAATCTTTGGTTGCTCAATCTTTCAGTCCAAATGCTTTTCGTAGCATGGGGAACCTTTTCTTCTTCCCGCTTTTTCCAACCGCCACGGGATCGTGATATCCTCTCATACTTCCTTCTGCAAGTCTCGTCGAGCCGTTGCGTACCGGTGCACTTTCTGCCGTACCAGGTCGAAGGTTTTCATCGTCGGGGATCTTGGGCGGGAGTGGCCATGAGTCGCTCATCACGCGTTGAGGGATATGCCGTCGTTGAAGCTTTCCATGCGACGACGGTGGCGGTGACGCTGCCGCCACCGGCCCATTTTGTGCTGCCTCAAGCCTTGCCCTCGTCTGTTCAATGATTCTGTCTCGTTCTGCCGTGGATGAGAACCCCAGCTGTGAAGCTTTGGTCTTTTCTTGTTTGATTGTTAGCGGAGGTGCCTCCACTACCGGCGACAGAGCTTCCTCTTTGGGTTTCTTGCTTCGAAATCGTCCAAATAGACCGCGTTTTTGCGGGCTCGTTGGGGACTGCGGTCGTGCTCCATCCGCTACAGGCGTACTGATGTTGTTCGTTGCAACTGCAAGCTTAGGGGTGGCTCGCACCGGGGCCTTCTCCTCATCCGAGCTATCATCTAGATCAGTCGAGTCACTATCATTCGCCCGTCTAGGGATTCCTCGAACTGGTGTAAAGCCCGGGTCATCATCATCACTGTCATCAGCAAATCTCGATCGCCACTTGGTCGGCTTTGGGGCATAGTCATCCTCATCGTCCGAGTCCACAATACGCGATCGAATCTTGCTCGTAAACCCGCTGGTACTGACTGCAGGGGCCGATGGGGGTTGACTGGTCTGCCGCCGCCCAAACAGAGAAGAAGATCTCTTCGGGTCAGTTGAGCCACGAAGGGTTGGAGTGTTATCCATAGAACCTCGCATAGAAGTTCTCATGGCGTGTGGTCCTGCTGGGGGTGAGAACGGTCTACGGCCAACTGGTGACACTGATCGAACTCCGTTCCGCGGATCGGCCTGTGATGGAGGACCTGCACTCCCACGCATGCTTCGACGCATCGTATACTGACCACCACTGGTAGATTTGCTGCGCCTTGCTCTCCGGAAGGAGCTGTCGGAATCGCTATCGTTGCTTGGGATGCGTGGTGGTGGCGGTAATCTCTGTTTTTGGACCGTGGCTGCGGGTGCGGCAGTAACAGCTTGCGAGGGTATATGTTTCTTCTGGAGAGCAGTTCGTGGTTGTGCTGCCGGCCTGGCTTGTGCCTGCGCTGCAGAAACTGCTGATGGAGCGGGTTGCGAGGCCCTGTTCTGCTTGAACTGACCAGGCGCGGAGCTCATTGGGATGCGATTTTCATTTCGCAGCGATTGTCTGAAGGTAGGCTCTGGTGCGGGAGGAGAAGTCGCACGCATTGATTGCCTGAAGTGTTGTGCTGGTGGAGAAGTTTCAACTCTCTGTTGCTGGATCGCAGGGTAAGCAGAAGGTTGATTCGGGTGACGAAGTGGTGAATCGGGTACAACACCCCGTGCAGCTATGAGAGCAGCAGGAATTGGTGCAGCAACAGTAGCCTGTGGCGGCGACTTCTTCTTTTTCTTTTTGGGTTGAGCCGGTTGTGAGTATTGGACAGGTTGCGGTGCCTGTTGTGCTTGAGTTGGGGCCACCGCACGTGGCCGAGCAGGTTCTTGCACTGGTGGCTGAGTGACTGGCGATGACGGGGGCGATTGCTTCGTTTGCTCTGCAATATTGCTCCAACGGGCTTGCGTTGCTTCCCAGGATGGACTGGGCGGTATTTGTTCGGCTAGTGGGGCATTTGACACGCGGGCAAGAGGACTTTCCGGGACCGTTGCAAGGCGAGTGGATGGAGACGTGACTACGGGGCTATCGAGAATCGCATCGATCGATCCAAAGCCGGTCCCATCAAGCTCCGATGGATCTTCGGCAGCATCACTGTAGATACTATCGTTGTCGGACTCACTCTCACTGGGTGCAACGACTCCCAGACCTCTAGAGGTCGTAGCGAGCGCTCCAGTGTCATTACCGGCCTTGTTCGAGCTATTCAGCTGAGCCAAAGCGTCAAAGGACACTGGAAAGCCCCCGGGAACCTCCACTTCCCATTGGTCATTCTGTTTTGTTTGCTCTAGTGCTGGTGTTGGTGGCGAAAGCGACAGAACGGGCACATCGACCTGTTGCGGAAGCTCGATATGCGAGTTGGTTGATGGTGCTTGTGTCGCAAGAGTACCTGAAGCTTGCTCTCCGAGTCCCTGGGAGGCCGGACCTGGTGACGCCGTGGCTTCTTGGATGTCTTCTGCTTCCTCCTCCGAGCTCTCGTTTTCAGAGTCGGAGAAAGAGACACCCCCTTCAACCGAAGTGACCTCTGGCGGTAAGGGTTCATTACCCGCAGGTCTCAATGTTTTCTGGTGGTCTTGAGCAAGAATGGCGCCCACCAGGTGGTCATTGGACACGCCCACTGCTGGTGCATGATTGAAGGAACTGGATGAGGTCTCGGAGGAAGCGACCGAGGAAGGAGCGAGTTTACTGTCCTCCGAGGTCTGGGAATGATTTTCTGCAGATATCAATCTGGCGGCAGTGGCCAGGTCATTTCCGTCGCGAGATTTTTGGCCACGAACGCTACCAAAAGATGGAAGTTGCGGGCGAGGCTTCATCAATTCTTCCATGTCATCATTGGAGGGAATGGTAGACAGTGTTGGTTTGCTCTTACCCATGCCAAGCCAACCTCTCTTCTCTTTGCTTGGGCTCTCGACAGCTTCAGTAGACGAGGGAGAAGCAACAGCCTCTGGTGCAGCATCGAAACTGACTCTGGCTGATTTCTTGCGCTTCGGCAAAGCTTCAGGCTCAGTGTTTGAGATATCTGAAGTTTCGCTTGGGGTGGCACTAGCACCTCTTGGTTTGAAATTTGGATCCAATGGTGAACCGCTGGGTGCAGGTGAATGATGCTTCAGCGCTGATTTAGCTGGAGAGACCGACCGTGGAAGTGGATCATGCTTTCGTCCTGCAGCAAGATCTGAGGAGAGCCTGTCCGAAAACCTGGTTTTAGATCGGGAGGGACTTAATGATGAACCTCTGACTGCTTGCGGTGATTGCACCTGGAGGCTCACAGACGAGGCTGGGGACGAATCCAACTGGTCTGCTGTGGTCAATGCATGATAGTTTGGCCCTGTCGGCTGAATATATGAGTCTGGTACAGAAGCAGGCTCATTGATCTTTTTGGACACATTTGCTGCGGTGGTAGTCCGCGCGGCAGCTGGAGTTGTCGATATACTGGGTCGCGTCGATGGTTCGCCAGTCACCGTACCGTTCTGATTGTGGGTGAGAGGAGCTTGCTCGTTCTGTTCGCCTTCCCAGTCCTCCTTTACTATCGAAGGCTGCTTCTGGAGTATGCCTGAAGCTCGCTGAGCACGTTTGTCTTTGGTTCTCTCAGTGTTGGAATCCGAATCCGAGTCGACCCGGGATGAATATTCGGTGTTGGATATCTCCGGACTTTGGACGTCAGCGAAATGCGAACTTTCCCCCGTGACGGCGACCTTTTTCTTTTTCTTCTTCTTGGGGATCGCCTGTTGTTGGTCTTGGACGTAGAGCTGTCCTGTATGCGCCGGCCCGGGCTCAAGTGGGTGCACCACGGGTTTACTTGCCATTGTACCGCCATGCAGATGACTCCCCTCTGCCGAGTGAGTGGCAACCTTCTTTTTCTTTTTCTTCACCGGTTGATTGGCCACTTGTGATAGACCGTATTGAATATCGTCCGCCTGTGCCGGGGAGATGGATGCTACAACACTGGGCGGAAAACGGTCGCCATTGGTGAGCATAGGGGAATGAGCCACGGGTGATTGTGGAGTTGGAGATTGGGGTCGTGGTGACAAGGGCCTGGAGAAATTGATGGAATTTCTACTGTCCGTACGTTCGAGATCATCTGTCAAAGCTAGATCAGGCCTACGCTGTATAGGAGATGATTGGTATTGCTGCGGGCGGGATGTCAGAGGATCCGGAGCTTGACGTGGATTGTTGGGTCGAGCTGCGGGCGGAGATGACAGTCGAGGAGCATATGAGTCTTGACTAGCAGCACGGGGTTTGTGTTTTTTCGGTTTCGGCGCAGTGGTAGGACTGTTGGCATAGTTCTGAGGGAGTGCAGGAACAGGTGGATGCGCTACAGGTTCGGGGCGCGATGCTTGCCTTGAAGGCGATGGTGAAGGAGTCCGGAAGGTCCGCTCGGTCATGGAACCGGAACTGCCTTGTCTTTGTAGACCTCCAGGTCGTCCTCTACCAGAGCCAGTGATAGATGACATGGAGGCCCGCTTCTGTACCATGCGTTTGGTCTGCACCTGATCGACCGGGGTTGGGGTCGGAGTCAGATTTCTGAGAGCAGCGGCGGCAGCGGAAGCTGACAGGTTTGCCTGTGAAGCACGGCTCGCGAGAAAAGCCTGGGTAGCTGCGACATGAGCTGAAGCCGAAACATTGGTGTTCTGGGGCCGCTGAGAGACGAAGTCAGGTCAGCACTTGGATGGATAGAGGCGAAGGGAGGCCGGATGGGATGGGATGGATATAGAACTTACCGAGGCCGACGCAGACCTGCTTCGTCGATGGAATAAACTCATGATGAAAGAAGTGCGCCGGGGAACGAGTTATCGACTTTGCACTGGGATTGAGAGAATATGTACGGATATTGTGAGGTGGCTGCGTGGTGGCTATCGAGTGGCTGCACAATCGGCGGGAGGGAACCCCATGTCGGTGCTTGATGGGTGTCCAACCATAAAAAACCGGGCAGGACAAGTGATGGCAGCGAGTCGGATTGGTGATGACGATTGAAGACTCGGATTGTTGATGGAACAGGTCGAGAGACACAAAAGAAGTGTAAAGTTTGTAGAGAACTTGGAGGTACTCGGAGTGGTCGCAGTGGTAACGTAACTAACGAGGTGCAAGGTGGAGCTATCAATTCTGGAGTGCCGAACCTGGATCAGATCACGATTTACGGAGTACGGGATCACGCAAAGAACTCGAAGGTGTGGCTCAGCTTCAAGTTGGTGCTTTTCTCAAGCAAGACCCAGATCGAGCAAAGTGGAATTGGATTCAGATCAACCAGCAAAAAACCGGCCAAGGAGGGCATCAATTACAATAAGGTTAGGAGGGCAGCCACTCTTGCTGTGGCCTGTGAAGATAGGCGTGTTGTTTGGGTGCTCGATCACCAAGTGTCTGTGGACAGTGGGCACCGCTATGGGCACCTTGGATGGGGCCTGATGGGGGCAAACATGACACTAACTACAAGGAGCTGGATTACATCATGCGCCTGGGAATGCTGCATCATCATTTCATGTCATTCCAGCTGAACTCGATCTCTTTCTGGTCTTTGTCCTCCACACATGTGCAACTAAACTTTTGATTCCTTCCTCACTGACATCCGAGTCCTTCCATAGTAACCCTGGGCTCTGATCCTTTGACACGTGATACATAAATAATCCGTGTTTCCGGTGTTCCCTTTAAACTCCGCTCCATAAGGGAATAAAACTACCTCGTACTGTCGCTCCTGATCTCGCCAGCCTTGCAACTCCTTTTGATCTTCCAAAAGACACGAATTACCTAGGCACGGATGTACATCGCCTATTGACACAGTGACTGGCTGGCGCCTATGTTCTTTTCATCTACTGCATCTCGTACCCAGTCCAAACTAACACTCCCCATCATGACTCACACAATGGTTCCCTGCATAATCTCCCGTCAAACGTTGTACATTGTGCAGCATAACTCTGGGGAACCCGTAACCCCAGACTTTCACACTGCTATCTGACACAGATAAGATATTGCTCCATGGCCTCGATTATCAACCACAAGATGGATCGTCCACCGTGGTGATCGTGATCTTCTCTACCAAGACTCGGATAAACTATGGCCGATGTTATTGACAACCTCGGTGCAAACGGACTCTGCAGAAACCACTTCTGGACGGAATAGCGCCTTACCCCGAAGATCCTCTCAGAGTGCGGGAGGATCTCCACTCTGTTCTATAACAGACATCCATCCAGAATGATATAAGAACAACTTCTTTCAATAATGCCCATGCCTCCCATGTACAATAGCCATCAACACCATCAGAGTAAGTTTGTATCTCCCCCTCAAGTGACACAATGGCATACACACATCAAGACTCCTCCCCCAACTCCATTGACCCAACGACCCTCCCACCCCTCCAACTCCCATCAGGTGTCACCTCACGCTTTGTCGACACCACACCCCAAGGGCTCGTCTTCCACATCCTTGAATCTCTCCCGACGAACCTCCCACCGTCCAGCCCCAAGCCCAAACTCATTCTCCTGGTCCACGGATTCCCCGAAATCGCCTACTCATGGCGGAAGATCCTCCCTCTCCTGTCCGCCCAGGGATACCACGCCGTCGCCTATGACCAGCGAGGCTACGGACGGACCTTCTCCCGCGTCCCTCTTGAAGCATCGTCCTTCCGGCCCCTCAACCTGATCAAAGACGCCGTCACGCTGGTCCACGCCCTCGGCTACGACTCGGTCACCACCATGGTCGGCCACGACTTCGGCGCCGTGACGGCAGGCCTCTCGGCGCTCGCCCGCCCAGACTTGTTCAAATCCCTCGTCATGATGTCCCACCCGACCAAAGGCGTCTCGGGCGCCATGCCCACCAACACATCCCCCTCGTACGGCGCCGGATCCTCACGCCCGCCCCCGACGCCCGACATGGAAAAAGCCCTCTCGGAACTCCCCCGGCCCCGGAAACACTACAAATGGTACTACTGCACGCCACCGTCCAACGACGAAATGACCAACCCGACCGGCCCACCCCTGCACACCTTCCTGCGGGGCTACTTCCACCTGAAATCCGCCGACTGGGACGGCAACGCCCCGCACGCCCTGGCCGGATGGACGGCGAGTGAACTGGCCAAGATGCCCGTCTACTACATCATGGACAAGTCCGACACGATGCGCCAAGCTGTCGCGCGGGATATGGCGAACGAGTCCGCCGCCGTCGTCGCGCAGCGCTCCGCGCGCTGGCTGCCCGACGCCGAGCTCGCCGTGTACGTGGACGAATGGGCGCGCACGACGTTCCAGGGCGGCCTGAACTGGTACCGCGTGCAGACGCAGCCGGGGATCGCGAGTGACGTGCTGGCGTGGGCGGGCGCCAGAATCGCCGTGCCCACCGTCTTCGTCGCCGGCAAGCAGGACTGGGGCACCTTTCAGGAGCCTGGGGCGGTCGAGGCCATGCAGGACGGCAGGAGTGTGTGGGAGGGCTCGTATCGTGGCACCCATCTTGTTGAGGGGGCTGGCCATTGGGTCAATCAGGAGCAGCCGGAGAGGTGTGTGGAGTTGATTCTGATGCTCGCGAGGGAGGCGGAGGCGGCGGAGGGGTCGGCCAAGCATAGACTCTAAGAAGGTTCGTACTTCGGAAGTTCAATGTTGCTTGGACGGAGACGTTGGCCGGCCATTGTCATGATGGATGAAGGACGAGTAAAAGTGGAATTTCCAGAATGCTCTACTAATGACCAGGTGTTTGTGATGTTCTTTTCCGAAAAGATTGCACATTTGTATGATACTATTTAGTGCTAGAATGAATGAAGAAAAAGCATATTGGGTAAACGCCTCCTTGGCCAGAAAACTGAAGATTCCCACCAGCCGACAATGCAGAGGGAGTCATGGAAGCTGTCCCAGTATCCTTATGTATGCAGATCCACAAGTCATGTGCCTTGATGTGCACATTTGTGCATTAAATCCCCAGACGCCTTCGCTGAATCGAGAAAGTCGCAGTGAGGATGGCATCCTGAGTTGTCCCGGGATGGTATAATGGAGAGATGAGGGTGAGGAGTTGTCGTCTGGGCAGACCCGAGCTCGACTATGTGATTGACGCGGAAATCAGCCAGCGAGTGCCCGGTTCAGTCATCCGGCTCAGTCATTTCCGAGTCCAATCTCTCTTCTCGAGCCTTGCCTTTGCCTGGTGTCTTTTCATGCTCGGTGTCGTCGTCGTCATCATAATTCTCGTCATCTTCCGATTCATTGTTGAGATCCGAGTCCGATTCGCTACCATTGGCGGCATCATCGTCGAAATCGTCAAAATCGTCAAAGTCCACCTCTTCAGCATCACTGTCGTTCCAGAAATCGTCGTCGATTTTGTCCACGACCGGCTTGGATGATTCGTGTGTGGGAAGAACAAATCCCTCAGGAACGTCCTTCTTTGACGCCTCGACATCTTGCTGAACTCTGGCCTTGAATGCATCCTGATCGTCTCTACACATGACGCTTGCATCGACGTTTGCGGGCGAGGATACTTCGGCGTCGTCTAGAAGTGACAGGATCGAGATGAGAACGGACTCGACGCGCTGCGCTGGTGACCATCTTTCGCCTGCAGTTTCTCCCGACATGGCATCATCTCCAGGAGCATGGAGAATGGATATACAGAGACGACCATCGGCGTAGATATTGGGATGCCAGAGTGGTTTGTTGAAGCGGAAGTCTGGAGAACCCAGTCAGTTTAGATGAGTCAAAGGAGGAAGTGGCACTGACCCGGTGGCTTGTATGGATAGTCTTTCGGGAAAGTCATCTGTGCTTTGAAATAGCCTCCATAATAGAGAGAATCGGGATTCAAGACCATTAGGGCCAGATTCCAGTGGTAGATATTATCTTCGTCAATCTGACCGGATTAGTTGTGTGCGTGCCATGAGGAATCACTCAATTGACTCACATCGATCTCTACCCATTTCTCTTTGGCCAAAGCTTTGTACTCCTTCATGAGTACGGTCTGAGACATGGTGGGCTAGTGGTGGGTTTGATCAGGCGAGGTGACGGGAGCAGATGTCAACGCAAGGATCGGAGATTGGGTGGTGTGGTTGAGATGAGGGCGGATAAGGCAGAATTAGATCTGAGGGTCGGCGAAGATTGGAGGAAGGGAACAGTCCGGGAAGGCTATAAGCAGAGTAGGGCGTCGGCACAGTGAAGTGAGAGTTGAGGAATTTCTTGAGCCCGGATTGAATGAATCAGCATTCTTCACCGGTGTGTATTGTAGGTGAATAGGGCGGAAGTGATGTGTTGAATGCAGCAGTGAAGGAGGCAGGCAGTTGTTGCCTTGCTGGCTATCCAGGACGCAGTCGGCAGGAGACTGTCAGTAGGGGTCGAACAGAGTAGACAGAAGAAAGAACGATAGGTAGGCAGATGTCAAGGACAAGGTTGAGGGATGACAGATGGAGGCGAGGTTCAAGGAGTTGAGGGCGATTACATGATGCAGTGAGTAGGAGGATGGAGCGGATGGAGAAACGTCAATGGTCACGGGTGGCACGCGGCCAGAACAGGTACGAGGTTTTAATTATTCATGGTTTTGCAGCCTGAGGATGACGCCCGACTAACGGAGAGGACGTGCCGGATACCTAGTTAACTAGTAATTTGGTAAACGCCTGGGCCTTGACCGATACGGATACCAATAGTGCCTCACAAAGGCCGAGGCGAGGGTTGTGTTCTTCAACAATGGGTGGACAACCCCGGGTGTGTTCACGTGCAGGTGTCTCCGGCTTCAGAGTTCAAGTTCACCGTCCTTTCCACGCCTCTTCACCGCTTGAATCAGATGCCTTATCAGTGACCTAGGAGCCGTGATTGCTAGCATCTGCACACCGAGACGGTCAAGGAAGTCTATCAGACAGGTACATCTCTTATCTTGTTGGAGTTGACAGTCGTTAACAAGTACCCCTCACACTGCCATCATCATGCCGCCCTTATCATGACTCACCCATTAGGCAAGTGGCGTCACCGGCACCTGGAATGACGGGCACTTTGGCTTCTGCTGCAGGCGGTGACTCTGCCTAAGAAATTAGTCGGCCGCCTCCCGAAATCACGACGTTCGGAAAAAAGCCAAAGCATCATTTCTCCACATCCGAGTCTATGGTACGAGGTAGTACTAACCACAAGTTAGCACACAACTTTACTACTACTCACGAGTCAACAAACTTGAATCCACTCCGACTACCATCTCTGTGTAGTCGTATCACCGCCTACCTTCTCACCTCCTTCCACCAAGCATTCGATCCGTATTGCTATCCCGCATCATTGGTCGATATGAGGAGAGCCTCACTGGTCTTGCTTCAAGTGTGGTGACTGGTGCTCTCGATTCGCGGAAATGTTCGCGCAGTGTAAAGGCCCAATATGGCAAATCGATGATTTGAGTCGTTGCTTTCAAGCCGAGTATGCTTCTTGAACCTTCTTGCAATCATCAAACGTACTGACGCTCGGTTGTACAAGCTATCTACAGACTTTACTGCCACTTATTGCAGTCGCACTATCCTTCCTCTGTCTACTTTTCCAAGCAATTCGCCGCTCGAGAAGACCTCAAGTTCCGCCGACCACGCCTGACCTGTTGGTCGAGATCAGTGAAGATGAGGAGGACTCGATCGACGATAGCGATGAGGAGGACCTGGCAAAGCTCACTCTTCAAAAAACTACTAGCCATGTGAACGCATCTTCAAAAGATGTGGATCGTCCGACTGGCGAAGTTTTTCTGGTCACGGTCGAATTTCTCTTGGTCATTGTACAATTCGTCGTCGCTTTTCTACAAGTCGCTTTGACCTCGAAGCGTGACTGGACCCCGACAATCGCACAGGCTGTGGTATATCTCTATCTCGTCCTCCTGGCTGGCGTGCGGTTGGTGGCGTCGACAACGACATGGAAAAATCCTCTGTCTGGTCTGTGGAACCATAGCGCGATCATCTACGGCTTTCAGTGGCTCCTGCAGGTCTGGATCTTTCGATCAGAGATACTCAACCCGCATTATAACCTTTCTCATTACTTGACAATCACCACGTTTGCCATCATCACTACCTTGACTCTAATCGTTGCTGTCTCTCGAAAGGGGAATCGAGGTGTTTTGCTCGAGCATGAAGGCGACATTGAGCCTTCACAAGAACCCTTGGCCAGCGTTCTCTCTCTACTGACGTTCACCTGGGTTGATCCGATCGTGTATCGAGGCTACAGGAAAACTCTAGAGCTCACAGACGTCTGGAATCTACCCCTGCAAGACAAGGCTGAGCATGTGTTGGCGCAGTTCCGTCAAGTTCGAAAGACACACTCCTTGGCGTTACGATTACTTCTGCATTTCAAGACAGCCTTATTGATTCAAGGTGCTTGGTGTATGCTTGCTGCTGCATTCATGTTTCTCCCAACACTTCTCTTGAAGGCAATCCTCGAGTTTTTGGAAAACCAAGACAAAATCCCTCTTAGCGCCGCCTGGCTGTATGTCATCCTTTTGGCCGCAACCGGAGCCGTTCAAGCCGTCGGTGATGGACAAGCGTTGTGGATTGGAAGAAAAGCCTGTATCCATTTGCGCGCCATCATCGTCGGCGAGCTTTACTCCAAAACGCTGCGGAGAAAAGCAGCGGCCAATATTGAATCTGACCTGGGCAAGGACGAACCGCAGGATGAACGATCGCTCTGGTCGAAACTCAAATCCTTCTTGGGAGGCCAGAACGACGACAAGCAATCGGCCGACGAAGTACAACCGGCTCCTAAAAAGTCGCTGGGCAGCCAGGCCAAAAATGGCACCGTCATCAACCTTATGTCCATAGACTCGTTCAAGGTCGCCGAAGTCTGTGCCTACTTGCACTTTCTTTGGGCGGCTGTTCCTGTTGAACTGATCATGGCTGTCACCTTGCTGTACAAAGTTTTGGGATTCAGTTCATTTGCCGGTATTCTACTCATGGTGCTGTTGCTTCCTCTAAATCTCTACATCGCCAAATCCTTCCAAGCTGCTCAAAAAAGAATTATGCTTGCTACTGACGGCAGAATTCACGTCACGAATGAAGTCTTGCAAAACATCCGCATCATCAAGTACTTCGCCTGGGAACAACGCTTCGCAAATAATGTTTGTGAAAAGAGAAAGATCGAACTGCATGCGTTGTGGCGAAAGTATGTGTTGTGGTCCGCTGCAGCTACTGTCTGGAGCGGTGTCCCTATTTTGATCACCTTTACCTCGTTTTTCCTCTACACGGTCATCGAGAAACAGCCTCTTGTCCCATCAATCGCTTTTCCGGCCCTATCTCTATTTTCGTTGTTGCGAGTGCCCCTAGATCAGCTTGCTGATATGGTGGCCCACGTACAAGAATCCAAGGTGTCGGTGGATCGAGTCGAAGAGTTCCTTGATGAGGAAGAGACGGAAAAATACGTTCAACTACGCCAGAGCAGGCGAGCAAGCCGTCACGTCACTCGTATCGCTCTTGAACAAGCTACGCTTAGCTGGGGGACCACTGGTCCTGATGATACATCGGCATTCCGACTCATCAACGTCGATGTCGAATTTTCTATTGGTCAACTCAACGTGATTGCAGGACCTACAGGTTCTGGGAAGACTTCCCTTTTGATGGCTCTACTGGGCGAAATGCAACTCCTTGGAGGAAACGTGTACATTCCTGGAGGGTCTGTTCGACAAGATCTGCGCCCTGACCCTGCCACCGGCTTGACAGAAAGTGTGGCATATTGCGCACAACAAGCATGGCTGGTCAATGCGACCATCAAAGACAATATCCTCTTCGCCAGCGCCTACGACGAAGACCGGTATCACGACGTAATCTCAATCTGCGCCCTGGAACGAGATCTCGAAATCCTTGACGCCGGTGATCAAACCCTGGTTGGAGAAAAGGGCATCACCATGTCGGGAGGACAAAAACAAAGAATTTCACTCGCGCGTGCAATCTACTCCAACTCGAAGCACCTGTTACTCGACGATTGCCTGAGTGCTGTCGATGCACATACGGCCAAGCACATATTCGAGGAAGCTCTGACGGGTGAATTAATGGCACATCGAACTTGCATCCTCGTTTCACACAATCTCGCATTGACCATCCCCTTGGCAAGTCTGGTTGTCGTGTTGGAAAATGGCAAAATCGTTGCCAAAGGCAACCCGCAACAGGTCATCGATAGTGGATCTCTCGGCGAAGAGATAATGAAATCTCGACCGGCCTCGCGAGCAGGTTCGACCGCACCTTCGCGAGTTTCATCAAACCTGGAGGAAGAAACATCCAGACTGTCTGGCCAAGGGGGGAATGGAACCGTGACGCCTCGCTCCCGAGCTGCGAACAAAAGTCGGGCCAAGTCTGACAAACCAGACCGAGAATTCGTTGACCACAGATTGGAAAGCAAAGCCTCTGGGAGCGTCAAGCTGTCCACGATCACAGCATACCTTGCGGCTATGGGTCCATGGTATTATTGGATCTTTGCCGCGACAGGCTTCATCGCAACTCAAATTGGATCCGTGGCGACCAATGTGTGGATTCGACAATGGGCGAACGCATATCACCTCAAGGATACCTCGACTTCGCATGCCGCAGTCCATGCCTTCTATCACAACAACTTGCCAGGTACGACTTCTCCCTCGGGGAATGCCTACATTTTGGTACCCCCTAGTTGGAGCGCTCAGACAAAGTGGATTGTCCAGACGGTTTATGACGTTGATGTCTCCTATTACCTTGGCGTCTACGCCGTCATCGGTCTTATCTATGTCTTCATCTGCTTCGGTCGAGAGTTGATTCTCTTCTGGGGCTCTCAACGTGCCTCGTGGGTTTTGCATGAAAAGCTGCTGACCAGCATCCTTCGCGCCAAGTTCCGCTTCTTCGATTCCACGCCTCTGGGACAACTGACCAATCGATTTTCGAAGGATGTGCAAGCTTTGGATCAGGAAGTGGCACCCGTTGCCATAGGAATGCTACACAGTGCTGCATCTGTGCTCACAATTGTGGTACTCATATCCGTCATCACTCCCGGTTTTCTGATTCCAGGGTTTTTCATCACACTGATGTACATCGCCACTGGAATGCTGTATATCCGGTCATCGCGAGATCTCAAACGCATCGAATCGGTCCAACGCAGCCCCCTCTTCCAGCACTTTGGCGAAACGCTGAGTGGAGTTGTGACCATTCGAGCATATGGCGATGAATCACGATTCATTGAAGAGAGCAACTTGCGTGTCAACACATATAATCGACCTTTTATCTATTTGTGGGCCACTAACCGATGGCTCGCATTCAGAATCGATGTCGCTGGAGCTCTGGTGTCGTCCTTTTCGGCGATGTTCGTTGTCATCAATGCGAAGACCATCGACCCCGGTGCGGCGGGCTTGGCACTGTCATATGCCATTACCTTCACACAGAACGTCTTGTGGCTTGTACGACTATACGCCGCCAACGAGCAAAATATGAATTCGGTGGAGCGGTTGCAGGAATACATCGATATCGAGCAAGAAGCGCCAGCGAAGATCCCTGAGAATGCCCCCGCCGCCAATTGGCCAAGTCAAGGATCTGTCCAATTCGTCGGCTACAGTACTTCATACCGACCAGACCTGGATCCTGTGCTCAAGCAAGTTTCATTTCGAATTGAAGGGTCGCAAAAGGTCGGCATTGTTGGTAGGACAGGGGCTGGGAAGAGTTCGTTGGCACTCGCGTTGTTCCGAGGACTGGAAGCCGAGAAGGGCAAGATCCTCATTGATGACGTCGATATCGGTCTTATTGGATTACAAGACCTTCGAGAAGCCATCACCATTGTTCCACAGGATCCGACGCTTTTCACAGGAACCTTGCGATCCAACCTGGATCCGTTCGAACTCTTTACGGACGAGGAAATCTTTACGGCTCTGCGTCGGGTTCAGTTGATATCCGGTCCTCGTTCTGATTCCCAGAAATCGGGAGCGACGACACCTTTGGAAGCTTCCAGTCGATCTCCGACCCTGAGGGAACGCTCGAGCCCACCCGAAAGCCATGCCTCCCTGTCGGCTAATGGTACAGATGCCACAGAATCCACGCTTGTTCGCTTTGCCAGCAACACCAAGGGGAATAAGAACATCTTTCAAGATTTGACATCTCCCGTCGCTGAATCTGGATCCAATCTGTCACAAGGACAGCGACAATTGTTGTGTTTGGCACGAGCACTACTGAAGAATCCCAAGGTGCTCGTGATGGACGAAGCCACAGCGTCCATCGACTATGCCACAGATTCAAAGATCCAAGACACTCTGCGGGAGTTGAAAAACAACACCATCCTTACCATCGCACATCGTTTACAAACCATTATCGACTACGACCGCGTGTTGGTGCTCGATAGAGGCGAGGTGGTGGAGTATGCTGATCCATGGGAATTGATTCAAAACGAGGATGGCCATTTCCGGTCCATGTGTGAAACCAGTGGCGACTTTGACTTACTTTATGAGCTCGCGAAAAAATCATGGCAAGATAGAAGACTGGTTGACGACTCTTGAGAAGAGAGAACCCCCAAAAAGCATTGTTTGGGAGGAAGACTTGGGCGTTGCGTTTGACTTTGTTATGGGTAGGAGCGTTTGGTAGGCATTTTTTTCCTTCTTGAGGCAGTATCGACTGTCCTTTGTACATTTACACTAAACACCATCACTAGTATGAGACTAGGTTATCCTTGTTGAGGACACTCAATACGACTGTGAATACCTTCCTTCTTTAAGCTCTGCTGAGCAGTTTCTCGGCTTCTGCCTTTGCAGCCTGCATTGCTTTGAAATACAATTGCGGTCCGATGCTGATCCGGCTGATACCAATATCTCCAAGCTCCTTTGCAGTCAATTTCCCTTCGGCAAAGACGACCGAGGCGTTCAGTCTGCCATCTAAAGCTGTACTCAAGCGCTTGACCTCGTCAGTAGTCAATCCACCGCGCCCACTCCCACCAATGACAAACACAGTGGTGGCTCCAGCCTCGAGATACAACTTCCCGCGCTGAATCGTCTCATCAAAATCCCCGCTCCCCTTCAAAATAGTATCACACCTCGCGTTGACCACGAAGTCCGGCACGCCCTCACCCTTGGCAACCGCCACGGCCTTTCGAATCCTCTCCGCCGCCTCCTCGGGAGCATACTGCACGCCGGTATCCTTATCGACATCCTCGATATTCACGCCCACGGCACCCGCCGCAATGACGCCCTGAATGGCCTCCTCGAGCCGCGCGCCATACCCGTCCTGCAAATCGACGGAGAGCGGTTTCTCCAGCTCGACGGCGACTTTCCCGATCGCGCGCGCGGCCGCGAGATTCGTCTCCAGCGTCATCAGTGCGTCTTCGCTGTCGTTTGCCAGGGCCACGGCGTAGGATGCTGTCGCCAGGGCTTTGGCGGACGGGAGAGACCCGACGGTCCGTGTGGACGCCACGTCCCATACATTCGCCATGATCACGGGCTGTCCGGGGACGTGGAGCGCTTTGAGGGCGAGCGCGGTCTTGTTGAGGTTCGAGTGGGCCATGGTGCCTGTGGTGGAGAACGGGGCTTTGGGTTGATTGAACTGGGGTAGTTGAACCGTGTTGATGGAGGTATGTCGTCTGAAAAGTCTTCTTCGTGGCAGAGACGTGGAAATCCGCGAGGCTTTAAATACTTGTCGAAGGGCGCTCATTCCAGGCTTGTAGTTTAAATATTCACGTGGGCAGGCGCATCCGTTGGGACCTTTGACGAGACTGTTGGTTGTTCTCTACGTGCCAGATGAGAACTTCTTCAAGGGCTGACAAATGGCGTGTTCATATTATTCCTCAAAGGAGCCCCCCGGAGGTCGACGTGAAGTGAGAAGTTACACCGTCGGAATGCTGTTTCCCCTCCTTTAACACGAATACGTCGTTGGACACCAAGCCAATGCCCGACGTCCGTGGCTCAGTGTCCAGCTATGGTCTGGGGCACTTTGAGCGGGCACTCAGTATTCGTTGTTACATTGGCTCGGTGATAGCGGATCGAACGCCGTCCTCGACAAGGCCTTACCTCTTGTCATGCCTTCACTTCATCGGACAAGTAGGTCGTTGCTCCATTAAAGCGGCGATATCTTTCGGGTAAGGCTCTTAAAGCGGCACTGCAGTATTGGAGGCTCCGCAGTCTGAACATCATGATTTTCGAAGGGACATAGGATGCATTGGTGTCTCCATTGACCACGCCTCCTTTCCATGGCCCTCTTTAGGGCGTCACCTACGCTTGCAAGATGCTCGTCTCAAAGCCCGTTCTTCTTGAATCCTCCCGTCACCACTCCGACCTCGACCTTTATCGGACGAACACGACCCTCTGGTGCCAATCGCATCCGACACAAGCACTCAGATCTTGAACGTGAAATGTTCTCCAATGACTCCCGCAAGATGCCATTACCACTTCGCAAAATGTTCTATATCACGGTCGGTGCAACAGTAGGCATGATGGCCTACCAGACAGTCTCCTTGAGTATTGGTTCCGACGGCTTCATGGAATGTGAACTCGTCGCAAAGGAGTCCGTATCACCCACGGCCAGCATATTCTACCTCGACCCAGACCCGAATCGGCTGAAGCACCCGAACCGGCTCCAAGAGCTAATGGCTGCGGACGGGTTCCTCCTCGACTATCCCAAGATGGCGATGAGGACCAACAACGCCAGGAAGCTTAGAGATGCCTGGAACGAAGGAACTCTGTGGAGTCTCGAGTTCAAGCAGCCCCAATTGCAGATCGTGAGGCACTACACGCCACTACCTCCGAGTGCGGTGGACAACGAAGAGAGGAAGGGTTGCGTCAAGTTTCTGATCCGCGAAGAGGATCGAGGCGAGATGTCGTCCTATCTCCATAACTTGAAAGTATCGCGCAGTGACCCAACCCCAGGGGAGCAGATGTTGTCGGCGCTGAAAGCCATCGTTACCCTCAGCCCACCGCCCAAGCCGGTGCCGGTCGGTAAGAAAACCGACAGGACGACAGTCGATGTCAGAGGACCGAACCATGATTTTCGACCAGGAAAAGATGTCCGTCAAATTGTCTATTTCGCCGGCGGGACGGGAATTGCCCCAGCCTTGCAAACTGCTCACGCGTTGCTGGGCAATCACAAGGTGAATCGGGCGGTCGATCCGACAGACCTCGCCACCCGCAAACTACACATTCTGTGGGCGAATCGGACACGCAGCGATTGTCTGGGCGGCCAAAGTGATCCTGCTCCGGAACTGCCACGTGTTCTGCAGGAGCCTCGTCCTCAGTCTCAAAGAGGGGGGTTCTGGTCCAAGCTGGGGTTTACCACAGAGCCAACGAACGTGCCGGTCGAGCCAACATCAGCCCCGACGCCTCCATCATCGACAATAGCTGCAACAGCGGACACTTCCAAGCACACCAATCGCATCGTCAGAGAGCTCGAAGCCCTGAAAGACAAGTATCCAGGTCAGGTGACGGTCGAGTATTTTGTCGATGGGGAAAACACTTGGATCGACAAGAACACTGTATCAAAGGCTTTGGGCCGATTAAAAGACGGAGAGATCCGTGATATCCAGAATTCCGTGTCTCCCGGCCAGCGTCAAGTAATGGTCTCGGGTCCGCCGGGCTTCATCGCCTACTTGGCGGGTCCAAAGGTATGGATCGACGGATGGGAACAACAAGGTCCCCTTGGAGGTCTCATCGCGCGAGAGCTTTCCAGTGCGCCGCAGAATGCAAAGGTCGTCAAGATCTGAAATGCAGTGAGAGACATGACTATGTTTTGAGCCAGATACATTAAGGGCCTTGAAAGCCACTTATACCCCGTGAGCTGCCTTGATTTGAGTGTGCGAGCATATCTCAACTCGTGGCCTATGAAGGCAGATCTCCTTCGGCCATCCACCTCGACAGCAGGGGTCTAGGCTGCCTTGGTAGCAAGCTATGAGGCTGTGACCTCAACAAAGCGTGTGACAGCACGCGAGCCATGTATAATGAACAATGTACAACATAGATGTATAGAACGAAGCGGAGTACAGGCTTCCCTTGGAGCGAGCCACTGGAATTCGGCTAGACATCCTCATATTTCTATTTAATGACAACGTTTCAGATTCCCCTTCTACTCTATCTAGACTTCGATCTAGTGACCAATATCTGCATCAATGAACGGCCTCTTGCGTATCAAGCATATGACAACCACTTTACAACTTCACATTACCCTTGGCCTCGCGCTTGGCCAAGTCCCTCAGCTCTCTCCTCAGGATCTTCCCACTCGGACTCTTAGGAATCGCATCGAGGAAAAGACAGCCACCTCGCAACTGTTTATGGGCCGCGAGATTCTGTTTGACAAACTCCTTGATCTGCCCAGCGGAGATCTTCTTCGCGTCCGCCACGACGTATGCGCGGGGCAGCTCGTTGCCACTGCCCGATGGATCCGGCACGCCGATGACGGCGGCGTCGAGGATCTGGTCGTGGCTCAGCAGGAGGGCTTCCAGTTCCGCCGGCGCCACCTGCAGGCCCTTGTACTTGATGAGTTCCTTCTTTCGGTCGACGATGTAGAACATGCCGTCGCGGTAGACGCCCACGTCGCCTGTCTTGAACCACTTTCCGTCTTGGGTGAAGGTCTCTGTGGTCGACTTGGGGTTCTTCCAGTATCCCTTTGTGACCATGGGGCCTTGGACCTGGTGATCGAGACGAGTTAGCACATTTGTTCAAGTTGAGGAAAGGCCTCGTGTGGCATGAATTGACTTACGATGAATTCACCCTCTTGACCCTCTTCCACATCGTTCTCATCGTCATCCACCACTCGCAGACGAACATTCGGCAACAGAGGCGAGACCGAACCCGTCTGATCATCCTGATCCCACGGCATGCCAGTGACACTCCCCGTCGTCTCACTCAGGCCCCACGTCTGCGAAATACTGCAGCCTAGCTTCTGCTCCGCCAGAGCCTGCAACTCGGGCCCCATCGGCGCCGCCCCCGTGATCGCATGCCGCAGCGTCTTGAACTGGTCCGTCACCGCCGGACTCTTGGCGCAAAGCAGGTAGATCGGCGGCACGGTGAAGAAGAACTCGATCTCGAATTTCTTGTTGTACTCGAGAAACTTTGCAAAATCGAATTTCGGCATCCAGTAGACGGGGCCGCCCGCGATGGATGGATTGACAAAGTACCCCTGGCAGCCAGCGATGTGGGCGGCGGGTAAGTGGGCGAGGGTGCGGTATCCGAATTTGAAGTTGGCGTCTTTCTGGCGTTGCTTCGCCATCCATTCGCGCAGCATGTATTGCGGGATCAGACCTTCGGAAACGATGTTGGAGTGGCTGAGATTGACACCTGCGTGAGTTCGGTCAGCGGTGTTCGCGCCATGTGCGAGTAGGAAAGCAAGCAAGCAAGCACTTTACCTTTAGGAACGCCCGTCGTGCCACTGGAATACAACAGGCAAATAACCCTGTTCTCCAGCACCTCACGATCAGTCACGACCTCCCAGTGCAACCTCTCCTGCAGTGACCCTTCGCCTTCGAGAAAATTTCTCCCATTCCCCTGCACACTCTCCAACACCCTCGTCCCTCCCATACTGTCCAACACCAACACCCTCCCGGCATCCAAACCACACTCGGCCGCGGCCTTGGTCGCGACCTCGACACAATCAGGACTCGCAACCACGACCTTCGCATCCCCCTGCCTGATCTGCCTGGCCAGCTCCATGACGGTAAAACTCGAGCTGGCCGCCGAATAGATTCCCCCGGCGGCAATGACACCGTAGAAGGCGGGCGCGAGCAACACCTGGCCCGACGACATGACGACCACGACATCCCGCCCGGACACGCCGTCACCAGCGATCCCGTAGCTGTGCCGCAGCGCATACGCGATGCGCTGGCTGTAGATCCGCGCCTGCGCTTTCGTTACGCTATTGGACGGCAGCGCGGCTTCCAGGTGCAGGATCGTGTCGTCCGTGCTGTGGCTTTCCGGCGACGTGTAGATTAGACTGCAGAGGTCGAGTGCCGGGAGCGAATAGTCTTTCACCGGGTTGTAGATCCTTGTGGCGGGTGCCATGTTGATGGTGTCCTGTGGAATAGACTCGTCTGTTCCTCGCTGCTGAAAGGGTTTCCTTTGATGGCGAGTCGAAATGGTTTGTGGACCAGCGAAATGCTTCCTTGTTCTTGTGCTTTCTAGAGACACCGCTCCTCTAACACCTCAGTCTTTCTGCCGTGGTACAGTAAACACCCGGCCTATGTGATTCAATTTCAAAAACACTCTGGCAATGCCCCTCCTCACGCACGGAAGGCAAAGATTCCCACACGCGCGCTCAACACAAAGCGAAATCTCCTATTGAGTACACCCCCCAAGTAAGCGAGCGTCGAACAAAGTATCCGCGAGCTCAGAGCTAGCTAGCTAGCTAGCTAGATAGATGGAGAGAAGTTGAGCAGCGGCACACGGAGAGATAGAAAGCAAGAAACAGGAAATTGAAGAACTATGACAGGCAAGCTCTCTTTCAGCAAGGAGCTATGAATGTGTGTATGTGCCTAGGTAGGTATCATCCTCGATCCACGTCTAGTTCGTCAGGTAGCAAGTAAGTACTATAAAATATTTTCTCCCACCCCCCTGGCTGGGCATTCCAGGTCGGCACCTCGGGTGTCAGATAGTACGGTCCACTGTACATTGGAGGGGAGGAGTCAGTCTTTTGAGACCGGCAAGCAGCAGCAGCAGCAGCAGCACCTAGGCCAACACCGTACCCTTGCCCTGAAGTCGGTACCTCGTGTGTAACTAGAATCCTCGCACGCACGCACGCACGCAAAGCAGCTGGTCGCGATGGGGGCGGAGTGTGGGGTAAGTGGTCGCTGGTTATTTTAGCCTCCAGCCGAGGGTGAGCCTCGGTTGATTGTTTGGGTTTGAGGCTGGACTCCGTTTGTGTGGGTTTTGATACGAGGTAATTTACTCCGGAAAGAGTGCTGTTTTGAGGATCAGACGTACATACGGATGTGATTATTGCGATTCTGTTGATGATTTGAGACTAGTACGGCACGTGCGAGCGTACATAGACGAGGAGGGTATGCAGGACATCATTCATTAAAAAATGTAGTTATTTATTCGTGTTTGGCAATGTGCCACTTGTAACACTGGTTGCTATTGAATGAAGCTTTCGATGTCCATGAACATGCCATCTTTCCCTTACTCTTTCCGATCCAAAAGGTAAGTAAGAATCCCAGTGAGTACCCAATGTTAACACCGCTCGCTCAGGCCCAAAGAAACAACGACTAATCCAAACAGCGCAGTTGTGCTCGGAAATCCGAAGATGCTGCATCGTAAACTGACTCCGGATCAAAATGGAGCCACTGAAGAAGGCGGAGGGCTATCGTGCCACACGTACACCACCGTTACCTCTTGCTTTTGGGCGTGGTCGGTGTTGTGACGCTATTAGAGCCGCTTCTTCCTCCCTCGCTATCGCTGTCCGAGTCATGATGACCATCGCCAATCATGCCCTGCATGAATGAAATGTAATCATATTTGGGCACGTCTCGATCTGCTTCCATATCTGGCCCTTTGTGTTGGGGCATACTCTGAAGCAGATCTTCAATGAGCTCATCAGGGATCAGTGAATGCCTCAGGTCCATCTCGGTCACGTAGGGTTTTCCATCCGCCACTTCTCGGAATGATTGGAAGACTTGGTCGGCACTGTTTTGATCTTCTGTCACCGAAACCATGAATCGGATGAATTGTTCGAATCCAACTCCATGGCTCTCTCGTTGCCTGCGTGACACCGGAGACATGGATCTCTCAATGCCGCTGTGACAGACTTCCTGGAACTTGTCGTGCATCTCTTGCTCGTCATAGACCAGCCCGAGACTTGCCAAAGCTGCACTGAATTCCAGCTCTTGTAGAGCATTGGTACAGTCTCGATCAAAATGGCGAAACACCGACTCAAATTCTTCCAACTGGATGGGAGTCAAATTGGTCATGTTCCTGGCCACCATTTGATTCTCAAGGAAGGTGAGCTTTTTCTGCACACTGGTCTTGACCAAGCTCAACTCATACATCAACTCGTCATAAGTGTATGTGGTAAAATCATTTTCGTCAATGTTGGCTTCTTGACACTTTTCGTCCAGGATTGCTATTCCTTCGAGATATTGTTCCAGCGGCACCAAGTTTGCGGAGAGTCGTTGGGCGTGTTGCAGTTGATCGTCGACGTCACCTTCGAGACCAGAGACGGCGAGAGACAAGGTATTGAGTGTCAGAGCGAAGTCATTAGCCTTGTCCGCAAAACTTCGGCGGAGGGCATTCTTGATATCACGGATGGTTTCATTGATCAGTTTGCTTCGAGCATGCTCATCGGCAGCGAGGCCTGCCCACTCATTGTCCAGGACCTCAAACCGCAGCTCGGGCCGTGGGATATATGGTTGCAAACGATAAGTCAAAAGTTTGGTCTTGATATTGCCGAGGAGGGCGGCAAGATCTGATTTCTCGGCGACCCACTTCCTTTTCTGGTTCCGCTTGAAGCCTGCCAGATCGTTGGCCTGGGCTTTGGCATCTGCATACGTCCCTGCAAAGGTGGAGTTGTGCCAGTCTTGTCTCTGCTGTCTGATGCACTGCAACAAGGCACGCATTCTCTTTTCATAGGCGTTTTCCATTTCCCAAGCGCCTTGCATGTTGGAGACGAACTTTTCCACCCGTCGACCCGCATTCTCGACCTTTTCCATGGCGCTAAAAGCATGAAACCAATAAGCAATATAGGTCATGAGCGATCGTTCGTCGGGCCTGGGAACATCAGCCACATCCTCCACATCCAACAGGTCCGGTATGCCAATCTCTTTGGAGGCGATATCAAAAGCCAATTGCATATTTCCCTTGTGGTCGGATTTGTCCAAGGTATCAAAGTCAATCAGATCTGGTCGGTGAATGTCCAACAAGGCACAGAAAGCCAGACCGTTGTTCCACGACGTCGAAAAGTCTCGGACCTCGACGCCCTCGTAGCAGGCAGTTTTGCGTTGACACCATAAAAGGAGACCCTCCTTGGCGGTCATGCCCTCCTCGTTGATGTCGGAAATGGTGAAGCGTAAAATCAGAGTCCATATCAGACCCAGTATAATCTTTCTGTTTCCATCCACCACATCTTCGGCGCCTATGTTTGTCATCATGATCCCGCGGCTCTTGATGAATTCCAGCGACTTGTTGACATTCTCGAATTTCTGCACCCGCAGGCGAGGGTTGGAGGCATAGCGACCGAGCGAGTCATTGCTGAGGACTTCTAATAGATGTATAAGAATGATACCGTCTGCTAGATCTGTGACGAGGGAAGAGACAGCGACATCTCTGGAAGCGATCTTGTTATTGAGCCTGTGGGAAGTTAGTGTCGGGAAATATCGTCGAGGAGGAGACGCACCATTTGGTAAAAGTCTTCTCTTGCACATTGACCCATTGCTTCTCCAACAGTACCATGGCTGCATGTCAGACAATGATGTTGATTATAGAATACAGGAGATGGATGAGGATGGGCGGTGGAGAGAGTGTGTGTAGAGGTCCGAGCTGCGGTGAAGATCTTGTGGGAGGGGGATGTGATCTGATCTGACACGGATTGAAGCAGCTGAAAGAAGGAGACCGAGATACAACCAGTACGAGTATTGAGTAAAAGCGGTACGGAGTGCGATTAGTCGTATGTAAGTAGATGGACCAGTGACGAAGCGGCGGTGGTGGTTCGTGTCAACAAAGGCTGGCCGGGCTGGCTGTGTGTTCGTCTTCAGCCCCGTCGGCGGAGAAACCGCCTTCCGTGAAGCCGGACCCCTGCGACTTCCCTCTGACATCCCCTGTAGGCCGTAACTGCCTTGAGAACCACCCCCCAAGACCTCCGAGTCACGAGTCACGGATGCTCCATCCATTCCTCCAATCAGCATACCACCACAAACTACGCGTCCTCAGACGTGTCTCAATCTTTTTCAAATCTCGCAGGCGAAATTAAAAGAGCGATCTAATCACATTCATAAAATGATTCATAAGATGGCTCAGGGGAACGTCGATTCCTCGATGGCCTGATACATACTCGCAGAATGGACTTTGATTTTCTATCTTGATCCTATCGTCTTGTTGACAGTCAATGACATGACCTCAGCTTTGGTCCTTTGCAATGACGCCATGACTTCGAACCCTTCGGCAACACCCTTATCGTGGATCATGGACGTCTTGGTGATTGATATGTACTCTCAAAATATAGGGAATGGAATGCTAAGTGGATTTTCTTTTCGTCGTTGACCTTTTTGCACATCGTGATCAACTCAACATGCCCGTTCAGAAAGAGTCCCGTGAAAAGTCCTGCTGGGTCACCTTGATCACCAAGCCGTCTTATCTGCCCGGTGCTGTGATCCTTGCCCATACTCTTGAAACTCAGGGATCCAAATATCCCCTTTTGATTCAGTATACATCCTCCTTGGGCAAAGAAGCTATCGCTGCTCTCCAGGAGGAAGCAGATAATTATGGTCGCATCCAACTCCAAGAGGTTGATTTGCTCTTGCCACGAAAAGACCAAGAGAACAAAGGCAGTGTCGCCGAGCGCTTCAAGGACACTTTCACCAAACTCCGAGCCTTTCAAGTCTATGAGCATGGCTACACGCGTGCCGTCTTCTTGGATGCCGACATGGCGGTGTTTAGAAATCCGGATGAGATTTTCGATATTGAACTTCCAGGTCGAGATTGGTTGGCGGCCAATCATTCTTGTGTCTGCAACCTGGACTACGATGAATGGGCCCCTGCAGATTGGCAAAAGGGGAACTGTGCTTACACTCCCCTGACTCATCCAGATGATGTGGCCGCACGAATCGACGCTTCCAGTCGTCCAACATATCAGTTATTGAACGGGGGCATGTTTCTCTTTTACCCGACTGAAGACTTGTGGCAGAGAATGCTCCATCATTTCAACACCACTGACAAGCTGAAAGAATATCAATTTCCCGACCAAGACTTTCTGGCAGATTTCTATCGGGACAAGTGGTGCCCTGTCTCCTGGAGATACAATGCACTGAAGACGATGCGATATTGGCATCCTCGCATTTGGTCAGACGAGAAACTCGTGATTCTCCACTACATTGTAGACAAACCTTGGGAGAGACAAGTTGGCCCCAATGGAGTTGCCGGGCATCTGGGGAGAGACGGCGAGACACATGAGTGGTGGTGGAATCTCTACCATGGTTGGAGAAGCCAGAGGAAAGAGGAACAGAACAGTCCACTGGTGCTGTCAGCCATGCATCGGCTGGTCGATACGGAGAAGCCGTTCACAGAACGTATTCCTCTTCCTCAGAGTGTGGGTCAACCTGAAGACGTTCAGCCTTGGCCGTGATTATTTCGACTTGGGAATCACAATGGAATGCTTCCTATCGGCCTTTCACCAGTCCTAGCTGGTCTGTCGTGGACGACTAGGAGTCTCCCCCTTTTCGGTATTCCTTCCTCTTTTGCATATCGAGATTCACGTGTGATTTCCTGGTCGTCACTGCCAGATCTATTCAGATACCTTCCAGTTGTTTCTAGTCGCCACTGCCGAATCTCATTGTCGGCTTTCTCGTTCTTAACCAGACGTCACTGTCAGTTCACCAGTTATCGTCTTCACGGTTCAAATGCCGACGCCTTTCTCATGGCTTCCTATTTAAGCCACCTTTGTCCTCGTTCTTCTCATCACTTGCTCGTCTCCTCCCCGACCTTCTTTGTCATCATCTTTCCTTCATCCATTGTGCTCATTACCCGACAGTTTGTCCCTCGATCTCCGTTGCTGTAAGTATCAAAGAACTTTGTTTGTCAATTTACGTGAAACTGATCACTCTATTTAGTCGCGACATCAAAAACACAACCACCCATATCGATCTACCAACTCCACCAAACAAAATCAAAGGACAGACACCCTCGCCATGGCTGTAAGTACTAACCCCAACCACCCTCGTCTGGATCAAGGCCAATACTCACTCTCGCAGGTCAAGTACATCCTCTTCGACTGTGACAACACCATCGTGAAGTCTGAAGACGTCGCCTTCGCAGCCTGTGCCGAGCTCGTAAATGAAGTCCTGGCCAAACATGGTATCAATGAACAATTCACCGGAGAGAGTTTGATCGCCAAATTCGTTGGTCACAACTTCCGTGGAATCATGGAGATCTTGCAAGATGACTACAACTTCAAGCTGTCCGCCGAAGAGCTCAACGCTTACGTTTCAACCGAAGTCGACCGTGTCATCACAAAGCTTCAAGCCAAGGCCGAGCCATGTGATGGTTCCATGGAGGTCTTGACCAAATTGTACGACGAGAAGAAGTACAAGCTTGCTGTTGTCTCATCGTCTGCTCTTCGTCGCGTTCAGGTTTCCATTGCAAAGACTGGACAAGACAAGTTCTTCCTTGCCGACGAAGTCTATTCCGCTGCGACCTCTCTTCCCAAACCCACCAGCAAGCCTGATCCTGCCATCTATCTCCATGTTCTCGACAAGTACGATGTCAAGCCTGAAGAATGTGTTGCAATCGAGGATTCCATGTCAGGTGCGACCGCAGCAGTTCGAGCAAAGATCCCCCTCATCGGCTATGTTGGGGCCTACCTTACCGACGCAAAGAAGGACGAGATCACAGACAAGTTTGCTTCCCTCGGATGTACTGTCGTCATGCGCCACTGGAGCGAATTCGAGAAGTGCTTGGCTGCGATTGAGGCTGGCCGTGTCTAGAACGACAAGGGCTGTGGTGTGAACTGGCGAGCTTTCTCAGAGTTGCCCACAACAAACGCTTCATGCGAAGCAGCATGGCCGACATGCAGAACATGTAACAATACTTTCGACCATCAAACGAAGATGTGACCTGCAGACTGCAAGACAGAATCGTGACATCAAGACGATGAAATGTCAACAGTGACAAGCAATCAAACGCAATTGTTTACCCACAACTTTCCTTCTCCTCTTCGTGCTTCTGTGTTTGCGTAGAACAATCTCGTAGTCTGTCAATGTCTCCTAGAATTGAGTCTGTAGTCTAGTTTGCTCCCGGCGCACCTTCTCCTGTATTAACTTAGTTCTCTCTACTAAGTAATATAGCATTTATATGAAGCTACGAATTATCCGAAGATCCGGAAGTCCACCCAGGCCCGATCTTGCTTCGTGATGCATTCCAGTGGTTTCCAAAAATAATTTCATTGTGTGGACACATTCCTGACAATTAGGATGGTGCCTGCGCAACCATGGCCATCAAGAAAATGCCGTCTTCCACAAACAAACGACGACATGCCACCTCCAAGTCTCTGGACGAAGATAAAACCACCGCTGAAAGCCTCAGCCATGAACAGCCGCAAATTCAATATCTACCCGACATGCGCAGGCTCGTGGGAACACCACTCCGCGGCAGTGGCAACGTCCCATCCCAGCCCGGCGGCAACCCAAGAGGACTGATCCCATCACAACAATATATCAGCCGCATCCAGCGGGCCCCGATACCCATACCGGCGTCGTCTATACAGACACTGACACCCAAACTCCGCCGCTCGCCCCTCCCCTTCACCTACGGCGGCGCGGAAGTCAGTCTCGACCCCTCAACCCTCTCCATTCGCCCCGACGCCACGGCCATCGAGCAGATCAAACTCGTCATCCCCGTCGTCCCGAGGATGATGAACGGCCAAGCCGATCTGCCCAAGATGCTCGCCATGCTGGTCTCCCATGCGAATGCGACCGCGGTTCAACCGCCACCGCAGATATCAGCGGATGTGAACGCGACTGTGCTGGGCAGTGAGGTCGATACCCCCGGTGCGGACTTCGATTTGTTGTTGAATAGCTTGAGCGAGTCCGGGCTTGTGGGGGCGAAGAAGTTGTGATTACAGACTTTTGGGACTGCTCTTACTGCCAGGCTCGGTATGGCGATGAAGTTGGCTGTCCTTAATGAGAAGGCTGGGACCACAGGATGTTGAACATCCACTGATCGGACTCGAATCTTGGGGATTGAGGGGGAGATATCCGGAGTGGGAATCCTGGCTATGATACTCTTGACCTGGCTGAGCATTATCTTGAGTAACTCATCCCCTTCATCAAACAAAGGTCGGAAATAATGACAATTGCGATTGCCTTTGAATCTGGTATTCCTGAGCCAGTCCACTTACCTCTTTATTGTATCAAGAGATGAATAAATTTCACTCCTTCTCCTTTCTTACCTTGGGATTTTCACAGCAAAAGGACGATTCTGCAGATCGTTCGACCTCGAAACCCATGAATCGTTCCTCACGCATCAATTCCATGCACGTACTAGCAATTGGGTCGTCCTCCTTGAATCGCTCTGCCCATGGCATTGTCGGATCTAACGGCTTGCTTGTTCCTGCCTGGGTCGATTCTGTGCAGCCATGTTCAGGCAGTGCAACAGGTCTTCGTGACATCTGTCTGTTAGATGCCACCACGAACCTCGGAAATTTGCCGTGTCTGTTCAAAGATCCATTGTCTCGTGGGCGACAGGGGTCAGTGGGTTGTTGGAACAAATCTGTATTGTCTTGCTCTCTGAAGCTCTCACAGCTTTTTTCGAGTCTCATTATGTGAAGTCCGACTTACGTTGTAGTGTACCGCCATCCCACCCCAGGTCTTGACTCTTAAGTTCCATAGCTGAAGACACCACATCTGAAGATCTGTTCTCTCGCGCTCTCGAACCGATCTTAGAAACCATTTGAGTATGCTGTACACCAGTGACTCTGAAGTTCAGCCCCCTGGAAAATTCCAACCTCCTACTTTCGACCCAGCTCTGAGATTCGTCTTCGTCCATTTCGTATCTTGGTAGATCAAGCATTGGCCATTCAGGATACTCTGCTGTCTGACTCTATGCCATACTCTCTCGAGTATGTCATTCGTTGCCTTTGGATTTGAGCCTCATTTTTCTTTGACAATGGTTTTGGGACGAACTGTCTTGAAATTGCAGCGATCTGCCGTAGACGCAAAACCCGCAGCCCCACAGTTGAACTTACCTTGAATAATCCTCCAGTGTGATTGTTTTCTCCTGGATTCGAAACATTGAGCTTTACCTGGGCTTGGGCCGCTCCACCCTTCTCCCTAGTGGCTTTTGGGTGTTCTCTTTTGGCACTGAAGCCATCTGCTATTGCTAAATCTCACGTATCTGAACTTACCATCAATCTTGTAAGCTCTGATCGCGCTTCCCTTCCGGCAAGACGCTGTCAGCGATCGTATGGTAAATGCTGGAGAAACACGAGATTAGACCGTACACGGTGTCGTAGAAGATCTTCATCTTAGAATTCTCCAGACATTTCCAGTTGAAGGATCCGTCCAGCTAGCACAGAAAGGGAGCATTCAAAGTACAAGGGTATGCACTTGAGAGTCCTTGTAGCAACTCCGACCCTGAAAACCCTTCAGAAGGAAGAGGCAACCTCCCATCGTCAGCCTGGTCCTTATTCCACGTCATTCAGGGTCATACCATGTGAGAGCTCTCGCAAAGCCTAGCTAGTTCTGCCCCTGCCCGCTCTTGCTCTTTCATTCTTTCTCCTCCGGATTTTCTCATGCAATACAGGCTATTCCTGAGTTTTCATGTTGTCAAGTACCTGGCAAAGGCAACACGCGATGGTTAGCATGGTCGCTGTCCCGCTTTAGTCAGGCTCCTGACATGTGGGAGTTCCTCCAAAGACCTATACAGTTTTGCTCTTGCCGGGTCTTCCTCTTTTACTCTCATCATCCCTTTTCTCCATGGAATACATGCTGTGTTATGAGCTATCATGTCTTCGAGTTGTCTGCGAAGACAGTCATCAACCCATGGTGTTCAAAAAGCGACCATAGAGAAAAACTTCATGAGTGGTGGATCAGCTGTTTGGACCCATGAATCAAGCATGTCCAATGTCTTAATCCACCAAGGTTGGCTCTCATGATCAATGCGGACAGCCACAATCACTTCCCGGAATGGTCAGGCTGATACATTCGAGATGTATCGAAGACCAAAGTTGTCCGTCATCAATGGGGAGGACGCTGTGTTCCGACATTTGAGCAGCTAGGCACCAAAGCAAGGGCATTTACTGCCCGGCAATTGGCTCCAAGTCTGCTGACCTGATATGAGAAGAGCCACCATCTCTCCCCATATTCTAGAAGCAAGCCCGCTCCTCTTCAGCCCAAAATTGGCTGGGAGGGAGAACTGTCCTCCTGCTGGCGTGCTGAACAACCATGTCGACCAACTGGGTCGGCAAATCACCAGAACAATAGTAAGCCTTGCACCCCCTATTGGCTCGGAAAGTTCAGCCTTGCGTTCCACCACCCTCCAAATGCTTCACTGCACGAACGCAGTGACAGTTCATTCACAGATCAACAGCTTCAATAGCCGGATTTCTGAGGCTATAAATCCCACAGTCGCGATCACACTTTTGCACCAAAATTCTCTTTTCCGCTCACGGATCTCAACAACCTGATTTCAGTCAACCCGCAACATAAACACACACCTACTTGTTCACCCATTCAGTTGCACTCGCGACGACTCAGAATCCCTTCCCCTTTCACACATTGAATTCTCCTTTCACACAGTTCACATCACGCAGGCTCCGCTTCAGGTTCCGGATCTTTCTTTGCACAATCAAGTCTCCACTCTCATTCAGCACAACCCAGATTCACCACACATCATTGTTGCATAGTCATCATTCACCATGTCGTCCTATCCAGAACTTCCCCTCGACAGTCAGGACGTCAATGAATCTGCTCAGCAACCTCAGTCAACCTATCCCTATCTTCCTTCTGACAGCCAGGACGTAAATCAATCTGCACCACAAATCCAGTCGTCCTATCCCGAACTTCCTCTCCTCAATCAGGATGCGAACGACCTTGCCCCACAGTATCAATCGGCCTACGCTAACTTCCCTCTCGTCAATCAGAGTGTGAATAACTTTGCTCCTCAATTTCAATCAGCCTATGCCAACCTTCCTCTTGTCAGCCAGGATGTGAACGCCCCAACTGTGCAATTCCAATCGACCTATCCGGCACCTTCTCTCAATAGCCAGGATGTGAATGCGTTTGCTCCGCAATTCGAATCGACCTATCCCGCGATGCCGTTCATTAGCCAGGCTGTGAATGACGCTCTCCGACAGTTCAATGACAACGACGACGACGAAGTGACAGCATTGATCAACAACCACAACGGCCTAACCACGTCTGACGGTCTTCCGGATCCTTCTGTTGCCAACCAAGACTCTATTTATACCTCCATCTTCCCCCAAGACATCTGTAAGTTTTCTCTTTCCTCTTTTATTTCTCATACCTCTCCACATCAACATGTCTTTCCACAATGTCAAACAAAGTTTTCATTATTTCCCCTCGAGGAGGGGAAACCCATCCCTCCTTTACATCTTTTCTTTCTTTTGGGCCCTTGTGGCCGGGGCATTTGGTGCAAGTCTCCCACAGCAACTCCAGCGGATCTGAACTTACATTTTGCTAACATTCCTTCTTCTTACAGCCGATGCCGAGCTTCGCTTGATGGCGATGGGGGCCGCTACCGCAATGGGAGCGAACCAGGCGGGGGCTGGTTGTGAGTTGCTTCCCCTTTCCCTTTCCCCCTTTCCCCCTTTCCCCTTTGATCCTCATTCTCTTTTGATTGTCTTTGACTAACCACATTTCTTCTTCTCACAGCCGCTTCAAGCGGACCTCCCCCGACCTCGGTCGCAGCCCTGCCCTCCCTCCCGCCTGCCGCCATTCTCCCGGTCTCTGCTCCTCCCGTCGCCGCCGCCCCCCTCCCAACCCCCGTCGCACCTCAAGTCCAGGGTGCCGGTGTTCCGGCCCCTGTGACCATGAAAAAGCGACGGGTGGTTGACGTTGTGGACCCATACTGCTGCCATCTTTGTTTCGCCGTCTTCACCGGCCCAGGTGGCGTGCGAAATCACCTGATGGGCGCAACGAGGGGCGGTGGCCACGCCTGGTCAAAGCAACAAATCGACAACGACGCGTTGGGTCGTGCGCCAAGGACCCTTGGGCACTTCACGGCCCAACACGTCGACACCAGATACACGGGCACCAACCCGAAGCAGAGGAACAACCGCCGGAGGATGGCGCAGGGCCTGGACTCCTCGCAGCCAGGATACCTCAGAGACGTCTACGGACGGTAAACAAGAGAAATTGTGAATGGAAGTGAGAAGAAAGCCGGATTTTGGCTCCGCGCTAGGACACTATTAGTATAGTGATCTGGCTCTTCAATTGGCCAAAATGAAATGCTAGCATGATTAGCTTAAACCCTGATATTTCTTCTTGTTCTTGAAGTGCTCCCAATATTCAAACCCCCTTTCCCATGCTGCAGTCTTTCCCACTTCGTTGGCTTGTTTTTTTTGTCCCTATTTTCACAGTCTTGCGTACATAGCGTGCTCCCCCTAACATTATCGTGCCTTCCGTGTGCTGCACAACCCGTTTTCGCACTTGTCGTTTTCGGACCTTATCGTTTCCGGCCTTGTCGTTTCCCGGCCTTGTCGCTTTCGCGGATTTTCGTTTTCGGACTTTTCGTTTCCATCATTTTTTTCCGCCATTATGCTACCAGCGTACTCTGGCCGGACAAAGCGCCTCTACTGTGTGCTGGGAAGGGTATGCCCTCGCATTATGGGTATCCTATCTCACAATGGGAAGGACACTCGCTTGCTGGCCAATGCCCTGGTCCTGTGAGCTGGAGATGGAGCGCTCTAGCTAGCGAAATACCCTGCCCCTAACCACTGGCAAGGGGATGCTCCAGCTCCTCAAAAGGCCTGTCCCTAGATACTGAGGAGGGCGTGCTCCATTTGGCTCAAGCTAACCCGATTCCTCGAACCGGATTGTCTGGCCGGTCTGCAGACTCTCCTGCAATGCGCGGGCGATGACCATGACCATCCTCCCGCTCTCCAGTGGCAACGGGACGGGAGTGTCGTTCAAAACGGCGTTGACGAACTCGGTCGCTTCGGTGGCAAACGCATGTTCGAAGCGCTGCCAATAATCGGGCTGGACCTCGTGTCGAAGACCCGACTTGTCGCCCAGCACGACGTTGTTCGCCCGTGGCGTCAAGTTGATCTGGACTTTGCCTTGCGTGCCTGTCACTTCGGTGCTGACGTCGTGTCCGTATGCCTGTGTGCGTGAGGCGAGGTAATACCCGATCTTTCCACCGTAATACTCGACCACACCGACGCCGTTGTCCACGTCGTTTGCTTCTGCGAGCTCCGGGTGGTGCTTCAATGTGCCGACGGCGTAGCAGCTCTTGGGCTTGGGATTGTCCAGAAACCAGAGTGTCAGGTCGATGTCGTGGATGGTGCAGTCGACGAAAATGCCCCCGTTGCGTTTCGCATATGCCGTGAAGAAGCCAGTGTCGTCGAGCAGGTCTCCCGTCTGGCTGCGGATCATGTATGTTTCTCCAATGGCTCCGGATTTGACCTTCTCGTACGCGTCTCGGTAGGAGGTGTCGAAGCGGCGGGAGAAGCCAGCCATGACTTTCAGGTCTGGTCGCTTTCTGGCGGCTTCGAGCGCTGCGTCGATCTACGAGTGGGGTGGATGCTTTAGTATTTATCTTCTGAAAGGCCTGGGGCGAAGGTGAATCTCAATACACTTACCTCCTCCAAGTTTGTGCTCAGAGGTTTCTCGCATAGCACGTGTAGACCTTTTTCAACGGCCTGGATGGTCTGGATTGCATGGACATCGGTGCTTGTCGAGACCCAGACAGCCTGCAATCCAGGGTGCTCTAGCATCTCTTCGTACGTGTTATATGCTGTAATGCCGAAGTCGATGTAATCTGGCTCTTTGCGTGCCCATTCGACCTCCGACGGCGTGGAGCTTGATACTGCGACGACGCGAGCTCGTGGTACTCTGTTCAGCAATGTGGAAACATGACGCTTGCCCTGAAAAGGAAAGTCAGTATGAAGAGTTGTATCATTCTCTACCGAGCAGAGCTACGCTATTGGGATGTCCGGTGCCGTGACAAGACGCAAAGGGCGATGACTTACCATGCGACCCAAGCCCACAACGGCGATATTGAGGACTTTTGGTCGTGAAGACATTGCTTTAAGAATCCGAAGCAATGAATCTGTTGATTGTTGACAGGAGACTGGAATGATATATCAATTCAACAGGGCGTCAAATGCTCTTCAAGTCATATCGGAAAATCAATTCCGAATATGGAACAGCATCACAAGCATAAGGATCGCAAAAGAACTTTCGATCCAAGTGAGTGCCTCGCGAGCTTATATGCATTTCTTGTCCTGAGAGTACTCCCTTTTCTTCAGAGTCTTGCGCTTCCTAAACCAGCAGCAGGCCCGATGAATTTGGAAGCATCATGAGCCATAACTATATGAATGCCGGGGCGTCTCAAGGCGCGGATTGCCCATTTGTACAAGCCCACCCAATCATGCGCCCTCACCGAGCGCTAGGCTGTAGATGATACGCATGAACCAGCCAGCAGCCAAGTGGTAGAAAGCACTGGCCAGGTTTCTCACTGACAACGCCGCAACCGGCTTCACCAGAACGGACATTCCGCTCTGAATACGTGCAGACAACAATGACGAGGGACCCAGCACTACCTGCATCTGTATGCTGGTCTGGTCATCCAAGGGATGTGAAGTGGCGAATGGACCACCGTCATGGGTGCCGGCAGAGTTACCATTGTGGTTTAAATAGGTAGGACAGCAGTGCTGATCCCCCAAAGTATCCGAGCCAACCATGTAGATGGCAAGCTCTGCAATAGGACGTGGGAGGACTGCGCCCGATGCGAGGGAAAAGAATACCGGGGGTTGAATTTCCACTTCCTGATGCATATCGAGGAGTAGGCTGCCAGTATCGGACCAGAGTGCCGAGAACTCCGAGGTGCACATGTCATGCCGTTGAGTCTGCTGGCAGGTACTACGTGTAGTAAGAACGACCTTTCGCTTTGAAGAGGTCGGCGAAGGTACTCTTTGGGGAAAGCTCGCCGGTTTATCTAGGGGTTAAGCCTCTCAGGGTGCCCCTTTTCGTCTTCAGACGCATTGAGTTCTGTTTGTATTACTTGGTTGTTTCTATGGAATTTCCTGAGCGCGATGGTCATGATATTGTGGAATGGCAATTCTGGGCTACGGTGATACAATCAAGGGAGGGGGACGAAAGAAGAGCCATCTCCATGGACGTGGGAAAAGTCCCATGTGTCAAACTCAGGAATGCCACCGCTGCTCCCGCCCATGTCTAGTTGTTCGTAGGACAAACCCTCACATAACGCCCGCGTGTTCTGTGCTACCACCCAGCGTACGGCCAATCATGACTTGTCAGGGAAACCAAAGTCGACACCGAATTCAGGGTAGATGTAGCGAGTCACTCCATCCTTGGAGATTTCAGCCAACGACGCCAAGTCATCCTCAGACAGAGCCACGATCTTCTTGTTGTCCTCGATCCGCGACGGTGTCACAGACTTGGGGATGACCACCACACCTCGTGCAATGGGGTAGCTGAGGAGAATAGTACCCGGGTTGACTCCCTTTTGTTCCGCCAGTTTGATAACATGAGGATCCTGGAACAATGGGCTACCGGTGCTGCCCAGCGGGCTGTATGCAGTGACGAGTGTACCCTTTTCCTTGCAGAAATCAACGACATCTTGTTGAGGTAATAATGGATGGTTTTCGATCTGGTTGACGGCTGGGACGGTGTCGACCTTGGGAAGAAGCTCTTCGAGGAATTTCTTGGAGTAATTCGACACTCCGATCGCCTTGACTTTGCCGGTTTTGACCAACTTCTCCATGTCTTTGTACGTGTCTACATGGGATCTGTCTCGGACGAGATCTCTGCTGCCGTCGGGTAATTTGGGGAATTTTTCATGGTTCCCGTTAGGATTCATCTAAGAGGGGGGAGTGTCAGTCCAGGAACGGAGAGACCAGGCTTCCATGTGCACCGCGTTCCCTCACATCTGGCCATCACCCCTGTAGAACAACATGATGCCCACCACAAGGAGTACAACAATTGACAGACTTACCGCAACAGGCCAGTGCATCAGATAGAGGTCCACATAGTCCAGTCCCAACGATTTCAAGCTCATATCCAGGTTCTGTTCCGCTCGTGTGTGATATGTGCACCAGAGTTTTGTGGTGATGAAAAGATCTGCTCGAGAGATTCCGGCCGCTGCAAGACCTTCCTTGATGCCTTCGCCAACCTCATTCTCATTTCCATACACATACGCGCAGTCAATGTGTCGATACCTTGGGTAGTTAGCCCTTGCACATGAGTCTCACAAGGAAGATTGTAGACATACCCGACTTTGATTGCATGTGCTACAGCCGCACGCACTTGTCCCTCGGGGCTTTGCCATGTTCCTGGTTGATTGTCAGTTTGGCTTTTCTTTGCCCCCAATAAATGGTACTTTGTGGTAGCCATACCGAGTCCCAATGCTGGGATTTTGGCTCCGGTGTTGAGCTTGAAGTGAATATCAGTCATGTTGAAAGGTGTGGAGTGGTGTTAGTTTGTTGACTGGATATTGGCCTAAACAACAGGAGAGTTAAAGGACAAGAACGATTTTTATTCTGGGCGCAACAACTCTGTCACTGACCAGGGTGAAAACAATTCGCGTCGTCATTGCAGTGGTGATGGACGGTAGTGGGGGTACCCAGGAGCGGAAAAAAAGTTGTGTCCCCCACCTCGTCTCGGTGCAAAGAATTTCCGAACACCACGAGCTCGCACTGCTAGGTACCTTAGGCAGTTAGGTACCCTCTGGAAGTGGCTGTAGGCTTCACATTGCGTAAAATGTACCCGTGGGTGCCTGGGACTGCTTTGTCGGCTATTGACCAAAACCACCATCGGGGATCGGAACGGGACTGATATCCGGAGTGTCGATATTTTCTACGACTTTTGATCTCGGAATTAATGATGCCAGAAAGTTCAATCGTACGCTGAGCACGTGGTTCTATCTACGGTAAGACTGCACCGAAATTGGAACACGGGGTCTCATGTGAGATGATATTGATTCTCGAGTGGCGAGAGAATGGTTACTCTTTCGTGTCCGAGTTGATTTCCACCCTGGGGTCGGTTAACCGTCTGCCACCCATGCCCCACCATCTCGTTCTTTCCTTGGTGGTCGAGAAGGGCAATTTGCACCGGGCGCACTTGCTACATCTGGATTCAATGACTCCATCTCCAAAGCTTGCTTCATTCTTATCCGTTTTCTGCTTCTTCGTCGACTGCTGTTATGGATTCTAAAGTTTTGTCGATGAAATTTCGACCTTTGGCTGCGACACCTTTTCTCGAAAACACCCTGGTTTCACCTGTCATGCATACCGCCAGCCACCATGCAATCGACCGTTACACAACATCAACAGCTACTGCCGCTCACCCATCCCCGGGTTGTCGGGGGGTTGTTCAAGCCGTGCCTCTCACGGCTTTGTACCACCTGAATACTTAGATATGATGCATCATTTTCTGCTTGATATTTCTCACCGACTTATTGTCTCTGCAAATCCCCTTGTTCAACTCGCACTTTCTAACCCTCAACGGGCAGCTTCGATTTTGCATCTCTGTAGCTCGCTGTGCAGGCGAGCATACGGGCTTGTATCCATAAGAGGACCATCAATCCTCATGACAAGGATAAGAAACGCTTCTATCCACTCAGAATGGCACGACGCCTGTTGTCTCTCACCATTCCACTCGAGTTTCATCCGTCTTTGGCCCATAATTTTGCCTTGCGGCAGGCGGTACTCGCTGATCCATTTAGCGCCAAATCCTGCTCCATACGACTTTGGTGGTTGATATCATCTTCCGCATAAGGCAAGTTTCAAGCAGTCTCGGCTCCCAAGCACAACTTCAAGCATGAAAACTCCCAATACAACCTTGTCAACTCTGACGTTGGAGTGGAGTGGCGTGAGATTTTATTCTTTGTTCTGGCGATTGATATGCCCCCTTTGAACAGACTCTTCGTTGGTTTCCAGATATTTGCCTTATTTGACCTAGGGTTAACAGTCCTTTCATTTACTTATATATTGCCAGCCGAACCCTTTTTCCAAAATCGTCACTATATATCCAAGCTCGTCACTGTTTGTTTAACCCGAATCATAGTCGCCTGCCAATATATCCCACCCTGGCTCAGTATACCTATACAAGACCGATCAATCTCACTTGATCGACTTTGACCCGGTGCCGATTCCAACCCTCATCCAACGTGCAACCATCTTCTGCTCTCATCAACGTTCGTCAAAATGGTTGGAGTACTCCTCCAAGAGCCAGCTGGCGTGATCGGCTTCCGCACTGATCGCGACGGTCTCGCGTTCGAAGAGCTGTGTGACGAAATTGAACACGCAGACATCTTGGCCGACAAAGCAAGCAAGCAGGACGCAATCAAACAAGATTATGCCGCTTCCAAGTTTGACGCCGAGAAGGATAAGACTCAATTCCGTCAATACGAAACCGCCAGCGACAGAGTCAAAACCTTCTACCTCGAGCAACACACTAAACAAACCGTGTCCTACAACTTGAAGGCACGCAATGACTTCCACTCCAAAACTCGTGCTGAAATGTCGATTTGGGAAGCAATGGAGAGATTAAACACTTTGATCGATGAGTCCGACCCCGACACCGACCTGAGCCAGATTGAGCACTTGCTTCAGTCTGCTGAAGCCATGCGCCGTGATGGGTGTCCTCGCTGGATGCAATTGACGGGTCTCATTCATGATCTTGGAAAGCTCCTCTTCTTCTTTGACGCACAAGGACAGTGGGACGTGGTCGGTGACACCTTCGCCGTGGGTTGTGCCTTTGATGATAAGATCATCTATGGCAAGAAATCCTTCTCTGGCAATCCCGATATCAACGATCCGATCTACAGCACGGACAACGGCATCTACACCCCTGGGTGTGGTTTGGAGAAGATCATGATCTCCTGGGGCCACGATGAATACCTCTACCATGTCGTCAAAGACCAGTCCACCCTCCCAGATGAGGCTCTTGCGATGATCCGCTACCATAGCTTCTACCCATGGCATCAGCAAGGTGCTTACCGACAGTTTATGACTACACATGATGAAAAAATGTTGAAGGCGGTCAAGTGGTTCAATCCATATGACTTGTACAGCAAAAGTGACGAGAAACCATGTGTTGAGAAATTGAAGGTAAGTCATTGTTCTCTGAGCTCTTTAGGGGTACAAACACTAACAACACAACCTAGCCATACTATATGGACCTCATTAACGAATTCTTCCCACAAAGGGTCATCAAGTGGTAGTTCGGACTTTGCTCGACCCGCAGCTTGATCACTCGATTCAGCGCTTTATAAGAGTCTCTGGAGGTCCCTTGTCTACACCTATGTATTTAGATCAAGATCAAAAAGTGTTGTGGCAGAAGATCAAGGCATTTAAGGATTGGGTGGGATGATCCCAGATTTTGTCACGACTGCACATGAGTTGTTTTATTCTCTCTTTTATAACATACCCTGGTATCAAGGTACCCCGCGACCGCACAGTTTGGAGGAGTTTGGGAGGGTTCTCGAGCGTCTCTCACTATGGCCGGCCTCAGCCTATAGTCTTCCGAGAGAATGAATTTTTCTTTTATCCCTTGTATTTCTCCCCGTCCTCTCGTTTCGAATTGCCGGCATCAAGTCTGCTCCAAGCACTCATCTTCTGCATGCACCGGGTCGGGGCGGGGCAGGCAAGGAGCAGTATACATAGCTAGCCAGCAAGACCCCTCTCCCTCCCCCTGAAAAGATAAAGAAGCATGTCGTAGAACCCAAGAATTCTCGACAAAGGTAGAGGGAGGAAAGGACCATGCATGCTCGCTCTCCCCCGACACGAAATTTTGTCACCCGCGAGTGTACCACCCCACACAGACCTTGACTCTGAATATCCAAGGACGTTACACTGCGTCACTGCACTGCAGCTGCATCTATCTGCATCTGCAGATGCAAGTCGGATGTGCAAACCCGACAATCCGCCCCCCGGCCGACCCCAATGCAGCGAAGCCGTTGATGTCTCCCTATGTAGCTATCGCGTTGATGCATTATCAAAGATAAGTAGACTGTGTCGATCACTGTACCGTACTACACCGCAACGCACGCCAGGTAGACTTTCTCGTGCTCTGCTCTGGTGTCTCTATCGCACACGCGCGCGCGCACACGCTGCACAACAAAGCCCCCCACCCTTGTCCACGCCGTGTCACATTGGCTACTTGGGAGCGGGAGAAACATGTTTCCGGGGTTTGCCACTGGTGCTTGCCCTGCACAGGTAATCAATGCGTTAGATGCACTGCCGCCTGTGGACTTTGTGGTTGGCAGGTCTGTCCGCTGTGCCTTTCGTGCGCCATTGGGCCCCGTGGTGCTCCTGGTGGGGAACTAAGTGCATTCCCAAGAGAACATGTCTTCCGGGTTCGGGTTCGGCCACTGTTGGCTGGGGGATAACTACCTTACCTTACCATGGACGCTGTTCCTGTCGTGTCGTGCGTTGCTGTCTACGGCGGTGTCACTGCTCGGATGGTGCTCGCTTGGTGGTAGCTTGATCGCTATCGCTGATGTCCATCGGATGGACCTGCGATGGGCTACATCGTCCGTATGTGAGGAGGATGACGCTGGTGTGTCTTATAGGCTCCGGGAAGGTATATCTGTATAGGGGGTGGTAGGTCGCATGCTTTTGGATTGGTGGGGGATGGAGAGCGGAATATCCCCGATGAAGCTGGCGCCGGATTGATACGGATACGAGAGAATACGAGTATGTAGATCATTTGTTTCACGTTGTGAGTCATTATCAACGATTGTCATTGTCATTGTGCTAGCTTAATCGCCATCGAACACCGTTGATTTTCCAGTGTTTGTTCAGTGTCAAGCCTTCGAGATGCATCTCAGACCCTTCCAGAGACAAGACATTCCATCCTTGGTCTCAATGACCATTGCATGTGACAAGACCGATCCGCTCGCAAACTATCTCCTGCGTGATGTGGACAAATATCCCGTTTCTCATCGTCATGGAATGCATCATTTTATTCGGTCCAAGGTAACTGGAGGTGGCAGAGACATCACGTTTGTTCTGGAGTCTGACCCGGAGGATTATGCTTCACCAGGCGAGGTTTGTAAGGAGGTCATTGGTGTAGCAACTTGGCGGCGTCATGGGGATTCTTCAATAGCTCGGGGATGGCAGCAAATTGCGAGGGGCAGTGTGTTTGACCGGTTCAATCGAGTCTTGGTATCGGTGGAGGATCGGTACAATGCCATGTTTCCTTCGCTCAATCCGTGCTTCAGTCTCGAGAACTTGCGCTTGATAGATCCAGTTCAAAATGAGGAGTGGGATAGAGAGGTTTTTGATGAATTCTGGTCTTTAGAGTTCTTGCAGGTGTTTCCCGCTTGGCAGAGGAGAGGATTGTCCAAGATCTTGATCGGTTGGGGAAAGGATCAGGCTGAGAGGGAGGCTGTACCGATTGTGGTATCAGCTAGTGCCATTGGTAATCTGGCGTACAGGAGTGCCGGGTTCGAGAGTATCGGGTATTGTGGATATGGGAAATTCTTCGACGAGACTGCATTCGGTGGTGAATGCATGCAATTGTGGGTTTGGGAGCCGAAGTCTGCGGAGGAGTCGAATAAAGTGCATGACTGGGCGACGAGAGCAAGGCTGAGGAGGCAGAAGAGGGGAGTGTGACTCGTATTGGAGGCTAGTTTGTGAGGAGTCGTGGGTCGATAAGGCTCATGTCGAAAGATGAAGCCACGGAAGTTGCTGGTGCGGCTGGTGGAGGGGCTGACACAGCTGATGGTGGCGGCGGTGGTGGTGGTGCTGCCAGTGTCGGGAGAGAAGCAGGTGCTACTATTGGAGCCACGACTGGAGCTGCTGATGGTGCTATTTGCACTGCTGTCGGCAGCGGTGGTGGTGGTGGTGGCGGCGCTGCTGCGATGGCAGCGGGAGCGGCAACTCGCCTCACCCACCAATCAAGTCGAACGTCGCTCAGCGTTCCAAGGGAAGCGGGATTTGCACCTGGGCGAAACACTTCAAAGCGGTCCCACGCATTACGGATCTGGCGCGAGGTCTTATGTATTCCAAGAAGAGCCAAACACAACACCTCAGTCGTGGTTGGGCCGCTTGACTCTCCCAGCTCCACCCACGCACCCCCCAGCAGCTGGCGCTCCCAGACGAAATGCTCTAGCGGCCCGCGACGGACGAGAGAGCCATTCGCCTGGTTGCGGGCCAGTCGAAGGGTGACATTGGCGTGGTCGGGGTGCCTCCAAACGAACGTGTCACCGGGAAAGAACACCTGGTCCACCGGCTCTCTCCGAATCAGGTCGTAGAACTTGTAACTAGTGGCGACCCGTTGTCTATCGAAGATGATGTTAGTGTTTGAGATGGAGTAAAGAGCAGAGCATCGTCAGGCCGTGAACGGCGGTAGTCAGGTTCACGATGAGAATGGGAGGCACACGGAGGGCAACGGAGGGGAATGGGATAGAAACGAGAGTGCATAGTGTGGCCAACGGATCTTCGTTCAGTGAGATCGGCAATGGTGCTGTATGAATCGAAGGTCTGTCATATGTAGATGACGTCCCTTCCACGAAATCGACAGTATCACATTGACCGTGTTTGTGAATGGCCCGTGTACTTCTCATAAAGGGTGGTCAACACAGTAGGACTGTGTCGACCGCCTCTGACATTGATGTATCAACGGACTGAATCTTGTCGACCGCTTCTGACAACGACGATTGATCGAGGATATGTCGAAACACCTTGACATCAACGATCGACCCGCGATGGTGTCAGAAATGGCATTGTCACATGAAGTGCCGATCTGACACAGACGTTCTTGAAGGACATCGAGGTCTTGAACACAGCATGATATGGGAAGAGTACCATGAACAAGAGGAGTAAAAATACACTTACATTGGTTGAAGTTGAGCCATGATGAAAGTGGTTAGCGTGGGGTAGAATTAAAGCAGCGACAATGAAAATTGATGGTGGTGAGTGGTAAGAAAGAAAGATCGTAAAAGCGGCGAGAGATGTGATATTTTGTGAGCCAACTGTCCTCACCATGGGCAGTGAATGTAAACAACGTGTCACGGCTCGGCGACACTCTTCACACTACTGCCTTACGTCGCTCACACAATGGTCAAATCTACGCAGATCGCACGGCTCGATGGTAACGCTCCAGAACTCTTTCTACAGGAACGACACGGCTAACCAGTGGCGTCCCTACCAGGCCTCATGCTTGCGGCTTCCGTCGACGATGAGCAGGTGAGAAATCATCCTTGGAACTCCTACAAATTCAAGAGCGCGGCCGGACTAACAGTCTCCATTCCAGGTCGAAACAGAACTCTCCGAGGTCAAGTCGCAGGCCAAGATGATCTTCAGGCGGCTGAACAAGAATTCGGAACAGCAAGCCAGCATTGAATCCGGTCAATACTCTCTCCAGTAGGCACCAACGGCGTCTGGCACCATTCAAGCCTTACTGAACCTGGGCCACTAGTTACATCATCAGAGACTCCGTCTGCTTCCTCTGCATTTGCGACAAGTCCTATCCACGGAAGCTCGCTTTCACCTATCTCTCCGATCTCGCGCAAGAGTTCACGACCATCTATCCGTCAGGGCAATATCTGTCGGCTACCCTGCGTCCATATGCATATGTCGAATTCGATACTTTTATCCAGAGAACCAAGAAGACGTATCAGGACAGCAGAGCAAGCGCAAACTTGGACAAATTGAATGATGAGCTGAAGGATGTCACCAAGGTCATGACGAAGAATATTGAGGATCTTCTTTACCGGGGAGACAGCCTTGAGAGGATGGGCGAGATGAGCGGCCGGTTGAGAGAGGACAGCAAAAAGTACAGGAAGGCAGCTGTACGGATCAACTGGGAACTCATGCTGAAACAGGTACGTTCCAACGACATTCGAGAGCCGATCACCACTAACCAGTAATGCAGTATGGTCCATTTGCTGGTCTCGGCTTGATCATCATCATCTTCCTGTGGTGGAGATTTTTCTAGAGTGGCAGTCAAGCGCCTGATTTCATGATCTTTATCGATGACTGAAGAATACAGCGAACACAGATACCCCCATTTATTTGGACAGACACAAACTTGGTGTCAGAATTTCATGCTCAACAGCATTACGAAAGCAAGTCATTGTGGCTCAAATCTCATCCTCTTCCTCGTCAAAGTCATCTTCAACCCCTAGATCATAGAGAATCCTACCACCTTCCCCTCCCCCACCAGTCTTTTGCGCATCAAAATACGGCAACACGACGCCTTCACGCTCTTGTCTCTGCCGATCTGTCAAACCGAGTTCAAAGGTCATTCCCGATAACTCTTGGTCGGGGTCCTCGTCATCCTTGGCTTTTCGGAAGAGGGGATGGTCGTCCAACAATGTGACGACCTCGCGGAATGCCTGAGGCCCGGCGCTGGGCAGATTCTTGGGTAGAATGGGCAAGAAATACCACTCAAGTACCCCTCGTCCACTCTTGCGGCGGTGCTCAAGCTCCAGAACCATCCCCCTCTCTTCGGGCTTGAGATTTCGACTCGCCCAAGTTTTCGGCTTCAGTCCGATAATGACGCCCTCTTCCTCTTCGCCTAATCCGAATGCAGGAGCCGCGAGTGAACGCGACCTTGCTGCTTTCTCTGTAAGTAAGATCGACAGAGCATGGGTTTTGATGATGGTTGTGGCCAGGTAGGAAAGCAGCAAAAGGGGAGTCGGGCGGTATGCACCCGTTTGAGTGGTAGTTGAGGAGAGGCTTAGCGGAAGATCATTGTGGTACACTGCCACTAGCGAGACTTGGGGGGCTGGATTTTGGGATTGAGACTCTTGCGGCGATTGTATCAAAGCCGAAAGGAAGGCGACCAAGTCGAGGTTGGAGCCTGGAGTATTCGAAATTGAAGAAAGCGTCGTTAACGAATCAATAATGATGACAGCCCCTGTTCAGCAATGTTAGTACAAACATGACACAGCGACACGACCAGACGACGTACTCTTAGACTCGGTCTTTCCCAAAGCATTTCGCACATCTTTTAGTATCCCATCGGGCGTCGTCCGACCAAAGCACGGCACAAACACATCCACATCTTTGGGTCGACAGAACGTTTCGAAAGACAAGAACACGGAGGTCGTCTTTGAGAGTTTTGCGCGTCGAATATATTCCCGGACGAGGGGTTTTGCTGGTTGCTCCAGATTATCGAGCACCAACGTGAATGGTGACGTTGTGTCCCTCTGGTTCAGTAGTTTTGAGACAAGTAGTAGATTGTGCGTTCTCCGGTGGTTGAGATTTGTATGAGACATGGTGATATATCACATGGACCTCGCATTCCCTTTTTACCCTCAGCCTTGTCTCAGACCCAAGGCTTGGAAGGTTCTGTGGCCGAACTATCATGTAGACTTCTAGACCCCGCGATGTTCCCCTGAGATCGTTATTGTGCGCTGCTAAAATCAACACTAATGATCTAAAGCCTTCCTCGGTTCGGTGCCAACTCAGTAGAATCCTGACTTCAAAGCAAATGTAGGCAAAGACATCTTGACTTCTCCGCTGAGGATTGATGAAAATAGTGGTTCGCGATCGACCATATGATCCGCCGGAATTTTTTCTCTCCATCATTGCACCGTTGTATCAATTTCAACCCGGACATTAAGATCGACCCAGAGTCTGGTCGTCGAGGCCATCATGGTCCCCATCCCAGCTCCGGACCATCTGACCAACTCTCTCGTGAACCCACAGCAACTCCTGGACCTCCAGAATCGAGAAGGTGAAGATGGACCATCTCTCCGATTTGCCCTGGCGCAGTTGACGAGCGCCGCTGGTATTCTACTCCGACTGCCACAGGAAGTAATCGCGCAAGCGACCGTTCTGTTGCTACGGTTCCTACTCTCCAGTCGAGCCGAAGACCGAGAGGGATTCAGTGCGAAGACCTACTCCGCAGCCGCCATCTACCTCTCCGCAAAGATATCTATGACACCGGCATCGCCTCGCTCGGTCATCAACGTCTACGCATTCCTGGCCTCGAAGGCATCGCCTCTTTCATTTGTCAATCCCGAGGGGAGCGGTGGAGATCAAGATCCGAACACCTACTTCGTCTCCGAAGGGACATATGAGAAAGAGCGACAAAGACTGTTCGTCTGCGAAAGTATGATCCTCGCGGGTCTGGGGTTTGAGACACACGTCGCGCTCCCGCATGGCCTGGCATTGACGTATCTGCAAGCGCTGGGCGTCTCCACCAGCAGTTTGGCCAAAAGAGTGTTTGAACATCTCAACGGAGGGCTACTGTCTCCGCAATTGCTCTATCTGACACACCAACCCAACGCGCTGGCGGTGGGGGCGATATACCTCGCCGCACGAGAGATTGCTGTCAAATTGGTGGAGCAGAATTGGTGGGAGGTCTTTGACGTCGACAGAGAGGATCTGGGGTTCCTGGTCCTGGCGTTTGGCAGTCTGGAGAACTTTGCGGCAGCCGAGAGGGAGAAGTGGATTGGGAGGGCCATGCCCTTTGATTGAGAGAAGCTCGACTGGCTTACTCTCCTTCCCTGTCACCCGACAGGACACTGCGAGGCATAAAGTCAAAACTTTCGCCCTCTGATACATCTTTCCAGAGATCACAGGGATGGAGCTCTCACTCACCTGCTCCTCGACCGCAACTTCAGGTGGACAATGGTCCTTCCTGTATGACCCGGCAAAGCCCGGATTTGACAGCCGTCAGTTGCTATTCATGGTATTATGAAGACGATTGCCGTCTCAAACAACCAAGAAGTGTGCAAAAGGGGAGACTCTTGGAGCATCTGGGAAGATCTGGAACGTGGCAGAAGCTCTTCGATGAAGTCTCATCGTCTCATTCAATCTCCAGCCACGAAACTCGGAAGCGTTGGAGTTTTATCTGGGAACAATGCGGTCCAGCCATACGTCTCCTCATGCCAAAGTAGATTTACTCTATAAGAGCTTTGGTGATGCAGAGAACTGAGAAATCACATAGGTCTCCGGGTCTGCCTCCCTCTGGGACTCACTATGGCGGCAGTCTCATGTCGCCCAAGGAGGCATAGGTGGACATGGCATGCTGGGTTGTAGCGTCACTTTCTACTTTCTGCAGTCGGAGCGACTGGGAATTAGATTTTAGTGAAATCCGAAGCAAGATCAGATATCGATCCACCCTGCTGCACAGCTAGATATTTAACTAGAAGGATACATCTTGACTCTCCCACATAGCCTTTCCGAGAGACTATGGTGGCCAACTCTACCCAGTGATGTCTCTAGTCCTCAGATTGCCTGAATAGGTAATTTACTTTGTATTTACTACCATTCAAAGCTAAGAATAAAGATCCAGACAATTAGGCTTAGAGTGCTACGCAAGTGGGTAGAAATGCAGTTCTAGTTAATTCTCCAAAGTCCATCCAACTACCTCTAAGTAGGTATTTTTCAGTAGGGCCTGTCCAAGGTGCCTAGAACGTGCCAAGACACACGGATTCCATTTGCTGGTCATATATTTTTTCCACAAAAATTTTGGTCAAATCGACTCCGATTTCGCTCGGAGTTTGATCAGAATGTAGCCTGGATGGTCTAATTGGTTATGACGTTGGTCTCATAGCGATACTATGACTCTGCTCGACGCAGGGAGGCATCCGAAGGTCGTGAGTTCGATCCTCACTCCGGGCAACTCACCTCACATTCGTGAAGTTACTTTGGGTTCAACTCAACTCACTTTGCTTGGGGATTTTCTTTTTACATTTTGGGATGATCTTTAGGTGAGACAAGCCCGGGGGCGCCCCAATCCATGGCAGGATGGGTTGCAGAGGATCCAAGGATACTTTGTTACCAAACCACAAGGCTGAGTGTTCTGTGCAACGCCCGGGCGGGCACCCAGGCTCTATTGATTTTTAGTAGTCGTCGCCTCATAGCCGTCGTCTCCTGTTTCTCAATGTATGAGGTATACCCTGGTCGATGCTGGAAAAAACGTTATGCGACAGTTCTGGCTCCTGGGGTATATGCCTTGCAAGTGTCTCAGCCAAATGAATTTCATGATGAGGAAATGGTAGATTGATACGTTGCTATATATGGTAGTGATCCAGCTCCTATTGAGGGATGGCGGGGTGCGACAGCCATGCTCAAACTCGGAATACCGATTTAGGGATACCGTTCGGGGGCCTCGGAGTTTGGCCGCAACATCTGGCTCTTAAGGAATGGCAAGAGAACACATCTCTCGATTCACAGAACATCCTTGACGCTGACTGGATATGGATGTAAAAGATGGTGGTTCTGGAAATACTAACATAGCAGATCATTGATGGCGTGCTACGGCCGTTCGTGAGTCATTGTTATCACACGTTAGTATTTAGATCTCGGACTCCTGCTGTGCAGCTTTTTTTTGGGAGAACCTATATTCTACCAGATCTTCACCACGGTGATGGCCGATTCTTTCGTCACAGCCTCACAGCATGAATACACCCGTCGCGCTGAAGGCTACGACGCGGCCAGCGGTGGATGGCATGGCGAACTAGCCCGAGACTTTGTCAACTGGCTTCCACCATCTCCCGGTTCTGCCGTTCTGGATCTGGCTTGCGGCACCGGGCTGGTGACGCTCGCCTGGGCGGGCGCGGTCGGTCCTGGGGGCATTGTAGTCGGGGTGGACGTCACCGAGGCCATGCTCAACGAAGCCAAGAGAAAGCCTTATCCCCAGGATGGGCCGGAAGTGAAACTCGTCCTGGGGGATGTGATGGATCTCGCTTCCATCCAGGAAGTTGACGATGTCGTACGCGAGCGGGGCGGCTTCGACATCATCTCTCTCTGCTCCGCGCTCGTGCTCCTGGAAGACCCCGGCCGGGCCATCAAGCATTGGGTGGCGCTGCTGAAACCGGGATCGGGGCGTCTCATCATCGATGGCCCGACGGAAGACCCTACGCTGATGTACCTCCTGAGCCATCCTCTGAGAAGGGCGATCGGCAAGCCGATCGTTTTCGAGGCGAACTGGACACGGAGTATTCACTCGCTTGAGAAATTGTACGCCGATGCGGGCCTCGAGGTCGAACGCTCCATCAAGACCAGGAGCTATCTTCCCGAGAGGACATACCGGGCCAACGAGTTGTGGGAGGCGTTTGAGAGTCCCATGGCGGAGAAGGTGAGACGACTGGCAACAGAGAGTGGTATGTTGGAGACCGCAAAGCATGCCTGGGAACGGATTTGGAGCGAGACCTTGAGGAATGGAGAGTTATGGGACGGGCACAGGTTATATGTAAGTATTGGGAGGAGGGTATCGTGAGACAACAGTGTCTCATACATCAATGGAAAACTCAACATCACTGAATATTCAAGGCGAACTCTGGCCAATCTCATCGTTCAACAAACATAATACCAGCGTCCTGAGGCCGTCTCATCTTCGGTGTGATGATGTTCTCCGAGTCGTAGACTACCTCCAACAGTGCATCTCGCGCCTGCTCTTCCGTAGTCATCTTTCCCATAATCCAAGGCTTGATGCGATACGACTTCAACACGGTCGAGATAACGGCCACGAATTCGACCTGACTGAATTTCTTGCCGGGGCAGATTCTCGGTCCGATGCTCCAGGCGAGGAACGGGATCCCGTTGGGAGTCTGGGCAATCGACTCCTGGCCAGTCTTTGGGTCGACGCTGATCCAGCGTTTGGGATTCCACTCCAACGAGTCCTTCCCCCACCATCTGGGGTCACTGTGCACGCCGTAGAAGTTGGCTGACACGTAGACGCCGGCCGGGACAACGACATCTTGACCATTGACGTGGATGATTTGGGATTCGCCGGCGGCCCCGCGACAGACGTCTGGAGTCGGGCCCCAGAGCCGGAGAGTTTCATACTGGTGATGTGTCAGTTGATGAAGAATGCTCAAGATCAGTTCACTTACCATGACGGCCAGACATCTCACCAAAGATGGAAATGCAGCTTCGTAGGTCCATTCTTTCTGCGAGCCTGTGTTGGTCACTCGGTCGATTTCCTCCCCGACCCATGCCTGAATCTCCGGGTTTCGTGCGAGGAATGGCATGGTATAGGTCAAAGCATTTGCGGTGGTCTCAAAACCAGCGAGGTTGAACACGTACAGATTCCCATACAGCTCGTCATCGGTCAGGTGCATCGGCTTGCCCCCATAACCTGAGTTTGGTGCGATCTTTTCTTCCCGTTTTGCCGCCTCGTCGGCATCGATGAGTGCACCGACGATATCGTTGGCCTGACCTCCGCCGCCGCCTTGCGTCGTCGCTCGGCTATAGGCGACCGTCTCCTTCATGTATCCGCGGAACTCGGTGACGGTGTCTTTGATCTCCACGGCTTTCCACGGTCGCATCCACGCCAGAGGCTTGATCTTGTCGAACAGGAATACGATCAGTATGTTCGAGAGCAGGTACATCAGTGACTCGGAAAAGGACTTCTTGTGCCCTTCGGGAACCTGCCGGAGACCTCCGGAGAAATCATGAGTGTGCCCGAAGCCCGCAGACGACAGCACGTGGAGCGCAATGAGGACCGAGTCCTTGCGGACTTCATCAATCGTGCCCCGGCCACCGTGTTGATTCATCCGAACCTCGAGCATCTGAGTCGCTTGTTTAACGGACTCGTCCCACACGGATGTATGGACCGACTCACGGAATGCCGGGTTGATGATTCTCCTCTGCCGCTGCCAGTCATCGCCGTTGGCACTGATGACACCTCGACCAAAAGTCTCAAAGATGTCGTAGAGGCTCTGGGGCTTGATCCATTGCTTGTAGTGCGCCTGCACGTCATAGCAGGCCTGGGGATCGTTGACCATGATTTCGTTCCCCAGCGGAGAACAAATCACAAAGATGTCGCCGTATTTCTCGTGGGGCAGCCATCGATGGTCCTGTGTCCAGGAGAAGCGACTGTACTCGAACCACCAGCTCAAGAAGTTGGGCAGCCGCTTGATCCATTTGAAGTTGTCCCAGGTGAGGAGCCAAACATCATCTTGCCAACTGATGGGCGTGATGATGATGGGAATGCCCAGTGCGCGTGCGATGCGATAATAGTGAATAAAAGTGTAACCTCGATAGAGGGTCAAGGCAACGAACGGGAGAGCGAACCACGCCAGAAGAGACACCATGATGGCGGTACGGGCAGCTGAAGGTAGCAAGTGCAGAAAGACGTTAGATCTGAGGGATCGAGGTTCTGGAGTGGATATGTATACTCGGTATACGAGCTCTGCTTACTTCTGGCCCTTGAGAAGCCTGATAATTAGCTGGTTTGCCTGTGGCAGGTGGTGCAGAGGGCCAATAGTGAGCAGGGGCACATCCGAGTCGCTGTGGCCTGGGGAGTATCTAGCAGGGGTGCTCGTATGTCGTAGCTCGTAAGTTTCATCCTTGGGAAGGGTTCGATCCTTCTGGGCACCGCGAATCGCGGCTGGTTGTGACGGAGCTTTTACATCTCTGCTAATCGACGTTATTTATCACCAAACACAAACGGCTGGAACGCGCCTCTGATTGAACTCTGCACAATACAAATGGGCCTATCAATTGATTGCACATGCTTTGGCGCACTCAAAATGTACTGGTTCTCCAATTAGTTATATTGGTTTTTGTCATGAGATACCACCTCAACTCTATGGTTACTGATTGCTTTCAAGAGACAACGTTAAAGTGTTTCCAGATTCGTAACGACCAGTACTGACTACTCCATATGTAACTGGAACAGAACGCCTTACCTCAGCTCTTGTACCATGGCCGGGGCAAGATTGAACCGGCAATGGGACCCGTAACTTGTTAGGGACGTGGGGAGCCACGAGTTCCCAGACTGACTGCCTAAGGCGTCCCAAGGTTCGTTTGCCCCACGCTGCTGACGAGAATTCAAGTCTTTTGTACCCTTAACTGGTACGGGACATCCGTACTCGTGTCACGGATCTTAGCCATGGTCTGTTGCCACTGTTGTGAGGTACCTTTCACGTGCTGAACTTGGTGCCCCCTCGACAGTAATCGGAAGTGTTTCCTGGGTCGTTAAGTAATGCATTGCGCTTGAGCTCCTGAATCAGGGTAAGCGTATTCCGAAAGGTCACCCGTCTTCGAGAATTCTTCTTGTACCGCATCACGCAATGTGCAGCTGCCAAGCGTACAAGACCATGGTGAGCACAATGTCGCTGCCCTTTGGTACGCCTTTGGTCTGTATATCAGTTGGCGAGGTCGACGTGGACTAGATATAGGTCTAAAGAGCAGTAAACGATCGCTAGCTATCACCGCTGTGAAAATCAGGGAGCCTTCACCGGCTGTATTCACGATACTGATCCCGACTGTCGGTGACTTCGCCTCAGGCTTGTCCTAGTCCACCTATCAGCGGCCTCATCAGCGCGGCCCTGCCAGTCGGAGCATCTCCTTGCGTCCGTGTGTAAAGGTCGTCTTCCGAGAAACACGCCTGAGCACTCACATACTGTAACCCGCCATCGAGGTCGTGGACGAGCATGGAGCCCAAGCATATATCTCAATGTGGCCAGATGAGCTCGCTGAAATCCTTGATTGGATCTTGTTGAGTTTTTGGCTCGTACAGTAGCGTCGAAAATAGATCTTCGAGCTCTTCAAAACTGTGAATTCCCGCTCGAAGCGCCGAGCTGCGAGCAAGTGTAACATAGAATTCTAGTTCGTCGTCGTCTTGAATAGCACAGATCCCGCCAAAGACTGAGATCCAAAGCAGATGGTCTGAGTGAGGATGCCAGTAATTGTGCAAACTTGTCTCCTCCAGTCGCTCTTTCAAGAGATAAACCGACGATGACGCATGCACTCGGCCTCGGGCTGGGAAGCAGCATGTAGCGATCCAGTAAATCAGTGCCATTCTCAAGCTATCCTGCACCGCGCTGAGCTTGTTGGTTGAGGGCATTGAAAGGCAACGGTGCAACAATGCAAAACCTCGCCGTGTCAGCCATTTGTGATAGTCTGGGAAGTATTCTGGCAGACTTGTGAGAAAACTCGACATTTTGAGAACCTCAACCACCTCCGTGAGGACACTAGAAATGCCGTTCTGGTTCATATCAAGTAAGGTTTTGTCGAAGCGGGACGCTGGCTGTGCATGAAAACGGAGCTGCTCATCGATGGCTAGTAATTGGTCTACTGTGAGAGAACCGGGATCCCACGTCTCGAGTAGTCTTGGTGGTTCCATTCTCTCCAGGGCGGTATAGCAGTCGAAAAAAACTATATTTTCAAGTTGGTAGTCGTTGAATGTGTTGAGCCCACCTAAAGATTCAACCATTGAGAGAAGTGCGTGGAAATGAGGCTCGGCGGATTCACCAGTCTCGGAGTAATAAGTCGTCATATAAAGTCTGTGTACATCGATAGCGACAGAATGGTCCAGTTTGCTGCTGCCCAGCTTCACTCGAAGAGCTCTGATAGCTTTGTGCTTGAAATAGGCAGGAATTCGCTGAATGTCTTGCTCAGTTGCGCCTCGCACGAGTATCTTGCCTTCGCGTTCAATCATTTGAGTCGCGGCAGAAGCAAGGAATGCATACATATGGGCCGGCTCTGCCATGCATGCTTGCATGTCCGTGTGAATGGACGATGCATGCCTCATCTGACTCAACGAAACCTTCCCTGTTTCCATCCAAAACTGTTCAGGGAGAACTGTTTGATTATGATATGCAATCAGCGCAGGGGCCCATTCCTCTAGGGGTTGTCTGGGAGTTCTGGTCGGGCTGGACAAGCCGTTTGTAGACGTTCCAAGACCATGGCCCCGGTCGATGGACTTTTGCTGAGCAAAAGGTGTATTTGGACTCCGTATCGGCGTGTCGAAGAAGTTTCCTGGCTGATAAGCGTGAGGAAACCCGTGTACAGCTTCTTTCGACTGTGGAACGTGAACCGATGAAATTGGCGAGTTGAACAGGTCCATAAAAAGCCGTGGATCCAGTACACCTGCCTGAGATGGACTGGGAGATGTTGAAGTGCTAGTCTCGGCCATGTCGAGATGTTGTAGCACATTAAAATACTCTGAGCCGGAGGAGGAGGGTATGTTCTGTGATTGGCCTTCCTCAACCGACGTTGCCGAGGCTGAGGTCTGTTGGATAGGGCGGTGCCTGCTATTCTTCGCGTCATCCTGCATACGACGTTTCCGAGCAAAGTTTTGTCTTTGAACATGGCTCTGCTTGGTCCTATCAAGCGCAAAGTCCTTTGTTTTCCGGTTGAGGGTAGCCGCATCTTCGTTCACAAACATAAAAGGAGATTCTGGCGATTTGGAGCGTTTCGACTTGGGTGGCATGATGGCGGACGAAAACAACCCTGACATGCACCGGCAGTGCTGGCTCGCATATGTAGAACCAAGCGTTCTGTACGTGACTCTCTCCGAACGCCTTGAAGCCCAGCAATGGTAATTCGTGTAAAGAGAGCCGGGTCGTCCTGATTGCTGGCCTTCCAGCACACGGCCTTAGGTGATCGAGCTTTTGACTGAAATGGAAGATCTCGAATTCGATCTTGCTGAAATTGGGGTGGCTTTCTCCTGATTGAGACTAGATCACTGCTGATACATCCACAAATAATATTACTGGCAGACGCACCCTGCTTAAGAGATGTCAAAGGCACGCATGAACAGGGGCGCTTGACAGAAGTCGAGAAGTAGTGGTGGGGCGATGTGGTCGTTCTGATACGAAGTCAGCCCTGTGGAATCAGACGACACTCTACAAGCGTCGATACTGTTGCAGTTTGTGGCCTTGTGAACCAAACCAAAAAAAAAACTGCGTCAAAGTCTTTTAAACCAATTTGAAGTACAAAACGCCTCCCGGAAGAGTCACGGGGGGTTTTGTATGTCATCTTCACGGATCCAAGGAGCCCTACCTGCGCGACCAGGCAAGCTCGGAGGCATTTTCAGTGGTCAACGTGAGGAATAGACATTGAATCGGTAAATCTCCACGTGGTGTTGCGACAGAAACTCTGCGCAATGGCGTCGTCTAGCCAGCCTTGTGCAATACTGGCCATTCTTTGGCCAAGTTAGAGACATCAGAGTTGAGCTAGTAAAAACGATACCGTCGATCATCAGAAACGTTTACGCCACTGGCCATGTATTTCGCATCACGGAAAATATCGCGCATATCGCATGCTAATGAGAAAAGCATACATCATGGATGTCTATCAGACAGCGTTGTTGGTGGTCTCGAACAGAGTTGTTGAGGGCAGCAGAAAGTGAAGGTGGTAGCATTGGAGGGAAAGGTCAGGAAAGGCCAGGATAGCCCGTGCTTGGCGTTTGCTCTGACTTCGGGTAAGCAAGGGTCTCACAGGACGAGCCCCCGATGTCTGATGGAATGTTCGACGAAGCTTCGCTCGTACAAGAGCTGTGATTAGGCATCTCAAGGGTTCACAGTCGGAGGACGGCAAAGGGCGGCCCTGATCGCTACGTTGTATCCGGAACCGATGGAACGCGCAGAACTTGTCGAGGCTCATTGTTGGGAGTTTAGAGTCTGCTTGTAAGGCATGTCATACAAGGCTTGAGCTACACGAAGACACAGGAATCTAAGTAATATTACAGACTTTCTAACGGCCTTAAGACCCCAAACTAGCGGCCCGAGGTGTCACGTAATCCAGACAAGATACTACGCAGGACCGATCAGACAAGGCGATTCTAGCCAGAGGCGGCACGAACGTGTCTACAATATTGGCTGCTGATTTCATATTCCTAGGTATGAGTAGTTCTCTTGATTATGTCGATATTCACAGCCGACCAATTTTTGGGATTCGGATCGTACAATGAGGGCCATGCCGACGGTGGCCTCTGGATCTCCCTAAATTCTCCATATCATTAAAAGTTGATGGCTCTCTGAGGCGACTCATGCAATATTTTTAAGCATCATGACCGAGGTTTAACCACGACCATGGCGAACAGAACATCAGTAGTGTGATCGGGAAAGTCACTCGATCCCATCCAATGAGCTATGGCACAATACTAGCAGTGCTCACTAGAAAACGCTCGGGATTCCGGAACATTAGGGTTGTGCCACAAAACTTCTGGAAGCATCAAGGAACATATTTAAGCAATCAGAGGCAAAGGCCGTATTTTCTCCTCATGAATCATGATCTCCGAAGATTGCCGCATAATGAAAGGCCTCAGAAACACCGATTGCCTGTGTAGAAGCACGATCTCGAGAGACGAACCTGCCACTCTGGCGAGATTGAACTGGGATGGACATCTCAGGGTGTGAAAGATGTAGGAGTGGCCGATTGATTAAGCGAGTTAGATCGATCTGCGAGTATGATAAAGAAGTCGCACCCGCACGTTCGTACGAGTACTTCTTCCTCGCCGGGCCGAGGAATGACTGGCCACCGAGGTATCCGGTTTATCGCGGCCTTGCTCGTACCAAAATCCGTACGAAATAGGCACACCCTGCCACCTTCCACGCGAAACTGCTTCTCACGCTCCACGGCTCATAGTATACCCTTCAACTCCTTGGAGGACTCAACAATGGTGATAAAATGATGACGTAGAAGTGCTTCGAAGATTGTTGGCAGTAGTGGCGCTAACACTACTAGCGTGGGTCGGCTTACCTGCCATATTGAATCAGAGTCTCATGCAAGGCTACGAGGCTGTAAATATCCCAAGTTTTTGAATTGTGAGGATGCGCCCGAGATGCCCCTCAGAACCGCTGCCCGTTTGCCCCCTCAAACACCCTTTCATTTCAGTCCTACCACCGCCATTAGATCCAGACACTTGATTTCCTCTCGCCAATCTCACCGTTTCTGACCAGCCTAGAGTCCATCGCCGCAACAGCGGTCATCCGCTGCAACCCGTCATGTATACACATGTTGTGACCGCTTGACGATCAAGAACCTCACACTCTCCACTAGATCTCTCAGCCACTGCGAAGATCGAGCCACTCCCTTCCTTGTCACTTCCAAACCTGCCTGGACGAGTCCTCTAACCCTCCCTGAATGTCCCGATCACTCGAGTCTTGAGTTTTGCTCATCATCTTACACGAAACTCATCAAAATGCCGGCCTTTCGAGACCAATCTCGCCATGAACAACTCTCCAGCCTCTATCTCAACAATTCGGTCATTGAGAGAGTACAGTCTCAGTGGCTCTTTACCCCCGAAGAATTATTACGGACACCCAGTATTCTCGATGGCATGCCCGTCGACCAAGAACTTTCAAATCGCCAAAAGGGCGTCAATTTCATCACCCAGGTTGGTATCATGTTGAAACTGCCGCAACTCACTCTCGCAACCGCATCAGTCTATCTCCACCGGTTCTTCATGCGGCACGCCATGGTACAGAACAACAAACCTGGCCTCCATCATTATTCAGTTGCAGCTACGGCCATTTTCTTAGCGACAAAGGTCGAGGAGAATTATAGAAAGATGAGGGAACTGGTTGTTGCCTGCTGCAGAGTAGCCCAAAAACAACCCAACCTGGTGGTCGATGAACAAAGCAAAGAATACTGGAAGTGGCGAGATACCATATTGCACAACGAGGACTTATTGCTAGAAGCCCTTTGCTTCGACTTACAGCTTGAGCAACCGCACCGGATCCTTCTCGACTTGATGCGTTTTCACAACATACAAGAAAACAAACAGCTACGCAACGCCTCATGGGCATTTGTGAATGATTCACTCATTACGACCCTCTGTCTCCAATCAAGCCCACGCGTAATCGCCGGCTGCGCCTTATTCATGGGTATCAAAGTCGCAGGCGTTGGGTTGGTAGATGATGATAGAGGAAGGTCTTGGTGGGAGCAACTTGGTATCGATCTCCGGGACATCCAGAAAGGATGCAACTTGTTGGCCGATGTCTATGAGACTTCGGCACTACCTCGACAAGGACATAATTATGTTCGAGATAATGATATCGCAATATTCGACAAGACAAGAATGGCCGCCACACCACTGCCTAGTCGATCACCCACAGCCAGTATTGGGAGTCAGGGGACCAAACGTGAGCGAGATATGGGAGACACCAATTCTGGAGGGTGGGGATCAACCACGCCCAATGTCAAAGACGCTCAGCAGATGTCCGCATCAAAAAAACCTCGCCTCGAATCAGAACCGGTCAAGGTGGATGACTTGCAGAAGCGTATCGATGATATTGTCAACTCGGCTGCCCCAGCTCCATCATCGACTAGTTCGCACGCAGCCTTGTCAAGACGACCCTCGAATCAGCCGCCCGCCCGTGAAGCAGTAGCTCCGCTCCCCGTCTCCACCAATGACTTTGACGACGCTGAGAAAGTGGACTATGGCAGCGAGGAAGGCGAATTATAAGTATTGCACTTACTTCCACCGATTTCAAAACGGTAACAATACTTTTATGCTAACTAAGCCATTTCATCTCTTGAAAAGTCACCGACCAGGACTGAGGGATTTACTTATGACACCTCGTCAAAAGTTCACATATGACAGGCCAAGATCGAAAGGCGTTGCCAATCTACCAAGCATGATTACTTCAAGAACGATCACTTAGGTACTGTATGCCTCGAGTGATTATTAAATACGAAAATTCAACCTTGTTTGCTCGGCAGATGTCTGGTGCGGGGAAATTTCTCTGTAAGCGACGATGACGAAGGAAGCGAACAGAATGAAGCCGGCAGAGCGGGCACGCGCATCAGTTGGAGAAAAGCCTCCGGGTGTGCATTGTCAGCAACCAACCATATCTTGACAACGGTGATGCCTCGGTGACACTCCATGACGCTGTTCCAATTGGATTTCTAATAAGCCGTCAATGGCGTGCTCCGAGGCTTCACATATAATAACCAATGGCTCCGCAGTTTGTGCCTTGACCATTCCTCCAGCATCCCAAACCATTAGAGATTGAGAGTCTTCGATACACTTCATCGCCAAACCCGACCTTGATCCGTCATCACCGCCGCCATCTTATTACACCATGTCTAGCACAACTACCCAGACGATTTCTTCCACGACCCTCTCGGGTGCCCAGGACTCATCATACATCCCCCGGGGTCCTGTTACCACCACCTTGAATTTCTTCCAGGATCCTTCTGATGGCGCAAAGCCGTTCAACTATGTCGAACCGCAGCCCGAGGGTCAACCCCAGCGCAACTTCGGTGTTAACGAAGTGGAGTTGGAGTTGAACGACATTCGAGACCATGAGAAGGATTTCTACCTGGACAAGGATGCCTTCGAGGTTGTACAGGGCGTCTCCTCGGAAGAGAAGGATTTCGTCGATGACGAACATATCAAGAAAGTGTACTATCCTGAAGTTGAGAAACTCCTACTCGACAATGTCCCTGGGGCGCACAAGGTGACAATTTTCGATCACACCATTCGACGATCGAATCCAGATGCGCCCCGAGCCCCTGTGACAAGAGTGCATGTGGACCAGACGGCCATTTCAACCGCTTGGCGAGTCAAGCTGCACAACCCCGAAGAGGCAGACGAACTTCTCAAAGGGCGGTACAGGATCATCAACGTCTGGCGTCCGATCAACGGTCCTGTCCAGGCACATCCACTGGGTTTTGCCTCTGCGGACAGTGTCGAGGATAATGATCTCGTTCCGGTCGAGCACCGATATCCCCACCGCACCGGCGAGACAGCTGGCGTCAGACACAATAAGTCGCAGAAGTTCTACTATCTGTCGGGCATGCAAAACGACGAAAGCCTGTTCCTAAAGTGTTACGATAGCAAAGACGGCGTGGGCCAGAGAGTCCCCCACACCGCATTCGTCGATCCCAGGACGCCTGAGGGTGCGAGGGGCCGGGAGAGCATTGAGGTGAGAGCTCTTGTTTATGGTTAGATAGGACGACTTATCGTGTCACCTGCTATCCCTTGACATGAGGGGCAAAGGTTGGAAGGGAGGATAAGAATCCTTTCGGCCATTTTTTATAACATTAGCGACCTTGTACATTACACGATATCAGCGTTGCCCGGGAATTTTTCTACATGAATAATAAAATCACTTTTGTATGGACCCACCCACATTCCATCCAGTATACAAGCAAAGTTAGTTGCATGAACTGCAAAACGCGACCCTCACCATGCCAAGCGTGAGTGTGTAATGAAGATCGTCTCGTCTCAGGCGGCCTGCTCGCGCCTCTTTCCATGCGGGACCACGCAGCTTCAATGCAATGGCAAGGATGAGGAGTAAGTACATGAACCTCGACGGATGCCTGAGGTGACAAGGACAAGATGCCCCTCGACGCTTATTATTCCTGCTGACGGTCACTAGTGGGGCACAGGGGTTCTGCGGGTACGTAATCCTCGATCCTCCTTGATCCGTCGTCCCAACCTCACTCACGCTCCAGTCGTGGCTCTCTTCGCCAGAAGCGGTCTATCTTTGAAGCAACCCCAAGCAGTGCTGTGGGGGCGGCGGGCGCGCTTCAAAATCATTGAGTGGCTCGGAGCTGGAGCGTGGGAATCCTATTGTTGTTTGGTCGCTTCCCGTTTGCCAGGATTGCGTCCGGTTCAGGATTCAGGATTCGAATACTACGAGTAAGTGTGAGGTTGCAGTGGATGTGATGAGACGAGTACGCCGCAATACTTTAATCTACTGTGACAAGCCTTGAATGACTTGGGCTGAAGGGCTACTACCTACTTTTTCTATTGATTCAAGCTTTCCAGCGATTGTTCGTGTTTCGCGTGCTCGTACTTTTGAACTTGCAACAAATTTACCGTGCTCCCAAAGATGACCACCAGCGACATCGACGCCCGCTTCCCACCGATTTACACGGACCGACTGTACATACGGTTCTTCGACCCGTCGCGTCCAGAGGACTACGAAACTGTCCTCGAATTCTACAACTCGGAGTACACGAAAAGATTCATCGGGGATGTGGGGATGAACACCAAAGAACATATCGAGTCGCGGTGTGAAGAAGGCACGATGATACCCAAAGTACCGGGCAAACCGGCATCCGCCACGCCAAAGTACCCGTGGCACATCGTCTACCTCCGCTCGGATCTCTCGCGGCCCGTAGGGATCAATTCGCTCTTCACCGCCGTTCCCTTCAATAAGCCGACCTTGGGCTGGGCGGTGCGCGAGGAGATTGCCGGCCAGGGCTACGCGAGCGAGGCCGCGAGCGCGGTGTTGAAGTGCTGGGTCGAGGATATCGGCGTCACCGATCTTTGGGCGGGCACCTTCCCTCATCATAAGGCGAGTCAGAGGGTTGCGGTGAAAGTCGGGTTCGAGTTTGGTGGCACGTTCTCGATGAAGTTTCCGGATGGCGAGGTCAAGGAGGCCATCTACTATGTTTTGCCTGGCGCGGATAAGTCGAATATGGAGGGGAGGGTGATGGATTTGACGCAGCAGCCCGGCATGCCTTCGGTCCCTCTGGTCCCTGCTGTGGAACTTGCTGCGTAAGGGGTACCGATGGATTGCCGAAAGGCTGTCCTATGGCGAAAGCACGGAACTTTTCATATTGGTTGGCTCGAATACTCGATGAGATCTTTGGTCGCCCCACTGCTGCGGCGGGGTTGCAAGAGATTTCCATGTCCACCGGCATCGTCCCTGCCCTGCCTGCAACGACCATAGTATGCAGCAACATAACGGGTCATGAATGAGACCATGATCCATAATTTCCCCCTGCTATTCAGTCCCAGGCTTCCAGTGGAACCAGATAGTGCTCTCCGCCTTCCGAGCGGATCCTCAAGGAAACATAGGTCCATTCGTCGCAGCACTCACCAGCCTGTATCGTACCATCAAGTGCCTGGCAGTCAACCTCGAAACGTCGGACTTGCATTTCATGAGATCAAGAGCGTTAATGCAGCTGACAAAATGCCGGGAAATCTCGTCACTGCTGGTGTTGTTGTACAGCCAGGACAAATGTGGCGCGTTGTCATTTAACATTGGCCCTCGCCACTGTCGCAGCCAATCCAGAAGAGTCTCGGCTGCCATCTCAAGCGCCTTGATGACCTTCTCGGTGTGTGGGTCGGCGAGGAGTGCACTTTGGCTGAGGAGTACTGGATGAGACGATCTGGTGCTACACATACCGGGAGTCAATCTTGCGCTCTCGTCGATCGCTAATGATGGTGGATAGCACGAAACCTTCGCCGCCTCAGAAATAGCGTACACGCCTGACTTCCTCAACTCACACGTCATAGCTGAGGAGGTACGAAGGCTCTGTCCCAGTCTTTCAGACATTGCATTACTGTCGACCACCTCGATGCACTGCGCAAGAATCAGACAGGCCATGTTCCATCCCAGGACCAGCACGAGATACCAGGATTGAAGTTGGAACGGCAGGTCTGAGTGGTTAGCTATGCAGGATGTGAAGAATCCACTGTAGTTCACAGTCCAGTACTGGTGCACGGCGAGCGCTTCTTTTATGGCGTTCTCGATCTCCGTAGGTTTAGGAGAAGTCGGCTGCCGTTCTAGGGAGGGGAGCATGGACTGTAATCTGCTCACTTTGCGCCAGAATAGTAGTTTAAGAGGTACGGCCCGCTGGAGCATTTTGGAAGTGAGTTGCGATGTCGTCGGTTCCGACGTTTTGGTTAGGTCGTCCCTCCACAGTCTATCGACGTCCAGTAGATAAGAGCCCCAAATGTCAACTGAGTAGGTCCTTAATTCAGGATGGGATCGGTGTTGGTTTATTTCTGTGCTCAACCGTAAGGCTCCGAAAGTGGTAGGGTCCAAATCTGATATTTCCAGGCTGCAAAAGGCCATACCCGTCTCCGTATCGGGCATGACCAAGGCTCGCTGATTGATGACTGCGGATGTCGTGTCGCACATGACGCCCAGCCAGAAAAGTAGGTTAAAGTCGGCGAGACATCTTGATCCTGACGAGGTGCTGTGAAGGCTTCCTATCTGAGAGGAAGGTTTTATGGACCTTCGCCAATTTGAAAGGTGGCCGAGGGCTATCTCGAGGTCATGCAAGACTTCATGGCCACAGAACGAAGAAGAGTACCGTGGAAGGTCGGGAAAAGCCATGTTGGCAAAATCTTGGGCTGGAGCACTACTTGAGGGTGCACGTGAAGTCAACTGACCATTGAAGTCGCCCACTCTCGGATGTATCGCTTCTCTGAATCTCAGATCGTGCGCAGTGGAGGGGTCGAGACGGCCCTCGGGAAGGTCGGTCCACTCATCTTCATCTAGTGGCGGCTGGGTGCAAAACAAAACGATCGATGCAAGAATGACCCGAAAAGAGCCGCAGTGTTTCCATCGGCCGAGACATCTTTGGGATTCATGCCAGACACTTAGTCGCAGTAAACGCCCAAATTCCTGTGCACCAGCAGCCTCGAAGTCAGATTTTGACCGTGATTCGACGGTAGGGTGCTCGCAGGTGAAAGCCCAGGTTGAACTTGTCGACGAGGACTGTGACTCATGGGACCACTGGCTGGCAAAAGCCATGACAGCTAGTTTCAAAACCTTAGAAGAGCCAGAATCTTCTGCTCCGGTCAGCGGTCTCCGCCTTCTCCCGGAAAATGCGGCATCAAGCTTGTGAACTTGGTCGTAAAGTGACGTTGAAATCGAACTTGATCTTTCTTGTTCATTTACAACGTGAGAAGGGCACTCAATGTCTGTCTCGAGTCTATAGGGACAAGTTCCCCTGTCGATCCAACATTGCAGCGCATTCTCCAAGCTCTCGTGATAGATCGTCAGCAAGTCGTCCGAGATTGTGATCTTGTTCGATCTTTCTGCAAGTAGATGTTCTTGCATACTGATCGTCGGCCAGAGCTGCTCTGTCGGTCGATGCACATCCGCGTTGCGACTTGTGGTTGAAGAGGCATTCGTGGACGATCCTAAAACGGGACCTTGCTCCTCAGTGTGGTAGTTCCCAATCTCGAGCACGTCATTCTGCGCCTTCAATGAAATTGCTTCGATCAAAGATATCGGGGACCCAGCGTCAAACTGTCGTGATGGGTATAATTGATTATCGTAGAACGCTTGCACACCTTGGTCATGGTCCAAATCTTCATGTCCCGTGGGAACATTAGCAGACTCAAGCCAGACCGCTGGGTTATTGCGCAATCCCTTCGATTCCAGGCTTTGAGATTGTCCTCCAAGGCGACCATCCTGGCCATTTTCCCGTGGCGAAACGAATCCATAAGAATACACGTTGGCTTCCTCAAGTAGATCTGGTAGCCAAAGCGACCCAAGTTGATAATCAATCGTCAAAGGCAGGCCATAAACTGAACTCGGAAGAGCCTCCAGACCCAGATTTGAGTCGGCGTCATTGACATTTGTCCCAGTGCCAAAGCTCTCTAAATGTGAAGCTCTGATATTTCCTCCCTCTCCTAGACGTCGTGGCAGAGCCTGTCGAGGAATTGATCCGAGCCAGTCAAATGTACATTCCTGATTGAAGTTTTGGCATCTCGAACATCGCCGACGCTTGAATTGGGTATTTGGGGTCAGATCATGTCGCCTGAATGGGTCAATACCTCGGGTGGCTGCGTCGCAACCACGGCGAGCTTTTCGACAACGATCACAACTTTGGTATTGTCGACGGTTGGTCCTGTCCCGTCGGCGGCTTAAAGGTCTGGAAGGACCAGCTTGTGGATCCATTTCAAGGGAAGGAAACCAAACTCGGGTCGGAGAAGGAGCTAAATAGCAACGAGGAACGCTGACCCCGCAAGCCAGCGGGTGAGGCCCCTGGGCTAGATAAGGCTCCTTAGGCATGGGTGGGCGCTATCACCACTCATTTATGGGTAGGAGCCTTAACTCCCACGCACTCTTAAGACCGCCTATCCCGCCTTGGCAACAACGAATGGTGGAGTTTCAATGGTAAGTCCGGTGGTGAGAGAGACTTCTTCAGGCACTGGCGACAATGAGAAACCTTTAGACAAGAAGCAAGATATGAGAGACGGGTAGACCGTGAGTAGTTTCTTAGTTTTTCAAGTTCTATGACAATAGACTACTCATTCGAAATTATCTTGACTTCCTAATTCTTCATCTTGAACACTACATACTCCGCGGCCATGCCCTCGTCGTCGAGGTGCCACCGTCCTTGTCCCACCAGGAATGCGGTCTCCAACCATTTCAACCTTTCGTCTGTGGTCACAATGTCAAGCTTGGTGAACCAAACAGTGTCCCCAAAATTCGATGCTATCGGCCCTGGGCCCGATTCGTCAAGCAGCCTCCGGGCGGCTTCGTCGAAGTTGATGACCCCTTTGTATTTCAAGGACAGTTCCCCCTGATCTGTCTTGGCGCGAGCTCGAGCGTTGACGTACACGCACTCCGCCTTGAGATCGATCAAGGGCCAGTCTCCGCCGGGAGGTAGAACTTCGGCTTCAATGTCGGAATTGTCGAACTTGATGAAGCCGCTTGTCACGTTGACGATTATTCGAGCACCGGAGGTTGTCTGGCCAAGGTCGGCTATATCGGGATGGAGGTATTCGCGCATGAGAAAGACAGGCTCCAGAGAAGGTACCATCTTGAGGAGTCTGATGAATATCGAAGGGACGTTTTTCAAAGAGGATCAGGCGTCTTCTCGATCTTGTTCGATAACCAGAATAGTCCCTACTATATGTGAGGAAGAAAAGGTATAGTCGTTGAGTATGTCTCTCATGAAAGCACAGATAGGCAGCTATCGATCACTGAATGAGGTGTTGAAGAAGGAAAGAAAGCTTGCCACTGAAATCATGCCCTTCCTCTCAACAGGCCGAATTATCAAGACAAAGGCTTCCATGGCTGCTCGGGACGTGGCATTAATGGCTCGGTCGTAAAGGATCGCGAAAAGTCGAGAGCATAACCCAGATCATGACCAAGACACCCTCGCCGAACGCGAGGCATGTATCCTGTAGTGTCGTTGCAGTCATGTAGAGGGCACTTCAATGCGTGGGACTAGGTTAGGATATCCATGCATGTGCGGCTCCGGCATATCTCCACTGCAGATCTCCACCGGTGATTGGGTACATCACAGCCTGGTGCTCAAGGATCATCACGGAGGTGCGCTTCCGACGCACACTGCGGCCGGTGGGGCTTCGTAAGCAGGAATATCATGTCTCTGATACCTGTAGAGCGAGCTTATGAAACGAGGGTGTGCTCAAGATTCCTCCGGTCCCTGATTCATCGATTCTGCTCTTGAACTTGTGAACATTGGCTTATGTGCTCTGTCGACCTGGCTGAGGTATTCAGATGAAAGACCATATAATCACAAACTTGTGTCATGACCCAAATGGATCGGAAATAGTCCCTGGGCTTGGTTTTAGATCTCCCAAAAAGTTACCTATCATATGATCTCAACACCAATCTCAGTCACAAATTTACGGCATATTGCCACTCTCCGAGTATATGTCAGCCCTGAAGTCATATCTTGGGTATCCGAAAGCCCTGACCATGCTCTCACCTCTGTTCCCATCACAAGTGGTTTTGTGAAATTCAAGGCCGAGGGAATCGTGGCGGAAATTGTAACCCCGTCATTGCCTGTCACCGAGACATTCAATGGACATGCCCAACTCAATGTTCTATGTCGTGCTAGGACCGACGCGGGAGAGACATCAATCCGATATACAGGGATTCTTGAGATTGATGAGGCTACGACCAAGGCAGCAAAAGGGGCCCCCGACGCGAGGTCGACTGCGTTCGGGAAATCGTGGTGGTTCACCACAATAAGCTTCCAGACTTCTGATCAAAGAATAAAGTGGATGCAAGACTCGGTATTTGTCGGGCAAGGGCGGGTGCACTTGGATAAAGAAGGAAGCGTAGCTGAATATTTGATTTATTCGTTGAGGTCGTCGACTTGGTCGTTTCTTGGAGAGTTGCCCTGCTTGCAGCTTGAAAGGGTTAAACTTGGTTGGGGAGCTCTCGTTTTGGGGGAAAGATAACTCACCGCGCAGCAGGCTAGGAGATCATCGCAGGCTAGCTCCTTATTGAATTGAGGCCACTGTCTTTATGCTGGAACTTTTGGTCTGATCGTCCTATCCGCAACACGCTAAGCGGAGGAATCCATCCATATCAATACCAAGTCCTAAGTATCTGCGGAGATAGACACTGTCCACCGGAGTTCACCACCAGTATATCCACAGGCATACGAGGAACACCCTTCCTTGAAGTCCCCCCTGTGCTTTAGGATAGTAAAGATAGTGCTATTGAAGAATACGGTCAGCTGCCATATTAAAAAGGAAGGCCTGACATCCCTGAGATTCACCACGACGCTTATTCGAGCTCGTTTTACACAGACGTAGCATTTCAAAGGAGTCACAGAAGGAATAGAACCCAATATGGATGCCGGCTCAGACAAGATTGCGCATGACGCCAAAGTTGGCTCTGCAACTTTGACAGACGGCAGTGATCCCGAGGTTGGCAGCACGCACGACATCAGAACTCGACATCACGAGTTGCATCGAAAGCTCAATTCCAAACAGGTCCAGCTGTTTGCAATAGGAGGAGCAATTGGCACATCACTTTATGTTCAGATGGGTTCTGCACTACCGAAAGGAGGGCCCGCGGGATTGTTCCTCGGATTCTGGGTCTGGGGATTGGTCATGCTCTGCGTGAATGAATGCTTCGGTGAGTACTTTTGGGACCGGCGACCTCGATAGACCGCTTTGTTCACTGCTTTTGATAGCTGAGATGGTCTGTTATGCCCCTATCGCATCGCCTTTTATTCGACTGGGCGGTTTCTGGGTCGATAAAGCCCTCGAGCTAGCAATGTCCTGGAACTTCTTCCTCAACATGGCATTGCTGGTACCTTTCGAAATCGTGGCGTTCAATATTCTGCTCACCTTCTGGACAGACAAGGTACCTGTTGAAGCTGTGATTGTGATCGTGCTTCTCATATATGGGTATATGGCTCTTTCACAAGGTCTGAGTCCAAAGGTTTTGCTGACTTTCGTTCCAGATGTCTGAATCTGGTGTCTGTAAAGTACTTCGGCATTGCTGAATTTTACCTCTCGACATTCAAAGTGATGTTGATCGTCGGTCTTCTCTGTTTCACATTCGTCACTATGCTGGGAGGAAATCCTCTCCACGACCGGTATGGCTTCAGATATTGGAATGATCCCGGCCCATTTGTTGAACATCTCGTGCCTGGTTCGACTGGCCAGTTCCTCGGATTTCTCTCATGCATGGTGCAGGCGACTTTCTCAATCTGTGGACCCGAGTATATCTCCATGGTGGCTGGCGAGACCAAGGCTCCACGCAAAGTGCTTCCCAAGGCATTCCGTTCCTTTGTGTGGCGGATTCTCGTCTTCTTTTGCACTTCGGCTCTAGCAATGGGTATCGTTATTCCGTCCAATGACGAGACCTTGCTTGCTGTTTTGGGTGGGGACATCAGTGGCAGCGGTACGGGTGCGGCTTCACCATATGTGATTGCCATGCAACGACTCCAGATCTCTGGTTTGCCAAGTGTGGTGAATGTTGGAATCATGACATCGGTTCTCAGCGCTGGCAATGGCATTCTCTTCGCGGCCACAAGGACACTGTATGGCATGTCGTTGGATGGCACTGCACCAAGGTTCTTCTCCAAAACACTCAAGTCGGGGGTTCCCATCTACAGTGTCCTTGGCGGTCTCTCGGTGGGACTATTGGCCTTTCTGCAAACAAGCAACTCGAGTGCCAAAGTCTTGACGTGGCTAGTGTATCTAATCACAGCCTGTCAATTGTTGAATTATTTCTCGACTGCTCTGACCTACCGACATTTCTATGCGGCACTGAAGCAGCAAGGTGTTGATCGCAACACACTTCCCTACAAAGGAAAGTTTCAGCCATACACCTCATACATAGCCATGTTCGCCACTGCCTTGATGCTGTTCCTGCTCGGCTATGACCTGTTCATCACGGGCGGATGGGACATTCTTTATTTCTTTCTCGACTACACCTTCCTCGGCGTATTTCCCTTGGCAGTGATTGGCTGGAAGGTTGTGAAGAGGACGAAGTACATCAGACCCGGGACGGCTGATCTCACTGTCGGTGGGCTGGTTCCTGCAATCGACGAGTACGAGAGGTGCACCGAGGAGGAGCCGACTCCGAGCCAAGGATTAGAAGTTGCTCTCGATCGATTATTCAATGGAAAGAGTACAAAGAAAGGCTGACATGGGGACTGTTCTATAGCTAGGCGATTGGAGTATCGGTGCGCAAATCGAATGGCGAACAGCAATGCTCAAGCCCATCTCGAATTGACCGCATTTCATGGTGCGTGCCGGTGGGCGAAAATCCATATTCCTCTTTTTCAACACATGTGAAGGAGGGGACTTGTTCCTTGTAGATAACACTTAGAGAGTGGCATTCTTTCGTGAGAATGAGTTTCAGACGTCAATAGAATGGAGGACTCGGAAATCTGTATGCAAGCTCTGTCGTACGAGATTTGTCTGGGTCCTTCGCAAATGTCCATGTCACCAAAGGCAATGGTTGAGGACTCTCAGAACTCCCGCAAGGCTGGGGTCCATTAATGCCAAGACCTGAGACCAGAGCCTCAGATAAAACGGCATGATTTGCGCCCGAACCAAGTAACATCGTGGCAGCAATGTTGCTGCTTTATTGCCTGCGCTTCAAGTTCAAAGGAAAACCTCCCCGCCTTCCACCTCTGTTCAGATTTGGCATCAGAAAACAGGAATAGTCTGACTTCGTCATTCGTTCTTCCTTCCCACAATCACTACCATAATCGAGGACTCATACACCCCCGTGTGAGAGACCTTTCGGGAACATTTCATCCATGTCCTCCACGACAAATTGAGAGGGATACGGCGGGACGACACTGGTCGGGCTCTACATTTGCACACTCCATCTGTTCAAAGACCAAGCGGCTAACAATTTTGACTCCACAAAAGGCTATCCTGCAGTCCCGGCCTTGAGTATAGCCACCATGGCATCAGCATCAATCAGCCAATCTGAAGGCGAAGTCTCCAGCTCAGACTCAGAATCGAAGGCAAAGAGCATACCATCTTCTCGCAATTACAGCAAAGTTGACCGTCATACCAGACCATATCAAGCTTCGCAGGACTCTGTTCCTAGATCAAATCGATCCCGTTCAAGATCCCCTTACCGTGCCCCGAGAGGCGAGAAACGCCCCCGAGAATCCGATCATGCAAGAGGCAGTTCCTTCAACGACTCACGCAATCGGTCACTGAGGCACGAAACTGATGCACATCGCCACCGATCTCGCAATTCCTACGATGACCGGAGTTCAAAACGTTCTCGTACGTATTCTCGAAGCCGCTCCAGAAGCAGATCACCTTATCGCCATGGAAGGAAAGAGGACGGTCCAAGAGACGGTCGGCTAAATCCAGCAGGGCATTCAACACATAGGCTGTCATTGTCACCCAAACCTTCAGCAAGTCCTCTCCGAAACTCGAGAACCACTCAACTGGACTCTGATTCCACATCTCGTATGTTGAAGACAGAAATAGGCCAACGATCTGGTTCTAGTAAGGAAATTCCTCATTCCGCCAGCTTAGATGCCCCAGTCGAGATTGATATGACCGAAAGCAAGCCTGTAGATGAGGCTTCATTGATTGAAGAGCGTCGCAAACGCCGTGAAGCTATCAAGAACAAATATCGTGGCCAAGCGCCATCGTTACTTGTACAGGCACTTCACGTGGGAGCGGACTCGACTCCTGGTACCCCGGGACCAAGTAGCCTAGCAAGTACGCCACGCAGGTCCGGTAGGTTTCTCCATCAAATCGTTCTTACGAAGGGTCTAACTCGCATAGAATCACCCACGCCTTCATCCCCTCGGACACCACGAGACATGTCTGGACCCCAGTCTCCAGCCGATGTACAATTCGACAACGATGTTGATCTTGCTAATGGAGACAGAGCATCACCCGGTGAGGATGGCCCATCAGCTGCCGACTACGATCCTACCAAGGATATGGAGGACGAGCGCGCTAGGCACGATAAAAGTTTCTTCAAAGAAGATGACCAGTCGTTGCAGAATGCTGATCCCGGTGTTGGTCAGACGGAAACCGACCTAGTAGCACCCCCGGCCAAAGGTGGTGGTGATTTTGACATGTTCGCGGATGACGATGAGGACGACATGTTTGCTGAAGCACCGATGCAGGTCAAAACACAGGTGAAAACAGCCCAAGCTCTTGATGTCAACCTGATGGACAACTGGGATGACGCAGAAGGATATTACATTACAATACTTGGTGAGCTGATTCAAGACCGATACCATGTGACTCAAAACCTGGGACGTGGCATGTTCTCTTCCGTTGTGCGCGCCACAGACTCCCAGACAAACAATGAAGTGGCGATCAAGATTGTGCGCAATAACGAGAGCATGCGAAGGGCGGGTATCAAGGAGATCGACATTTTAAAGGATATCGAGAGTAACGACCCAGAGGACAAAAAGCATCTCATTCGGCTACTTCGATCCTTTGACCACAAAGGCCATCTATGCATGGTATTCGAGAATCTCTCAATGAACCTTCGAGAAGTGTTGAAGAAATTTGGCCGGGATGTGGGGATCAATATCAAAGCGATACGCGCTTATGCACAGCAACTCTTCCTTGGGCTAAGTCTGTTGAAAAAGTGCCAGTACATCCACGCCGATCTCAAACCCGACAATATCCTGGTCAACGAGTCGAGGAGTGCATTGAAGATCTGCGATCTTGGTTCCGCTTCACCCATCACGGAGAATGCAACAGCGCCTTACCTTGTCTCACGGTTCTACAGAGCACCCGAAGTAATACTTGGAATTCCTTATGACTATGGCATCGATATGTGGTCGATCGGCTGTACCCTGTTCGAACTCTACACTGGCAAGATCCTCTTCACTGGACGTAACAATAACGGGATGCTGCGGGCGATCATGGAGTATCGTGGCAAGTTTCCCCATAAACTATTGCGGCGTGGTGCCCTGACATATGAGTATTTTGACGAGATGCTCAATTTCCAATCTCAGGAAATTGACAAGCTCACCGGCAGGACAGTGACCAAGATGATTGACATCAAGGCGAAGCCAGTCAAGGATTTGAGGTCCCGATTGATACCCAAGGACAAGAAAATCAACGAGCAAGAGAGAAAAGAGATGGAGTTGTTTGTCGACCTCCTAGACAAGTGCTTGGATCTACGGCCGGAGAAGCGTATCACACCGATCGATGCTTTGAAACATCCGTTCATAATCAAGGCAAAGGCATAGAAATTTTGGAGTGATAGAATCACTGATAGATGTCATTGGGAGATAATAGACACAGCTCCATAATGTACACGCAACATCGCATTCCTGAGAGACCGAGCTTGGGTTCAAAGGATCTGCACTCGATACACCTCCATCGTGGCCAATGAATGAATAGTTCTCAACTTTCCATCTAGCCACAATCCCTTCTCGCTGTCGCTGTGAATCGCTCCCCGTTCATCACAAAGGACCCCACACCACGTCGATGCATAGGTGGTCGATATCATGGCTTCACACGCCTGAGCTTCTCGGACCTCTCAAAGCGCTTGTGCGGCGTCTCTTCCCGCAATGCGGCCGAAGGTCAGTGAGCGCAGCACACTGGTTGCTGGCGGATCTGTTGGGTTTGAGCGTTAGTCGATCAGCCTCACGTGTGTTACACGGGGAAGTAGTGTATAAGGAGTGGATGACAGATGAGGGGTCATGGGGTGAATTCAGCATTGGCGTGATAGAGGCGTGTCTCCTCCATGAGGCTGGACTGGTAAAAGGGGGAAATGAGGAGAGAGTTGTGAGCGTGTTCAGTGCGCTCGAACCCCAACATCTGATCTGGCTCGAACGTAGTGCTCGTTCTGACTTACACTGTTGACATGGAAGTTAGCATCTGATCTGGGGGATTTCCATCCATGTTGATGAGCATTGGGATGAGGGAAACTCACTTCATTGTAGAATAGCCCGCTGAGTTCACCGGCTGCGTAGAGGCCTGTTGTCGTGCTGGATCAGCATTGATTTTGAAGTCCTGATCTGTGCTCGGGACGAGGATCAGACTTACCCGGGATAGGAGCTCCGGTCGTCGAGAGGACCTTCGAGTCCAAATCGCACCTAAGATATACATCAGCATAGGCCGTTGAAGGTACCAACCAAGAGGAGGGGTACATACTTAAGGCCACCGTAGGTGAACGTGAGTTGTGCTAGATATGGTCAGTTCGTGCATGGGATTTCGTTCGGAGTGCTTGTGTGACATACCTTTCATGGGGTAGCTAATTGCTCAGTGGTCAGTCTTCAAGATGGCTTGAATGGGGACTTGTGGTGGTCATCTTACCCGTAAAATGGCGCCTCTTTGATGGGCGACGCCCAGTTTGTCTTGTCTGGCGAGAGCCTAGGGGGATTGTGTCAGGAACGTTTGGGACATGGGATTGTTCTGTTTATATCTCTCACCCGTGTGTACGCTTGCCATCCAGTTTCATGAGGTCGAACTCATTGTCGTTGATCCTGTACAAGAGATGTCAGCCCAGGTAAGAATTGGTGTGGATCCCGAGGAGTGACTACTTACGCTGCATTGAACTCGTCTACCGTCTTCTTCAATGCCTTGGGATCGAGTCCGAGCTTTTCTGCAAGTCCTTCAATCGTGTCGCTCTGCTCAGGTTCTTTGTCGGTGGTATCGTAGACCCAGCCCGGACGGAACCGGTCCATGATGGGCTTATCTGTAACGAAGTAGGCCTTCTGGTTCTGGTCTCGCCAGGTCTCGAGGGCGATCATCTCGAACGTGGCAAATAGATGGCGTTGGCCCTCGTCGTAGAAGCGTTGGCAATGCTCGTTGACAACGATTCCGAAGCCGTGGCCCCAAATTACAGCGTCTGGTTTTGTCGCGCGGGTGTCCACGAGTTCACAGTGCATGCCGCTCATGGAGCCCGCCACAGCAGCACCGACGTCCAAACCCATCTTCAGACCGAACCCGGTGTTGTACTTGAGCCCGGGAGCGATGAGTTCCAGGTGCTCGGTCCTGGGACCGACATATCTTCCTAGCCTGAAGGTGTGGTCAGCATTCGAGAGCACAACTCTGAAATGGGGAAGCTACAGTCCATACATTTCTCGGTTGCCTTCAAACCCACCACAGGCCAACATGACCTTCTTTCCCAAGACCTTTGAAAGGCGTCCATCTGGTTTTCGGACCTTGACTCCGCAGATGGAGCCATCCTCTTCCGTCAACAACTGTTCTGCTTGAGTCTCCCACATGATATTGACATTGTCGAATTTACGGATGTGGCCAAAGAGAGCATTGATGATCGCATGGCCGCCACCCTCAGGGAAGACGAAATGCTGATCGGTGTTAAATTCCAGGAAGACATTCTTTTCATCGTGATGATTGAACTTCACACCGTGGTCAATCAGATATTGGACGGAAATGGGGACTTCCTTCTCCATTTTGAGGCAATAATCTTGGTCGGCGAGACCCTCGCTCACGCGCGCCATCTCATTCTTCCAATCTGTGTCGAACTGGTTGTCCTTGTCGAGGCGCAGGTATGCCATGGTCCATCTACTGGCACCACACCTCTCGCCATCTTTGCCAGCCTCGATCAGGGCCACCTTTCCATTCTTACCGAGTTTTTTGCACTCCTCCAGGAAGTTCAAGGTGGTCATAGACCCGGCAAATCCACTACCGACCACAACCAGGTCGTACACTGTCGGGCTCGAGCCTGTTAGGCTGCTGACAACTTGAGCTGCGAAGGACATGGTTGGGGAATATGTTTACTATGTATTTGTGTTGATACAAGATAGAGGCCTTTGTCCGGTTCAGGCGTTGAAGAGTAGTGGGAGGAGAAAGGATACTTCACATGCGAACGATGCTTACCTCGTCCCCCCAGCAACTTTTGAAGTCTTGCTTCTGTTCCTCAACCCCTCTAGAGTGTGTATCCCCTGCATGGAGGAAGTCTGCATCCCCGCAAACTATGACGAATAGCGGTTCGAGACCGTAAATCCAACAGCGAATTCTGCACATGCAGCTGGCAAGCTTCACGGTTCCGGATTCTGATTCTGGATCCCGTGGAGGCAACATCTGCATAAACTTCGATTCATCTCTTGGTAAAGTCCAATGATTGAACTCGGTTGCCATTCCCGTGCCTTCACCCCGCATCAAGTGTTCGTAGGTTTGATAGAAACCCCCTCTTTCGCGCAAAGCCAAACGGTCTGGGTGTCGACAAGGGTCCTTTCGAGATCGAATCATCAAGAGGCATCGATCGGAAAGAAGGATCTCGTAGAAATCCAAATACCTCGAGAACTCGCTCGAGAACTCTTGGTGCCCGACATGGTCGTTGACCCAAACCCGAGGTATCCGGTTTGAAAAGCAATGATTCATAAGTCGCTATGACCAGAGTGCTCTTCACCTGAAAACTGGGAACTATATTCCGGCTGACAAGAAAGAGATCTGTGAGCCAGATGGTGAATGACTGAGTAGTGAAATGATCTAGGTAGTGAGTATGACACAACGTTTTGCCAGATGTCCATTAATGCTGGTCCGCCAGGCTGAGGGGCCAGGTGAGCTGCGTGCTACAGGCGCCTAGAAGGTAGCCGCTAGCTATGTCTTGGGCGCGGTTCCAGATCTTCCACCTGTACTTGAGTAGTGGCTCATGTGCCTAGAATGGTCAAACTCGGAGGCACCTTGTGGGGTCGTCTCTTTCCTGAGGGCACAGCGGGTGTGGGCGCGTGCCACACGGGCTCCCTCAACCGTTGAACATGTGCCACCCACGGTGCTTCAGCTTACGTGATAGACGGACCCTGGCGACCACTTATTTCTTCGAAACGACATCAAGTTTTAATTGTTCTCACTCTTATTATGGGAAAGAACACCAAAATCATTCTCCGCGGTTTTCAATCCCTTCCAGAACTGGGTATCGATCATGAAGAAGACATCAAGCACTTCTCATGCATCCTTCATACTTCCAGGAAATCCAAGTGCATTTCCTGGATCATTCAATGATATTCCTCCTTGCAGGTTAAGCAAAGAGTATCGAGGGTTCTGAGCTACGCTACGATTGAGGATTTTGGGCTTTGCATCTTCAATGGCACCTCCGAAGCAGCGCACGAGAGCATTCGCACCAAAGAGTCGCAGTGGGTGTGACCTCTGTAAACAGCGACGCGTCAAATGCGACGAATTGAGACCCAACTGTGGAAATTGCAAGAAACGTGGAACCCACTGCTCGTACACAGCACCCAAAATCTGGATATTCGAACCAAAGCAGCAGCGTAAGGTCGATGAAACGAAGGCCGTTCAGCCTTCTGAACCCTTCGACCTCACGGGCCTCACCATCTGTGACTGGCCGGCAGATGAAAAGTATTTGATGCGTTACTACATCCGACGATCGGGCCCTTATATGAGTCAATATACCTTTCTAGAGGCGAGGAAGATGTGGTCTGTAATGGTTCCACGCTTGGCCAACACGTTTCCAGCCATGAGACACCTGGTGGTAGCCATAGCGCTGATGGACCTGAGACTGAATCAAGCCACGCGTCAAGCATTGAGAGCGAGAACCGAAAGTGTCATGTAAGCCGCATCACTGCGTCTGGGATCCATCATGGTCTGACCTTCTACCAGCGTCCATTACAACAAAGCCATTGGTCTTTTAACGGCAAATTCCGCATCAATGGTTGAGGTGATTGCATCGGCAATTCTTGCGTATGTCTTGGAAACCATGATCCGAGATACGGCGGCTGCCAATATACATCTTCAGGCAGCGGAACAACTCCTGTCGAGAGTGGGCGAATCCGTCAAAGGGAGTTGCGGCTCAGAAGCTGAGGGTATTCTGGTGCACGATTTGCGGGCGATGTACATCTCAGCTGCTGCATATCACGCAACTGAGCCTACATTTCGTCCGACTCAAGACAGCTCCGCCACGTCTGTTTTCAATGCCGTAACAGCACTTCACAGCCCACAAGGACTGCGATCGGTAAAGGAGGTCGTGGTTGTATACGAGCGCCTGTTTGAACACCTCAGCAGCAAGGATCCGCTTGTACGGCCTAATGTCGAGCAGTTGAAAGCATTTACATCAAAGTGGGAATTGGCCATACTTCAGCTATCTCACGATTCTCCAGAGCCGCGTGCCAACCTTTTCGCTGCACACATGCTCATTTGTGTTGCCAACGCACTTGTACCCCGCCTCTCATATGGCGGTTTGACTGAAGAGCAATTGGCTTTGCAATCCCCAACCAATGTAACTGCGATGGGTTATATCGTTCATAGGCTTGATCTTCTACTAGAGGAAAACATCCACAAGCTTGGGAAGAGGGATGAAGCTATCTTCAATAGAATATTGAAGCTGGCATCTCGTACCATCACCCAGTTTGCCCCAAATGACAATCACCGAAATAAGGCAAAACTCATGCTCACCAAAGTCGAAACGAGAGAAAGTCTTGCAACAACTACGGAGCCATCAGATAGGGAGCGAATGAGCCATTCCAGCTTTGCAGGCACTGCTGCTGATGCATCTGAGCCGGACTCACACGAGCATGGACCTACTCTTTCCGAATTTGCATTGCAGAAGCTGAGGATCATCGAGCCGCTAAAAGTACCTCATGACACTGACTTACATCTACGAAGCCAGACGTGAAGGAAGACCAGGAATCTGCAACAAACCTGAAGCACGGGTCTCCGGCCAAGTTCTGGTCCATAAATCTAAGGAGAATGGCCAACTTGCAATTTATGGAAATCAAGGAGATCTCCGGCCTCGCATCATAAAACAGTGAGTTGCGCGGCCAAAAGAAACTCTTGCGAATGTTGAGATGGCCGAACGTGCCACGGAAACAAGCTATCAATACTGGATGACAAAGTGCACCTTTCCTTGAACTCCTCATCGACCGCATGCTGAGCAGATACGGTAGCCAACCTTTTCTTCCACAAGATAATCAGGCTACTGGTGGGGGACTGAGTTACTTGGCAATGGCAGTATGAATCTGCACATATTTCTATCCACTCAAAGGATCGAGTCCAAATGTGCATCCCGTGACTAACTTGTTGCTATCTTAAGGTCAACCAGTCAAGCCTTGCGTTGTGGCGATGTTTCGGATGGTCAAGCGGTTTGCCTAGACCGTGATTGTTGAGTCTCCAATTGGCAGTGTGCTTGGGGACTGTCGAGAAGCCCATGATCTCCCGCTACTCACGTATTCCGATCATCTACTTGCAACAGACATCTCGCCTATCACGGAACCATGTTGCCTCAATCGTCATTGAGGGAGACGTGGGTCGGGGGACGGTGTCGATGGTCCAGAGAAACCTTTTCCAGAGGCTCGCCAATAAAACTAGACAGTTTCCACCAGTTTTGCGTTTCACTTTCCAATCACGTCTTTACCAAGAATTTTCGCATGCTTGACTGTGGAGGTGCTCGTCCTCCCGTCGCCAGCATCTGCTCCGCAGCGTGAGGTCTACTGCATTCTTTGTCATAAGCCTCCCTAGCGGCCAGTGGTGCTCAGGTTCCGGAACCGATAGATTTGTGAACTCCTCGTCAACTCCCACGACGCTTCCCACCACTGAATTCCTCTGTGAAGAAGCATTTTATCCCTGACATTGCTTGCTCATTTCATTGCGCCAGCTCACAATGCGCCTCCCGAAGTGTGCTGCCGCCAAAGTCTCAACGGAGGTCTAAAAACTATGTGGATATTTCAAGAGTGACTAAGCTTGCAGTTGCTAGGTTTGACCCCAAGGTCACTAAGTTCTGGACAATGTCCAATCACCTCCGGGTAAGTCAAACCAATGTACTAATCTGGCAATAATTTGGCTCGCCCGCAAATATTGCCTTGCGGCCACAGTTTTTATGGGCCCCAGGAGTCAAAATGCATAATCTCCACAGCTTTACCAGCGCGTCGATGGGCAGGATCACGGGGGATGTTGATCGTACCTTTGGTAATTGCACAGATCGGACGGACAGCGCCGCATTTGGCTCTGATCTGTGCATTGGTGATGCCCAGGTTGTCAATTGTATCAGGGAGTCGAAGCACCACTTCAGTACTGGGATGACTGAGACGCGAGTGCCACGTCCACACAGGATCTTTCAAAGTCAACACTCAACCCGACTACGCTGGCCCTAAATGTGGACTTTAATGATCCCGTCTGGACGTGGCACTCGCGTCTCGGCTTGTCTCCACGAGTATGAACCTAATTGCCCGCTATATCACCCGTCTCACAGCGTTTTAGGCAAGCTGCTTGTTAGTCAGTCGTTCTCTAGCGTCGCGATACTCAGTCCAAGTAAGGCATCGTACCTTAAGCGTCGTTTCTAACATGGCAGGTTCGACTCGATTGATATATATGCGGCAATGGTGCCGAGTGACACCTGGATTTCCAACAACGCAACTACTGGAGCAAGAGCGTTCTGCACAATCATGTCACAGTTGGTCCTGTTGTCGTTTCGTGGTGTCAGAAACGTACGCCATGAACTTCCCAGAAAGCAGAAACCGAGTGCGAAGCAATTTGTGTTCCTGATCGAGACCGAAAGACCGGAACCTACCATTCCAGGAAAGGTCAAAGCCATCATCAATTCGCATATTGCGAAGCAGGCTCATGATAAGCGTAAGGCCCGGCAAGATCTGTCCCAAAGGGCAGCTATTGTTCATGATTTTGGTAAGCTTCTTTGGTCCTCTGAACAAAAATTTGACCGACACTCATTGTCTCCAGAACATACCGAAGGTTCCTGGGTTGACTCCGAGAAATCCTCCAGGTTCGAAGCTTCCTTCACGCCCTCGCCGACCTCCATCATACGAAGTGGGAACTCGGATCCATTTATGGCAACACGTATACCGGTCACTGCAGCGGTCCACGAATGTATGGTGTTTACCCGTGACTGTTTTCTCCCCTCACTCCACGGTAAGGAGATTGATCTGGCAGGCACGACGGTATATATGGACGCTTTCTGGCAAGACACGGTAAGCGGGCTTCAAGATGAATGCATTGGATATGCATATCTCGCTAGGTCAGCCGCCATCATTACAACAATCACCGTGAGCCAGGAAGCAGAGAACCTATGCTTCTATTTCAAAAGTCTTGCGATTACAGCACTCCGCAAGCGCATGAAGGATCTTGAAGCCGTTGAAACTAAGCTGGCTCTGTGCTGGGCCATTTATTCACTCTTCTCCGCCGAGATTGCTGCCCACAATTTCGCCGCGGCTGAGATCCACGGAAAATTTCTCAGACAACTCATCCAGCCCGAGGGTAAGGCCATCCCGGTCGTCACTGACTCGCGATTTCGTCAAGCAGCAATGTATCAAGACATCCAGAGAGCGTCGGTGTCGCTGGCCCGGCCCGCGTTTGACCTAGATCGGTGGCTGACAGAGTTTCTCCCCGGAACATGGCTTGAAGAAATAGGCTTGACCATGACGCTACCTCCAGTAGTGCTGGACCTGGCTATCGAAGACATACATCTAAGAGAAGTGTTTGAGCAGACCAAACAGTGGCTGATGGTGCTCGGTATTCTCCTGGCGAAACCGAGTCTTCTTAATCCATTCGTGATATCGAATGGCTCAACCAGGCTTCTTATCCTAGAAGGACAACTCATCAACATCTACATCGACACAGTCGAGGAATTGGAATGTACCACAGGGCCTGAAAACCTTCATCTTTACCACCTGGCGTGCTGTTGTCTTGCAGCTTTAACCTGGTTACGCAGAATGGGTAATCACGAAAACATGGGCATTGGCTCGAGATTGTCGCTCACAGGTACTAACGTGTACAACGCCGGTCCAGCCGTCGTCGTGGCAATGACTAGCTTGCTTATGAGGAGTGAAGAGGAAGCTGAGAAATCCGTTGACCTCTTTGCCTTGCGGATCAGACTATGGTCACTCTACGTTGGCGCGATCGTAGAGCAGTCGCTGCCAGCTATCGACCCATTGACAGGCTACCTCAATGTCCATTTCTGTGCTCTAGCACGACGAATGAACCTGAAGTCGTGGGAGTCGGTGCAAGCTGTGCTCGATGGTTTCCTGTACTTTGAAGGCGTTGGCCCAACAGCACGTGCCTGGTTCGAAATAATGTCACAAGGGTCCGCCGCGTCAAGTCCAAGTGATAGTAGTGTGGGCTCCCCTGGGTCGCTTGTCGAGTTGAGACATGGCTATGTCAAGTCTTTGCAGCATTTGAGTAGCACTTCCTAAATCTAATAGGTACAAATATGCTCAGCGTCCAAATTTGATAGTCTTCTTGCCCTCCACACGAGGTGACATCATCACCTCGTGTCAGCGTGCTACGGAGCAATTAAGATCGAGATCTCCTCTGGGCAGAAAGCACCCCTCATGTCGAAAGACCAACACGTTTCATCCGCTGGAATATCTATCACCGGGGAGAGGCCCCACTTCCAAAGATACTCAACATCTATCTCACCTTCAAATATACTCGATAGCTCAGATTATTCTGCCCAAATTAATCGGATCTTGATTCCTCAACATGGAAGGAGAATGTCTTTGCAAAGGTGACTTCCCTCGAGTACCCCCATTAGCTACCTCGGTTCAGCGGGCCATCTTCTCAATTCCTGACGATATTACTTGATACCAGCGATTAAAGTACGGGTCAACGACGACAACCTGTTCGGTGAGCAGCGAAGGGGACATATCTGCCACTGCAACAATTGCCGTAAAGTTGCAGGAGGGATGTACGTCCTTGCCCTTACTGGTCTGGTCTGGTTACCTATTGATCTCCGACGTCTAATCGGTGTAATCACAAATCTAGATTTGGCGCCAACTTGACCATTGAGGAAGACAAAGTTGAGTTTCCCAATGGCAAGGATAACTTGCAGAGATATGAGGTTCGTGCCTACTTTCCGATTGGGATTCGAGCTCGATGTACGGTCGTTGACAGTATGGCAGGACCCAGACACACTCAGTGGGCAACCACTCGGAAGGTATGATGGGAAGCATGGTCTGTCATGATCTCGCACTCAGTCTTACATCGGCATAGATACTTCTGCAAGACTTGTGGAGTGCCCATAATGAGCGTCAGCCCGCTGTACAAGGGCAAGGTTGTCCTCAAATTGGGAATCGTAAGAACTATAAGCCTTGAAGCCTCGTCCCTAACCCGAGGCCTCCTATCGACTACAATGAGTCATCTTCCATGACTTTGCAAAGTCCTTGGCTAATTGGAATGTGTCGTCGATAGTATCCTACATTGCCTACCCCTGAATGGGAGAGTTTTGCAAGCAGGCGACAAAAATGGGAGACACCGTTCGAAGGAACAATTCAGTATAAAACGAAGGTAAGAGATTTCCTGCAAACCAAACGTCTGATCCTGTGGGCATTTTCCCGCCTGATAAATGCTGATTGACAACCGAATCCACTCTACAGAGTTTCGGCGAAAAGTTACCAGGCTCGATTTGATATGCGAGGTGCGAGTCTACTCAGCACCCCCTTCGTCATGAGTAAACTGGATAAGCCAAGGTGAAACCAGAGCAGTGGTGCACACTAGGAGATGCATCACCTACGGGTCACTCATAAGAGGTGTTGTTGCAGAATTCTCTTCATGATATTTTTCAAACTTGAGTCAACTCTTTTCACATCCACGTGGTTATATGCAACTGAGTGAAGTGTTTGGTCTGGAGAAGATGTTTTAACTTATTGCCCGCACTCTAGACATCGTTGCTTCCAATTGAGGCAGACTCTGCGCCGATATAGGTCCATCGTAGCTCATCGTCCTTCCAATCTGTCCCCGTGACATGAATAACCTTGTCCTCCCCTGGCAAGACATCAAAACCGTTGTCCGAGAACTTGAGCCAATCCTTTTTCTCCTCAAAGACGAATCCATGCACAGGCTTCTCAGTGCTGATAGTGACCACGCCCTTTGACACCTGAACCTTCACTTTGCGATCGGCAAAATCAAGATACTTGTAAGGATGGGGCCAAGCAGTCCCTGTTGTGACTGGTTTCCCATCGACCGACAATGATACAGAGATGACGTATGGATCATAATTCTCGTCGTCGAAAGGCTTAGTCCGGTCATAGTCAGCACTCACATCGACGTCTCCTTGCTCAATGATATCGGTTGTCGAATTTGGTGCGATTTCAATGCTCTTTTTGATGGTCGAGGCAAGCTCCTTCCCCGTCTTGATGGACAAGAACCGGATTGTCACTTCACCCTGGACCGCTACTGTCCTGGAACTGGCGACCCACACATCATACTTCCTGTCCCTTGTAGCAATGGTGGGATCGACGTGACCAGCAGTCCAGTCAATGAATGGTCTGGAGACTCCGACCGCGACGGGTTCCAAATTTCGCTTCATGACGTAGAATGCTGGCTTCTTCACGAGATAGTAATCAGCCACCGCCCAGGACATCGTAGGCCAACAGTCATTGAGCTGCCACACCAATATGCCTCCGGTCTTCCTCGAGCCAGGTTTTCCCCAGTCCCGTCTCCACGAACGATACGCATAGTCCATAACATCTGCTTGAGTCATTTGTGTCAGATGTGTGAATGATGGCAAATCGTATTTTATCTTGAAGTTTTCCGCAACATAAGTCAGGAGTCGACGTTCATGGTCAATAGCTCGGTTGTGATAGTCCATGACCATGGAGCCTGGATATTGTTGTTTCGGGTCGGTTATCGCAGACTTGATCGTCGATAGGTGCGGGTATGCTTCCATGCCGAACTCGCTCACAAAGCGGCCGCCCATGGTTGACAACTCCTGGTATCTTCGCATAAGGCCATGCCAAACTATAGTAGAGGTCGTTAGACTGAGAACATTTGCAGATCAGGGGGATCTTACCGTTCCACTGGTGAATATCACCGACCGTTGGATCAAAGGTCTTCTTTCCGTCTCCCCAAGGGCTGCTAGGGTGATACACGGCACCGGGGTCTTCCTCCTCAACAAGATTGGGCAATTGGTACTCGTAGATATACCTAGCCGGGAATGTGCCTTTCAACCACGACTGTGGGTCTTTGTCCCCGTCATAGTCATAATCCAGATCATATCGCTCCTGAATCTGGTAGTCCTCATTGTTGCCAGCCCAGATAACCAGTGACGGGCGGGTCCGTAGCCGCCGTACATTATAGCGAGCTTCCTCGTCGATCTGCTTGAGGAACGAAGGATATGCTGGGTAGCTGGCACAGGCGAAAGCGAAATCCTGCCAGACAAGGACCCCAAGCTCATCGCAGGCATCGTAGAAGTCATCTTCCTCGTAGATTCCGCCTCCCCATATCCTGAAATTGGTCAGTATACAATTTGACAATCCTGGGCACAAGGGTAGATGCAGTAGGAGAGGAGCACACACCTAGTCATGATCTGATTTCCCTCAACCATCAACTCCATCCATTTACGATATCCATCCCGGCCAATCCTCGGAATAAAGCTATCCGCTGGAATCCAGCACGAGCCCCCTGCGAAGACGTCGACGTTGTTGATGCGGAAGTAGAATGACTTGCCGTTTTCATCTTTCTCCTGAATCAACTCTACCTTTCGGAAACCCGTGAGCTTTGTCTGAGCAGACTGCTCGGACCCATCGACGACCAAGCTGGCTTTCAGTTCGTACCGTGGTTGCTTGCCATATCCATGAGGATACCAAAGTTCAGGGTCCCCGAGTTTGAAGTTGGTCTTGGATAAGCCAGATTTGTCGATGTCGGCCTGAGACTCGAAGACATTTGTTCCGTCTAATGACAGACTGAACTTGACCGTGGCCGTCTCTGCCTTGCCGGCGTCCACACGAGCCAGTAATTGGCCACTTACAACTTTCAAGTCTCCACTCACCTTCGCCTGGAACCAGACGTCTTCCACCCGGGTATTATATGTCTCGAGAAAGATGGGTCTCCAAGGCCCAGAAGTGGTCAAAATCGGTCCCCAGTCCCAGCCCCAATGACACTGGGCCTTGCGAACCGGCATCCTACCAATCTCGGTCTGATGAGCAATGAATCTATGCTCATGCTCATGTTCTTTGACGAGTTCACGACCACGAAGTAGCGCAGAGGCAAAGATGATTTCAAGCTCATTATCGCCCGTTTTAAGGTGGTCGGTGACGTCCACACGATATTCGAGGAACATATTGTCCCCCTCGAGGATATTTGAGCCGTTCAATGTGACCGTGGCATACGTGTCCAAGCCCTTGAACACTAGGTCAGTCCGCGTGCTCTTACTACCAGTCTCGGATGGGGACTGGAAGGTCGTGCTGTACGTCCATGACTTCTCCGCCATCCAGCGTGCGGCGAGCTCGTTCATGTTGATGAACGGGTCGACGATTCTGTCAGGTCATTCTGTGAGTGATGGGTGCGGCTATCAATTGGTGGCATATACGCCTGTCACCTACTTTCCGTTCTCCATCAGATCAAGGTGGACCACCGTCGGTACCTTCGATACAGGGAGCCATGCATTTTCAGAAGTGTCATCAGTCTGCTTGAGCTTCCACCCGGTGCTCAACTCTTGTGTCGAGGACGGCATTGTCTTCGATTCCTAACGATGTTACAGGTACGTCGACTTGTTATCCCTGTGCGTCAAGCCGAGATGCTAGGAAGAACGAGTCATGAAGAAACCTCACAGATTGGAGAGAGCACATGAAGGGATCCTGTTATGTAGTCCTCCCACCGGAGAAACACTGTGTCCAGAGGAGATCCACAGAGTACCAAGAGGGAGCAAACCCCTACGCCTACCTCGTACACCAGTCCATGTGGGCTATTGCGATTGGACGATGGCCATCGACTGATGGTGCTTCCGCCCTGCGTGGAGCAGCAGAATCAGCCTAATGTCAATGTCGTCCAGCGGCTTATACGAACCGTCTGGGTGAGTGAAATCTGTTGCCTTTCACCTTGATTAGCCTTCTTTAGCATATACTTGAGCAGAATTGATTATCATTTAGGTGAAGAAGCGCAAGACGAAGGATTCGATACTCGAATCATGCATCTTCGTAACGAAATCGGAACCTCGGGCCAGAAGTCGTGGGGTGATGAAGAGGAAGCATGGCAGCCAACAACCTAACCCTTTTTAGATCGGAAATATAAATTGTCGAGCTGGAGAGAGTTAAGATTTTCTGGCAAATCCATTTCTGGCAACGGGAGTATGAAAGTCCGGTAGGATTTGGTGGGGTCCACGGAGCAGTGATTTTCAATTGTCATTTCAAGCGATGATTAGGATAGCCTGGCAAAGGGCGAGGCTGAAGTTCTTCGCGGACTCGAAACGTGGGAGCCAGCCAGAAAATATACCTTGACAGAGGTAATTAGCTGCCGCATATGTAATGTGATGCTCGCACTGCTTAGGGGGTTGAAGACATCCTATTCTCGAACCCCGACTATTCCGTAGGACAACCTTCGTGGGACGAGGCTGAATGGAAGATTTGAAGTTTTATGACCCGGGGAAGAATTATGTCCACTGTATCGCCACACTAATTTTGCAACACGAGCAAGCCGGTGGCATCTAAGCGGAACTCACTATTCAAGCACTTGATGGTGCAATGCGAGTCTGGCCCATCGCTGCTTCATGGAGTGGACAATCCAGCAAGACGAGCCCTCGAGCCCAGTTGATGTCATTAGAAAACGATCATCTGTTAATTAGGCCACTATGGTTGTCTATCATGGGTGCCCTGGTAGCACCTGTAACCTACCCGGTGATCAAACCACTCCAAATGAGAATAGCACCCCGTATCTTGACATATGATAACTCGCCTATGTCCGCCTATGGCTAGTATTGAGAGTGCTGGGCGCTATGCAAGTCCCCCTGTGCCCTTCGATGTCCCATTCATTCCATGCAAGCTCATCCCCGTGGGGTCCAAGGGTAAGTGCCATTGTCCAATGCTTGGTCAACAAGAAGAGAGAGCTTCTCCCAACCTCGTCTGTCCGCATACCTCCACTTGCCCGCTCGACTAAAACATCATTAGTGGTAATTTGAGAATGATAGTCGGCCGTCAGCCGGTGGAAGTCGGCTTGGAACTGAACTCATAAGTACAGTCTGATCAACCCTTCAAACTTGATCACTTTTGCCATCTCTGGTCAATTCTCTTTCCCTGCAGCCGATTTCGAACTCGTTTCTCCTTGTGCCAGACTTGTCTTGGTACAAGATGGCGGACAAATCTGAGCCCCGAGAGCAGAATACGACGGACGGTGGCAATGGCCGCCCAAGTCATGAAAGCGATCTCAAGGTTGTTGAGGTGCATCAGGTCGAGGGCATCGATCCCACTCATGCTGCGATCATGGCAACGAACAAGCCTAATCAGTGGGGCAAGGGCTATATCAGATTGTATATGCTGGCAGCATGCATCTTTCTGAACTCTACGATGAACGGTTCGTTCTCACCCACAGTCGCTGAACTCTGAATGCCGAGTCACCTGGCTAACTATGGGATTCAAATAGGGTTTGATGCGTCGTTGTTAGGCTCGATTAATGCTCTTCCCAATTATACTTCGTACTATAACCTACCCAAGAAAGGCGCAACAAGTACCGGCATCGTCTTTGCGATCTACCAGGTACGTTGGTCTACCTCTTCGGCTCCAATGACACCAAGGAGCCAACAGCTGATATCTGACTTAGGTCGGACAAATGGTTGCCTCATTCTTCATTTGGATCGCCGATTGGAAGGGGCGTAAAGTCCTTATCTTCATTGGTGCAGTTGGAGTCTGCATTGCCACCGTGATCACTGCGACAGCGAAGACACTCCCTATCTTCATCGGTGGACGATTCTTGCTCTCCTACTTCGCCACACTGGCTCACATGGGAGCGGTCCTGTATCTCGTGGAGATGGCACCCACCAGATATCGCGGCACACTTGCTGGCTTGTACAACACCTTCTACTACTTTGGCTCCATCCTTGCAACCTCAGCCGTTTATGGAGCACACTTACACTTGTCGCACAGAGGCAATGATGATTGGAGGATCCCACTGTGGTTGCAGATGGTGTGTCCAGGTATCGTAGCCAGTATTGTTCTATTCTTCCCGGAGTCTCCCCGATGGTGAGTGAAACCCTTCCACAATATCTCCCGCCGAAGCTGAACGTGAATTAGGTTGGTCGCGAAGGACAGACACGAGGAAGCCAGAGCGGTCATTGCTAGATACCATGCCAACGATGATGCTGACCACCCCCTCGTAACTTTGGAGATGAAGGAGATGATCACCTCGTTGCAGTATGAGGGCATGACCACCTGGAAGGACTTCTTCAATTATAAATCCTTGGTCAAAACAAGAGGCCGCAGATATCGACTGATGCTGAATGTGACATTTGCCTGGTTTGGCCAGTTCTCAGGAAACAAGTATGAGCTTATGCTACTCTCTTCCCGCCACGATTGTTGAACCAATACTGACCCCTGTAAAGCATCGTATCCTACTACCTACCAACTCTACTTGCCAATGTCGGCATCACAGATACCAACATGAAACTGCTCCTCAACATCATCTACGCCTTGGATGGCTGGATCTTCGCAACGATAGGAACTCGTTTCCACGATGTCATTGGCCGCAGGAAAATGTTCATGATCTCAACCATGGGCATGGCCATCGCATTGTCAATTACAGCAGGTACCGCAGCGGATTTTGTCAACACCGGGAGCAAGACTTCCTCGTCTGCCAGTATCGCATTCATTTACATCTTTGGTGGAATATTCGCATTCGCATTCACATCCATGCAGCCTATTTATCCGACTGAAGTCATGACGAACGACATGCGCGCAAAGGGCGCACAATCGTACAAATTGATTTCTGGTGCCTCTGGCTTCTTGAATACATTCGTTGGTCCGATTGCCCTCCAAAATGTAAGTTGGACACTCCAGACTCCTCTTTGCGCATACAGCATCAGAAAGAAACTCTCTGAGCTCAATTGGTACTCAAACTGACGTTAATAATAGATTGGTTATTGGTTCTATGTCTTCTTCGTGTTCTGGGACATTTTCGAGTTCATTTTCATCTATTTCTTTTACGTGGAGACAAAAGGCGTCTCGCTTGAAGAATTGGAAGTCATCTTTGAATCCAAGAATCCGCGCAAAGCAAGTACCGCCGTCAAGAAAGTGAAACAACGGACATTTGTAAACGCTGAGGGCAATATTGAAACGGAGACAAAGGAGGTGGTGTGAAGCAGGACGAGTCGAAACCGAGGTTGGTCAAAGACGAGGTTTGGAACAATTTACGTGCCTTTGGTTCACTTTGTTCGTATTTGCAGTTGATAGTAAGATTTTGGGAGTGGGATTCAGGCCCTTATTCCCAGAGATGATGTCGGAAGACCCTCCAGAGTTACTGGATCCCGTTACTCATGAGGGGTAGTCCCAAGACCAGGCAATGCATGTGTGTCAATCGAAATTCTCAATGAACAATCCAATTCGTGTCCCTGAGACTCTCGTCATCAACGAGGAATTCACTCCAATCAATGTCATCTCCAAATGTAACTTGATCATCATACCATCCGAAAAAGTTCATATCACCATCAGATAGTGATGGTGTGCGACGAGTTTCTGCATTTGAAAGTGCGTCGAGAATTGCGACAACAATGTGTCTTGATCGATCGGCCGACCTCATCCAAGGTTCCATCTGGTGGAGTAAATCAAGGATCTTCCTCAAGATGTCTTTCGAGGCAGGATTATTAGATTGAACCTGGTCACCGGTCCTTTGTGCAAGGGTGAGCAGCGGGACCATAGCAGCCTGGAATAAGTACCACGAGGCATTCCACACGTGAACCCTGTTACGGGTCCAAGTCTTCGATATTGCCTCAACAGCATCCACGGCTAGGTCATGGCAAGTATTGTGAATCAAAAGCTCTTGGTCTTTGATTTCATGTATTGATCCCCGTGGGTTGAAGCGATGAAGCTGCACTGGCCGGTATAGAATTAAGCGGAGATTTATGTACCGATTGTGCATAAAATCTCGCGCGATCAATAGATGACCAGGACATCTGTTCGGTGACTTGAGGACATCAGGTAAACTGGACTGCCAATTTTGTAGCTCTTTGTCAAAAGCAATCACTTCTCCAAAAGTCATGCGCCCGATCTGGGCAAACCGATCTTGGATACGGTTGGCTAGAAGACAAAACTTCGCACTGGCGTCCAAAGAGATTGCAGCGTTATCCGCACCATTCACAGGAGCTGGTAAGTGAGTGTCCATTGAGTTTGGATCCCATCGTCCAGCTGTAGGCCGACCCATTGTCATAGATGTCCATACGTCAAAGCAAAATAGGCTCCACCAAGTACGACGTCTTGTCTCCGTTTTGGATAGTGTAGACTCGTATGCAACAGAATCTCCACCAGGAGGACTTGTGAAAGGGGGGTTGCTTTTCCTTGCGTCTCGATGCAGGCCCAAAGCGAAAGCCATTCGATAAGCGGCGCCTAAAACAGCTGTTGCCATGTTTGGTGAATTCATGTACTGCAAGTAGCAACCACCCAGGAGGCACAAGGCTTGAACACTTTCTAGATTGCCAGAGCCAAAAGTTTCTAAAGTCAGATGTGTTTGTGCGCGGTGGTAGTATAGCTTGTGCATGGATTCGTGCCCTGCGGCGATAGAGCCCATCGTGCATACCATATTGAACAGCCCTTGCCAGGAGGCTTCCTGTTCACTCGCAGTCTGCCATTTATATTTGAATTCGGCCTCATTGAGCATCGGCGCAACACAGTGGCTGAACTTGAAATATGCATCTATGCACCTCGCGTCGTCCTCATGACTAGGGTTCGTCTGCTTTCCGACTTGTAGATCCAGAGAGGGCGTAGGCCACTCTTGGGCACTTTGGGCGACACGAAATCTGGCGTCCGGACAAAGTCTAAAGATCGTGCGAAGTATGGCACTGATAGAGGCAGCGCCAAGATACGACCTACGATGCTGGTCATATGCAAGCGACACTGCATTGATGTCATCACTTGACAGCATCGATTCGTCTGCGCCAGGCTGTAGTTCATCCCAGCGCCTGTCAAACTCGTCTCCATTTTCGGAGATCTGACCTGAGTCGTCAATATCAGACTCTGGGTCGACAGAACCGTCATTGATTGAGCTTGCTGATAAGAGCCGGAGCAGCTGTTCCCTTGTCTTTCCTCTCAGATCGCTGATATCAGTGGAAGGAAAGAGAGTTGAAAGTACATCTTTGTGTGCCTCAAGTCCAGTGGATACTTCCTGATGCTTATTCACAGATACAGCATGTCGACGAGAACGGTGGCGGTATTCGCAGGCCGGAGCCAGCTTGTTGAAGCGACAATTGGCGCAAGGTTGGCAACCGTCACACTTGATCTTTCGTCTTGTGCACTCATTACACGAGCGATTGACCTTGCGAGGAAATTTGGGCTTCAAGGGATTTCCAACCCTCGTGGCTGGGAGGTTTTCAAAATTAAAAGTATGGAACATATGAAGGACATACTCGGAACTGGTGCATTTCAGGCGGATCTCGAAAGGCCTCAGTATCTTGGGTGGTGTCCAGGAAATGGATGCTTCTAGATTGATGGCCACAACATGTCGGTCTCAGACTTTCCAGTATTGATAGCTGGCTGCAACTTTTGCTTCCGACTGGGATGATGTGTCGTGCCCTCACTCTGTTGAAAGTAGCGCAGGTGTGGAAGGTGTTAACTAACATTGGAACAAGAAGATGGGCACGCTTGGAGTCCCCTCAAAGTCCCCTCCATTTATGGCGCCCTCCTTTTGTTAAGAATCTTTTAAGTCGGTTTAAGCGAGGATGACTATGGAAGGTGCCGGAATTCCGCTTTTAAAGAAGCATTATTTGCAACACCTTGGAATTTATTCCTCCTCCATGGTCTGGTCAAAACTCTCGCCAATCGAAGCAATATACAATTATGGAAGATGAAGCAGATGGCTTCTCAGTCTTCCTCTAAGGCGCAGATCTGTCGATTCCGATGCTCGAACAAGATCAACATTGAAGGTGTTACCTGTCTTGTAAGATTGAGCCAGTCTGGTAAGCTATCCCTATTCCGTCCAGGCGCATCAGACCCAGGTGGCAGCGGCCGACACCCATGATCAATAGAGTGATTACGGCCTCCGCACATCGTGGGAGCATGCCCATGGTCGGATGTACATTAAGGTCGCTATTTACATATGATGCCCTCAATATTTCATGCGGCAGACTCAATCATTGCAGCACGACAGATGATGACGGACTACCAACCGTCACCAGTCAAGTGAGTATTCATTCCGATACCCTGGCAGTTATCCAGCCTCCATTGAACAAGGAATTGGGGTATTATGGACTAGAGAGTGTTGCATTTGAAGGGCGCACAGAGTGCTGAGATCTCGCAACGTCAAGCGAATCCTCTGCTAGAGGAAGTCCTTTAAAGCGTCGTCTAGCGTCCTAGCCTCCCTGAGAGGAACTGCATCGCCCTTTTTAGCCAGACCAACTCTGTTGTGCCAGACCACCTTCATTCCTGCGTCTGTCGCCCCCTCCACATCTCCCGCACTGCCGGCAACGAACAGGATCTCCGAGGCATCGACACCCAGTGCCGGGAAAATAGCCTGATACGCCTGCGTTGCGGGCTTGTAAAACCCGCTCTCCTCTGCCGTGACAATGGCATCAAAAACATTCTCGCCAACTTTACCTGCGGCAATACGGCCCAGATGCTTGGAACAATTCGTTACAACACCAAGTTTATACCCTTGGGCCCGCAACCGCCGTAAGGCGTCTCCAGCCTCTGGCCACGGCTTCATATTCTCCCATTCACGCAACAGATTTTTCGCAACCGAACTGGGAAGCCCGACATCTCGTGCGGAGATTTCCACCAGATCTTCATAAGGAACGTAGGCACCTTGGCCAAAGGTGACTTCCAGATATCGCTTTCGCCAGACTCTGCCTTCTTCTGGGGTTCCTGAAGGGGTGGAGGCATCCCACACTGTCCAGGAATCGAGTAGAGCCGTGAGCAGATCAAATACTATGGCTTTCGGTTGCCAGCCTGGTGTTGTGCTGTTCGTCGGGGTAGATGGAGTCATTGATGCAGAATCTTGGTCCATACCAAGATTGGGAATGTGTCAATTGAAGTCCCTGAGACCTAACCTGCTTCTCCAATGAGCAGAGTAATGAGCTTTTTGTGAAATAGTAAGTACTATGCGACCCGGCTCAAACTCTCTTGGACGGTATATAGATTTTAACAAGGCAGATGACAAACAAGCCCAGCCATCATCGGAGCGACGGCCAACCCATCCAAATACCTTTGAAACCCCTTTATATATCGGACAGTGCCTATTCAATGCCCCTCCGAGAATTACCGCTTTCTTTACAGTGTATGGCCGAAAAGCATTGCGGAAGTCTGCGGGGAACACCAAAGTGACGTTGCATATCGTACGGTTCAGTCGGTCAATAATTTGCCCGACGAATTCAAATCCCCACGTTTTCACAGGCCATCACATCAAGATGACTGGCACTGTCGTAACATCCCGGGACAGAGGTTCGACTTGACGGTATATGAGGCAACCAAACGTTCTCCTGGAACGACGGGAAGGAATAACCTTGTTCCTACCAGTCACTGGTTTTATATACCCCCGAGGTACTCGGCGGTGTGCGGAACGCCCTACGTCGAACGTGTGGCATTAGAGATGAAATGGTAAAGGAAATTACATTGCTGGCAGTTTCTACATTGCTGGCAGTTTCTACATTGCTCGAGGTACTCGGGGGTGAAAGATCCTCACTGCGTCAAGGGATGAACCTCGACTGGCTTTTTACCTCAATAGGTGAGGAGGCACCTGAGACTAACCTGGCCGCCATATGTTGATGACTGACCAGCATAAATCTCGGGCTTCCGTCGAATAGGTGTGGATAGACGGGAAACCCGCATCCCATCTAGCAAACGCTCAGGACCCATCTTTTCATTTGACGGGTCGAGACTAACAGCCCAATGCCACGAGCTGAAAGTCTACCCGAGCACTCTCTTCCTTGTGAATGCATCCGGCACACAAGCTACCTGCGTTCTATTCGTCACAGGGTGAAAGCCTTATCGACACCTTCCCAGTCTAGCATCATGTCTTTTTGAAATGCTTCTTCGTCACCACTTGGGTGATGAGTGCAACCTGCTCCTAGCGACAGCCATGCCTCTGTCTCGGAACCGATAATATCGCCATCAGGTCCCTGGTCACTTTGGTCGCTCGGCACGATCTCAATGGTATGCTGGTTGATATAATACCACGCGCTATCTCCATCTTTGCCGTCATCACCGTCATCACCATCGTCTTTCGTCTGATACCCACCGACGGTTATCCTGTGGCTGTGCAAGAGCTCGACAACCTGCGTGATATGCTCTTTCCAGCTCTGCACCTCGTTGGCATCTACAGCCTCTGCTCTCTCCTGTTTCTGCTTCAGCCAGTCTCCAAGACTGTTTCCAGAAGGTAGCTGGTTGAGGAGTATTCCGACCACTCTCGAACTGTTGTCATCAGCGGCAGTGCTGATGATTTCATCTGAGCCTTCTGGGACATCTGATTCTCCCGCCGGAAAATCATTGCGAACTTCTGTTACCACGACACCTTTGAGCTTTCTTATGTGACTAACTCCAACATTGCTGGGGACCGAGACGTCCTCAGCGGCGGTAAACAAGCGGCAATAAGCATTAATCTCATCCACACTGCCATTCGTCACAATGTTCTCGGGCATAAGCGTGGAATTGCGTTCGCAGCAAACAAAGGTATAGATAGTTCCATCCGGCGCACGGAGTGAAGAGGGCGGGTGCCTCCAATCGTTGTCAGCCCCCAGGACTTCGAGATCCCTCGCGTGGTACACAGGTAATTTGTCTTTGATGCCGTCCAGGTCTGGCAGATCCCGTATCGACTCGGCAGGCAGAGGCCAATGCTCATAAGTCGGCTTTGCAATTGGTCCCTCGCAGATCTTCACCGAGACACCACCACCATCAGTCCCCACGTCTTCTTCAGTAAGGCTCGAGTCCTTCTTGACAACTTCAAGCTTATAACTCGGGGCTTTCAGATACCCCTCCAACATCTTCCATCTCCCACGGTCTTCGCCGCCATCATCCCCACGGACAAGCTTTCGAATGGTTCCAAGACACGCAGAGATGACGAGCGTGCAGAGATCTTCCCACTGTTGAACCCAAGGGGCGACTTTGCCCGTATAAGGCTTCACTTCTGGACTTTTCAGAAGAGGGATCCATCTTTCCGCAAAACGAGTTCCGTCGACAGCACTACCTGTGACGTGAATGTCGAAGCGGGTTCCGGAGCGATAGAAGTGAATCCAGCATTTCTCGCAGCCGGCTTTGTCGTCGTGCGATCCATACCGGACTATATGAGGGACGTCGTCAATCTCGAGGACGGCGGACATCTTTTATGATTCTGCTTCTCAAGGACCGGATATGAGATGACGACGAGCAAACCTACACGAAGCTTGACAACAAACGCAATCAAGTGAAAATAACAGTCAGAGAGAAGAGGCACTTTGAGATAAATTGCGCACTTAAATACAGGGGGTGATCAATGATCAGTGTACAATTACCTCAATCCTTTTTCTCCATTAACCTAACAACAGGGAAAACAAACACTTCCCTGGTACTCTCCATTAACCTAACAACAAGGGAACCACTGACCTGGTATTCTCCATTAACCTAACAACAGGGGTCTAGTTAGGTAGTGACCCAGTTAGGCTGCAATAATATGCGCCCCGTGGTCTTGGGTTGCCTGAAACCCATATCCCACGGGGGCAGTGAAATATCGCCACTATCCGTACCAACCCAATTACAGCGGTTAAACTATGTTCGGGCGCCGCTGCACTGTGTCGTCAGTAGCGTAGTAGTTGTTGCGTGGACCGAGCAGTACCCCTGGGATGTACGTAGTCGATGATCTCCAATTATTTTCTCGCGCTGGAAGGCTGGCTCCTCAAATACTGTCTACGAGCAGGTGTCATACTCTTCTCTTTCTAGTTAGGCGTCGCGGGTCACGGCCAGTGACTTGACCACATCCGAGTAGGTATGTAACTCAACTACCTATGCCAGTTGAGCCGTGATTCGATATGAGTTGTGACGGACGTTACCTAGCAAGCAAGGATGGATCCGTCGCTGAGGAGGACACGCCTTCCCGCGTGCGTGCGTGCGATACGAGAGCTTTCAACGCTGTCATGATGGATGAGTATCAGGCTACTTCCTGGCCTGCCCTGAAGAGAAGAGATGAGATGAGACCAGAACTGCATAAGTGTACAAATATCACGATGTATCCGCCCTCAGCCTGATTGATGCTCGCCTCTTTCTCTCTATATGTATGGATGTATGGATGGGTGAGAAAGGAACAGAATTACCCTGGGCATGTGTAGACCACAAGCAAGCAAGCTTCTACTCCTCTTGCATCCACCCTGGGGGAGAGCTACACGTGTTCCAGTTGAGGCGAGCGTCAGAATAGCAAGGAAGTTGGTTGATGGTGCTTTTGTGTCATTGTTTTGTTGACACTGGTCAGGAATTCTTGACCACCTAACTCCCAAGGGAAGGCATATGGGAGAGACAGAAAGAGAGGTCAGGTGTCCTGCGGGCATCTACAGACTACAGTCGCCTATCGCATGAGTATGCGAGCTCCTGCTGGGTAGATAGACCACAAGCGATACAACTCGACAGGCCGTAAGTGATTCCTCTTGAAATCGTGTTCGGGGACGGGATACAGCCATGATTAAGGTAAATAGAGTTAATTGACGTCTTGTATTTTGATACCGAGAGCTCAAGCTATTATTATTGATTGGGTTGTCTCGTTCAGATCACCAACCGACCAACCATGAATCCATAGGAAGAAAGAGGCCACCCAGCCTTGCTTCCTCTGTGGTCTAATGATACATGCTGACCGCGATAGTCGCTTGAGGTCCCCATCACATTCCATGTCTCACTGTAAAGCAACTTCACGTTGCTGCCAAGGAGTCCTTTCGCGCATCGCCTTCCCATTCAGGACTAGGCGTTTGGAACGTTGGAGAAGGATTCTCACGTGCCAGTGTCACAAACACCACATGCCAGCCCTCTTCGTTAGGCCAAACCCTCTTACAGCATCAGTCATCTCCAAAAGATGGTGTTTTCCGAAAAGCACCGGGAGCGTCCGGAAAAATGGATGTCTCGGGATCCAATTCAATTATTCTTCGGACCTTTCAAGCTTGATATGCTTGGATTGGTGTACCTGACTCAGTTTGCTGACTTGTTGATTCAAGTAGAGCTAAAGACAGGGCGAATAACTTTGGTTTTTGGGCAAGATAGTTGATGCATATTTCGTTCAATCCAGATCCATGCCGCCATGAGCAACACCGTTGGATTGAGGATGCTGCAGTGAACCATTCTCGATAGGTGCCTGTACAGCTTCTGGATGAGGAAATTGAGGCTGGACGCTTTCGGGTCCTGGAGTTCTCTCGGCTCTCAAAATCTCTTCACCTTCAAACGCCATTGGATGAGATTTGAGGTTCTGTAGGCAAGTCTCCCAGGTGCGGCCAACCAGCTTTCCTTCTAGTAAATCTTCACTGAACAGGAAATACCCTTCTTGGCTTCCGACGAGATAAGCGTTGAGTCCTGAACTCTTGAGCAGAATTTGAGCACCGTGAATGTTCCTTGCGTAGTGATTATCCAGATACCGCGCCCAACCTCTGGCAGCAGCTTGAATAGCATCATCTTCAGATTCGATTTTGGTCCAGCCAATTCCCAAAGCGATCGTGGCTTCATCACACTCTGGACGTTCAGTTGCGGTTTTTGGAGGACTGGCGGGTGCAGTACCCGCAAGGGTATCGAAAGGAATGCGGATTGAATGTTGGGAAAGTCGTACGGATTTGCGACTGGTCGGCATCTTAGGACGAAAATTTGCTGCAGCGATTTCTTCTATCAAGGCTGTTTTCTCTGCCTTTTCCTCGTACCAGGTACCGGTCTGGCTCTCTGCCGAGACGGAAACTCCGGTTTTTGGATTTATTAGAACCATTCCTTCTCCATAGATTGGCTCCTCCTCAGGTATGGGAGCGGGCGCATCAGCAGCGGTAAAATAGGAACCGTCTGTTTCAAAGTCGAATGAAGTATCGTCGCGCGACCGTTTTCTGGACGGGTTTGTAGAGATTGGTGTCATGGTATCGACTGGGGTCCATGTGGTGGAATTATGAGCATATGAGGTGGGTGAAGGCTCGTCTTGATCCATGGCTCTTGGAGTGTCGGTCGGGGTTGGAAGTTGAATTTGATCAAATGTGGTAGAGGCCATGATTATCAAATGATGACGCTAATATCGCTTGGTATTACATATGCGACCTAGGTACGCAGGAGGCAGCGCCTTCAGAGACAATAGATCGTGGAGGTACAGCGAGGCAGTGTATGGTATTAAGTAAATAGTATAATGGTGGAGATATTCACTGCTGGAGGGTGGGAGTGGAAGTGGGTGAAGAGGTGGCAGTGATGGATTTTAAAGTCAAGGTGAAGGACGAAGGCGAAGCAAGTGGTACTGAGACAGGAAATGATGGATGAGGAGAGGCAAGAACGAGAGAGGTTGAAGGACTGGGTCGCATTATTGAAGAAAGGGAAGTCTGGGCTCTTGCGGTCTGAGATGTGCATAGGACAAGTAACGGATGTGAGTGAGGTCTGGTTCTGGTCTGGTCTCGCTCGATATGCTGAACGCTGAACGGGTCGCGGCAACCTACAGAATTCGGGGTTGCCTTTTTGGCCTCGCTCAGCTCTGACCCTGCTTCAAGTTTTGCGAGAGGGTTGAAGCACCAGGATAGTCCAGGTACAAGGAAACCACTGACGCTGGATAATTGGACCATAGCCCACAATTCCCTGGGGCACTGACGCATGGCATGCATAAGCAGAGACGGGGCGCCGAGGGCTTGCAAAGAGCGGATACAGTCAACGACAAAGAGCATCAAGCCCAGTGGACCAGAGGCTGTGGGCACGGCAACGATCGAACCACTGGGCGTCCCCGGCGTCGGATGCCAGAGAATTGAGGCAATTGGATCAATGCTCGACAATAATATTTCTAGGCATGCCGTCCAGTGAACGGGCTTCCCTAGAGGATCACTCACAGGGTCTCTCCAAGCTAAACTGTGCTGGGTGGAAAATCACTGCCCTAGCTTCCAAGGGCACAAGCGAAGACCAAAAATGCTTGAATGTGGGGGAGAAAGAGAAAGTCCTCCGACCCGATGGATGGAAGGCGTTTTCTTGGGGACGCCACGCAACTAGTGCAAGCCGCTGGTCGATGGATGATCACGTGCTTGAGGGTGCTTGAATTGGGCGACGAGCAGAGCCCGAGGATAAGACACCAAATACTGTACATGAATACCTTGGACTACAGAACATTGCTCGGTAACCAAATGATATTCACGAATCATTGGATCTTCGGATCCTGTCCTGCAGTGGCACATGCTCATTCATCTATCATACGCTACGCTGGAGGTCGAATCAACAAACTCTATGCCCATCTTTGTTACAAATGTACAGGAAGATTCTATCCGTAAACACCGTGATCCAATCTCTGTTGCTCCTGATCATTGATACTCCTCCACAAAACCCAGCCGGTATGTTCAAGAGAGGGAACACCGGCAAGATCACAGAATATCATACAGCGGGACAGTGTGGGAGCCAACTCTTTCCTCTTCAGGAATGCAAGTCAAACACAATTACGTCGCCTTTTCATCTTGAAACACAACAAGTCCAACGAGACACTTAGGTACTGCTTCCCTTGCCCCGTTCATCGGACAAACCATGATCTAGAACATCGTCTCACGAGCCTAGGCCGGTGGTCAACATGTTCTTCAAATTGCTTGTTTGCTCGGGGGCATAGGTGGGAGCCAGTCCTCCAAGGAGCATGAAGAGAGTCAGGAGTACCAGTCCAAACACCAAGGCTTTCCGCATGGCGGGCCTCTGCACGCCAAATTCGGACCAAGCACGGCCACCTTGGCTGAGGTACTGTTTGAACAGATCAGCTCCAAGCTTGTAGTAGAGCAATCCTCCCAAGGCGACAGCATAGCCAAAGAGTTGCGTCTTGGTGACTGGATTCCCCCAGATGGCCACAGACAATCCGACCAGAAGGATGTCTTTGAGGATGCCACAAAGTGTAAGGACCAGAGACGACGTCTTTCCAATCTGCGATTCGTGTTAGAAGATTCGAAATTGCCATGGTCAGAGCCGAGCTTACCAAGAAAACCACCGAGACGTTCAGCAAGAAGGCAACCATTGCGTTGGCGATCAATAAGAAGATGCCAACATCATAAATATTCTTCATGGTCATGCTGGGAACTTCGAGAACCAGAGCGGTAATACCGTTCATGACAGCGCAAACCGGAGCAAAATAGTAGAGGGAAACCAGTGGGTCCATTTTGTACTCGGCCGAGCTGAGTAGCCTTTGTACCATCACTAGGCGAGTGCCCTCGGTGATGATGGCACCCACTTGATAGAGAACACCTGTGAGAACGAACTCGAGTTCACCATACGAGGCGATGATTACGCCCACGACAATGAATGAGACATTTCCCAATGTCTTGAGGTTGGGAGGCGCAATTCCCATGATCCAAGAGATCAAGAGAACAGCAACGGGCATTGTAGCCTGACCTCCGTCAGCTTTCGGGTCGAGTATCCAGTTCTTCTCCCACACTCACCTTTAGCATCTGAATGAACGACACGCTTAGATAGAGATAGACCTGGTTACCGCAGATCAAACTCAAGCTGAAGAAGAAACCGATAGGAAGGATCGCCCGGATGTAAACTCGGCCAGTCATCTTGACGGTCTTTCGTCCATCGAGCAGGGTGGTGGTTCTTGCGAGTACCTGGGTCATGAAGGTTGCGAAGCCCATGTGCCTTGTATTCTGCGTCAGTAAAGAGCATCCTAATGAGGCTGATGAAGTACATACCATGCTGTCAACGTGATAGGGAAAGCTGAGTTTTTGCGTCAGCATAACGGCATTAGGATCAATTATTTGGGGTGTTCTCACCGAAGCCCAATGTGCTCAGTAGCCATTTGTTAAAGAGAATGACACCTCCACTGAACCCGATCCATGTCCTGTGAAAGTCGTTAGACTGAGCAATCGATTACGCCGGGTCTGGAGATTGACGTACGCGACATAGACGGCGGGGTGTAGAGATGGTGCTGCGGGAGCGGCCTTCTCGAGAGGAGTGTTTGTCGTTGGCAGGATAGAGGCAGGCTCAGCACTTCGCACCTGTTCGCCCGAGAGACGGGCTTTCTTCTCAATGTCGGCCATGGGGAGAGGAGAGGGCTGACTGCGGTTGAGGAATTCTTGAAAGGAGAAGGGTCGAGACGACCTAGAGAAGGTCTTTGGCTGCAGCAGATTGGCGGAGAATCAGGTCAACATGGGAAAATCAGAGAGACTGGGATGGAGCAAGAAATGTCCAGGGCAACGTCGACGGCGCAAAATTCAGAAGTCGCAGGAACGCGAATGTGAAGAAGGGAGATGGCAAAGCTGGTTGCTTGGATACTGGACAGATTGTGTTGGGCATAGTACGGTAGGCGGGATCAGATACTCCGTAATTTAGCAGCACGAAAATGAAAAATGCCCACTTTTCTGGCAAAGAATCATGACGGTCCAAGAATGGTTCGCCGGTTAGGCGATGGTGGGACTTGACTGAAGGGGGCACTACGGGCACTAAACTGAGTCTACGTTGACGGTTTCACCCCTAAAAGGACCTGGAGGGGAGTGCGAGGCTGGTGATCTGGGCGCTGCGTGGCTAAACAACGTCTGATTGTTGGCCGAAGGCCCAACAAGCCCGGATAGTGCCCTTCCATTCACCAATCGTTGGGCTTGGGGACTTTTGCGACCCAGCCGCCCTTAATCCTGTCATCATTCATTCTGCGGACTACTCGTACGAACGGTCTTTGACGGTTTCAGGCTGTAGAGTCCGCCACTGCCAGTGACACCATATGATCAACTTGACTCGACACGCGTCGTCTTCCATGAGAGGAAGAACGATTAAATACCTTGTCTCATTCAAGTTACGCAGGATTCAATCCGTCACTCTGGATTCTCATGACGCTTCATTCCCAGGGACGAAGGGCCAACATGTCCGTACTTGATGCAAGCATCAGTATGCGTACTCGTAGACTGCAGTCGATGGCGACGAGGATTAATTATCCGCGCCACGATTCCCTTTCCCGTCGCCTTTTCTCCATCGCATCTCGCCATGGACTTGATAGACTTGTACCCGGTAGAATAGAGATGTTGTACGAATAGGCTTTGTAGCAGTCCTCGCATCTTTCGATCTCTGGGGTTTCCTTAAAAGCTCTGTACGAGGTGTCATGAACTGCTGGCCCCAGAGAGATGAGACCCCTGCCAAGACTGACCAGGTTATCGGTGACAACCGCTGCGACGGCAGCCATGCAACTTTTTTTTGTAGTCGATGGTCGTATCGAAAAGGACTCCCCACTACCACTCCCGCCACTATTTACCAACATCACCGCTGCCATCACCGCTCAATTGTGTTCGTTGTTCCCAAACTTGAAATTGTTCTCTCCCTGTGCCTCTCTTCGATATCTCTTCAGCCAGCGCAGTAGTGCCAATGCCTGATATGTGGGTTGTATTCCACTCCCCCTAATCGAGCACAACTAACACAATCCATAGTTCAGTTGACGTTCTCGTCATTGGCGCAGGGCCCACGGGTCTGGGTGCTGCCAAAAGACTGAACCAAGTCGTACGGTCAACCAAAAACTTCTCATGCTACTCGAGTACCTAACCGGCCACAGAATACTGCTTCATGGCTGATCGTCGACAACAACGAAATCCCTGGCGGCTTAGCCTCAACAGATGTAACCAAGGAAGGCTTCGTATGTCTCCAAGCCTCGACTTTCTCCAAACCTGCCACTAATCAACAATCTTCAGCTCTACGATGTTGGAGGGCACGTCATTTTCTCCCACTATAAATACTTCGACGACTGCATCGACGAGGCTTTGCCCAACGAGGATGACTGGTATACACATCAGCGCATTTCCTACGTCCGGTACAAGGGCCTCTGGGTTCCCTACCCGTTCCAGAACAACGTCTCCATGCTCCCCAAGGAAGACCAGGTGCTATGTATCGATGGCATCATCGATGCAGCTCTAGAAGCAAGAGTCGCAAACACAAAGCCCAAGAATTTTGACGAATGGATTGTTCGCAACATGGGAGTGGGCCTTGCAGATGTTTTTATGCGACCCTACAACTTCAAAGTCTGGGCGGTTCCCACAACAAAGGTGAGTACAGTTGAGTCCGGACGATGTGCTGCATACTGACCTGGGGGCAGATGGGAGTCGAATGGCAAGGCGAACGTGTTGCTGCCCCCAACGCCAAACTAGTTACGAGAAATGTCATCCTCGGGAAAGTTGCCGGTAACTGGGGTCCTAATGCGACATTCAGATTCCCTGCAAGAGATGGCACAGGTGGCATATGGATCGCTGTAGCCAATACCCTGCCCAAAGAAAAGAAGCGATTCGGAAAGAAAGGCGCGGTCAAGAAAGTCAATGCTGACAAGAAGGAAGTGCTTCTGGAAGACGGCACCACTGTTGGCTACCAGAGGCTCATCAGCACAATGGCTGTAGATTCTCTGGTAGAGGCTATGGAAGATGAGAAGCTCGTCAAGCTCAGCAAAGGTCTCTTCTACAGCAGCACGCATGTCATCGGAGTGGGTGTCCGTGGCTCTCGCCCGGAGCGTATTGGTGACAAGTGCTGGTTATATTTCCCCGAGGACAACTGCCCATTCTATCGAGCGACCATCTTCTCCAACTACTCTCCATACAACCAGCCACAACAAGATGTCAAGTTGCCCACTCTACAGCTGGCTAATGGATCTCGGCGACAAAGCATGCAGGCAAAGGCAGGACCCTACTGGTCAATCATGCTGGAGGTTTCCGAGTCCAGTATGAAACCGGTTAACCACGACACACTGCTGAAAGAATGCATTCAGGGCCTCGTCAATACTGAAATGTTGAAGGAGGACGATGAGATTGTTTCGACATACCACCGCCGATTCGATCATGGATACCCTACCCCATCGCTCGAACGAGAAGGTGTGCTCAAAGAATTACTGCCAGCTCTCCAGGACAAGGGCATCTACAGCAGAGGGCGATTTGGATCATGGCGATACGAAGTCGGGAACCAGGATCACTCATTTATGCTGGGCGTGGAGGCGGCAGACAACATTGTGAATGGAGCGGCAGAACTCACACTCAATTATCCCGACTTTGTGAACAGTCGCCAGAATACGGAGCGACGTCTTGTTGAGGGCGCGCAGCTGTTTGGAAAGAAGGCTAACGACAGCAATGTTGTTGTTGGACGACGAATGACGGGTGGGAAGGCTGAACTCGGAGGCCGTGTGGAAACCAGCAGTGCCAAGAGGGCCTGAGCAGCGGACGAGATCCTGGTGCTTCCTATGATCCTTACCAAATTCCATGTCGACGAGAGCCACGCACTAGACCTAGACTATTACCGGGGATGCTGGTCGAGTCCATTTTAGACAATCGACACACAACTGTATGGGATCGAAGACGCGAAATAGAATCAAGGCCGATATAGAGGCTTATCAGACGCCCAAGGATGGTTGATGATGGTAGAAAGCAAGGAACAATCAGGTAGAAACGCTAGCCGGTTTGCCGGTGGGTGACCGGCTTAGAATAGATGTCATTGACGCCCCTTCAAAAGCGCCCGCGATTTATATGTAGGTACGGACACTTGAAAGAAAATTACCTTTCCCAGGTACGAGGCCGAGTCAACAGCTTGCCCGTGAGCACTGCATGGAAAGCTGATCTCGAACCCCATGGCCGGCTGGCAACCAGCGTGAAAGTCAGGTGCCCCACCTCTACCCAGCCAAACGCGGGGAAATGGACAGTGAAATTTTCCAGGCGGTCAGGTGGTGCACGAAGACAGTCATCAGCTTCGAGAGAGGAAGGTTGATCCAGCCTATTGGTAGCGAGATCAAGACGGGAAGAGGATAAAGGGGCAAAGGAAGTAACCCAGCTGGACAGTGCGGGATCCTAGTTGACATGATAGTTGCATACGACGGACTGAGCAGAATGGGCCACGTGAGGGAGGAAACTTTTTTTCAATTCCAGAATGTCGACAAGTCAAGGAAATTGATTGCGCAATACTTCCGGGGGCCATGGTGATGTGTCGTGATGCGATATGAGGTAAGTAAAATCGCTCATGGATGGAGTTGTTTGAGATATGGAGACAATGTCTTTTGATACTCACGACAACCATCGATCGATTTCGATTACCGGCATGGAAAGGAAGCATCAACTTAGAATGGCAGAGGACCATGGCTCAGCCATGATGATCGGATCGGATCCATCATCACGTCACCAATGATAAAGACTTGTTCCTGAACCTCGCAATGTCCAATAGAACTGCAAGTAATTCCAAGAACTCTGGGGCGGTTCTTACAGGCTCTCCAGGTGGTCGAACCGCCACTAGCCGACACCCAAACCACACCTGTGAGCCCGTAGCGACACGTAAAGAGCCCCTTAGGTTACGCCTAGCTGCGCCCCGTCATCCACTGGTTCAATGGGGGGTTGAGTCGGTGAGGGTCTGAAGGCGCTGACTGCTTGAGTCTGGAGTCTGCAGTCTCGAGTCTCGAGTCCCATGGCCTCACTCTGCATCTGCATGGTTCACCTCAACTCGATGTTCAAGAATTCAGCATCAAAAACAACTCAACCTCCAATTCCGCTGGCTCATGCTTTTCTTCTCTTTTCTTGATTGTAACTTCTTTCTCTTATCCCATCCTCGTCTCTTGTTTCCTTTTCTTCCCTCGTCACAGCTCCATCCCCTGTTTTCCCGTTAACTCGAACTTCTCCAACATTTTGAGGTACGTACCTGACCCTCAGGCTCTTGCTAGTCAGAGAGTAGCTTTCTCCAATCTTTTCACCCTCGTCACCTCCTACTAAACTCGTACCTGCACCACGCTCATCCTTATCGATGATCGTCATCCCATCCCACCGTTCAATGCCCTGCTTCAACCACTTTTTGTACCCTCTCTCTCCATTTCAACTCGCACCTAGTCCTCTGTCTACCCCGATTGCCCTTCATTAACACCACATTCTAGTGTCCGACGTCAAGCATTTATTTGCCCATCATGTCGGCCCAAGTCGCACCCACCATTCCTCCACGCCCAACCCGCTCCGCCCAACAAGCTGCTGCTCAGGGTGTCAGCAAGCTACCCGATATCCCTCCACGACCTATCAACAAGCGTATCGACCGTTCTGTCTCTCCTGCCAACTACCCTCGTTCTCCGCTCAATGAGCCATGGAACACAAACCTCAGCCGCCGGAGAAGTAATGACCAGACAAATGTCGAAGCTTTACCTCGCCCACCAAGCGTTCAGAATCTCCCCTCCCTCGGACAGGAAGGCAATGAATATGGCGACATTCTGTCCATGCAAACCAGCCAACAGCCACCATCTTCCTCTTTGGGTGCGGATGCCGCCGCTCAAACTCGGAATATCGGCCAGGATCTTCATTTGCATGCTCCAAAGCCATCGCTGCCCAAATCCAGCGCCACTGCTCAAGTTCAAGCTGTGACCAGAACTGATTCCCAACAAGCGGCCTACCATGGCCTCGGCAAGCCTCCCACACCAGCCCAAGAGGAAGGCGACTCTCTCCATACAGTGAGAACCAGAAATAGCTTTTCCAGACCCGGTTCCACCGTCGAAGGTGGCGGCCGCCGTTCTTCTGTTTATGGCGGAGAAGAAACCGGTCCTGCTGAGATTGGTCTTCGAGTACCCATCAATCCCCTACTCGGAGATGTCCAAGCTCCTTCTCCAGCTCCTCACAGCCCGCACAATACCGGAGGCAATGGAGAAAAGAGAAGACCTCACCATTCCAGAACAAAAAGTGGTCGCGAGATCTTTGCCCCACCTGGCAGCTATGGGCTCCACGGTCACGGTCTCCCTCCACAGGACAAGTTCGAAAAGGACTGGTATGCCAAACACCCCGACGTGGCCCAACATGAGGAAACACACGGTCATGGCGTGTATGAGAGCATCGGCAGTGGACGCGGTAGCTTCGCTTTGAGCAGTGATGACTTGAACAAGATCGTCCGTAACACCGCGAGCCGTGGTGCTGGATTCGGTGAGTTTGGTACGAAACATGCAATACTTTGATAACTGACAATATTAGGTACTTCCGGCAACACTTTCTCCTACCCGGATGAACAGATTGGATATACAGCCTCCGAATTCTATACTACACGATCGCAGCAGAACACCCCAAATAGTCTTGCAAAGACTATCACAAACACATCCCAGCCCGCAGCTGAGTCGCCATTGAGAAAATCTAGTTTCCCTGCTGATGAGACTGCACCAGCTGAGATTCGTCGTGGTTCCAGACTCTCTGTTTCCGGCAGATCGGATGATGCAGTTGAGAGCGAAGCTGAACAGGAAGTTCACATTGAGCCTCAACGACGATATAATAAAATCACCGGTGGTGAAGAGACTATGAATGAGACGCAACAAACTCGACCTCATGCCCTTCATCGCACCAGTGAAGGCGACTATATCGAAGAGCATGGCTATACTGTCCCAATTCTTGCCGAAGATGAAGTTGCCAAAGCTGTTGGGATCGAACACCTTCAGCCAGCAGTGTCTCCCAAAGCAGAACGCCACGAGGGCTATCGTAGTGGTGATGCCACTCCCGGCTCCCGCCCATCCAGCAGACCGACGAGTGTGTATGGACTATCCGGAGCTTCGTCCTCTTTGCAACGCTTTATCTCGCACCATGATGATCAACATACTCCTCTGGAAGACGTGGAAGAATACGAACCACTCTTTCCAGATGACGATGGCAAAAAGGCTATCAGCCATGCCGAAAGATTCAAGCAGAGACCGAACAGCCTGAAACAACGTTTCCCCAGTCAAGACATCTGGGAGGACACTCCAAGCAGTGTGATGTACTCTGCAGAAGTCTCAACACCAGATCTGCCTGCCCAGCTCGACGGCCAGGAGCCATCCAAGACATTCGAGCTACCTGAGCAGGAAGGTGCACGAAAGGGTGAACCGTCTGAGGCCGAGCGCCAGAAGCTTATTCCGAATGAAGAGAGACTCGCCAAATCTCGCTTCGCTCCCCATCTTCGAGATGACATGCCTACGCGACCAGGACAACTACCTAGATTCCCAAGTTCGGACATCTGGGAAGACAGCCCAGACAGCCACCATCTAGTTGCCACTGTTAACAGTCTCCCTGTCGATGATGAGCCAGAGAGCCCTGCAGATGCTGTTTCCAAGCCCATGATTCCTCCCCGACCAGCCAGGAGTCGTCTTGGAGAAGAAGCTTCCTCGGCTCAGGTTGCCCCAAGTATACCTGCCAGACCTTCAAAGCAGGCTCATGCTGTACCTTCGGTTAGAGTACCTACCACTGACGCAAGTGGTCAGAAAGCTCCCTCTCCAACAGAATTGAGAAAAGTTCCCAGTATTCCTGATAGGCCGAAGCCTCAAATTCCATCAAGGCCAGCTAAAAAGTTGTCTGGAGACTCCCTTACAAAGTCAATTTCAGGCGAATCTGCCGGTCCTGCTGAGCAAGAGAAGGTTTCACCTCCAATCCCGAAAGTCAAACCACAGGTTCCTGCCCGACCAGGCGCTGGCAGCAAAATCGCAAATCTACGAGGCAACTTTATGAACGATTTAAATCAGAAACTCGGACTTGGACCACCAAAAGAGAAGGAGAAAGAGCCAGAACAGGCGCCAGAAGAAGTGAAACCATTGGAAGATGCTCGCAAAGGCAGGGCTAGAGGTCCTCAAAGAAGAGCCCCGGCTAAATCGCCAGCAGCATCAGGTCCTCCCACCCTCAATTTCTCCATGTTCAAACCTCATGCTTTATGGACGATTGATGACACAGATGAAGTGAACATTATCTCGCAGGCTGCTAAGAAGGCTGAGGAGCCCTCAAATCTGGGAGCCGCACCACTCTCAAGTACGCTTTCGAATGAGAAAGCCGAACAAATCGAGAACTCGACTGTGGCTGATGCACCCCTTCCACCTACGATAGATACAACGGATCACGCTCCAGTACCAAAAGAAGAAACTGAAAAGGATGCACCTTCCCAAGAGTCGCGAACAGAATTTGCTTCTGAAATTGCGAAGCATACTGAAGGTGATTTGGCCGAGCCTACTCTGGGTACTCCAACGCAAGAGATTGCGAATCCATTGAGTCACACTGTATCTGATGAGGATTTTGGACTGTCAAAAGAAACCACCGCCAGTAGTGATGAAGCCTCCGGTCCACCACTTGAAAGAGAAGATCCAGACCCAAATACCGACGCCATTCCAGTGAGCAAACAAACTACTGCAAGCACCGATGCAGGGACTGTCCCCCTCGAACAGACTCTGACTCGTGAACCTTCGGCGTTGGAAGAGCCTCGTACTAACACCCTTACGGAAGGTGAGCCCGGCAAGGCAAGTGCCGAACAGGTATAAGGAGGCCAAGTAAGGTTGGATTTTAAAAGTTTGGCTGGATGGTTATAAGGAGCTGTGTTTTGATTCTGAGTATATCTGTCCCCAAGACCCGATACATGTGAGATTTACATTTTGAGACGAGCGCCGTCAAGCCGTCCGAATCAAAAAGACAGACAACCAATTGCAAGATTCTGTTTGATTAGATACAATCAGCTTTAAGTCCTTTTCACTGCTCTTTGTGAGGTATCAAGGCGATAAACACTACCTTCGTAGCTGCATCGAGACCTACTTATGTGGGAAACTAGAACTTGGGTAGGTGTCTGTCTAATCCGCTCGAAACCGATTCAATCGGAAACCTCCTAAGCTACCTAGGTACATACATAGTCGCGAAGTTTAAATTTTCAACGACGGATTCCCTGGAGCCCGCTTATGTGTGTATGTATGTATGTATATTCCGTGCGGCTTATGGATGTTCTTGTTCTTGTTCTTGTTGTTGATTGATTGATTATTGTTCGTTCGGTTTGATTCTAGATTGTTACTCAATTATATCCCTCGTTCGTTTTGAATCAAATATCTCGCTAGGTAGGTATGTAGGTAGGTAGGGAGGTTGGTAGGGAAATAGAGAGGGAAGGAAAATAGTCTCGCTCGAACGACCTGAGATACCTACCTAGGTAAGTAGTGAGCATTGCTACGAGACGTGGATGGAAGGAGGACAACGGAATTCGGCTGCTTAGGTACTTGCTTGTGTATAAGTGACTAAAGTGCCTTCGGTACACAGACTTATGTGTGTGTGTGTGTGTGTGCAACGGGCGACTAGTTAGTTACGTACGGGCCGGGCGTGTAGGAAGACAAACATCACATCACGCCATGAATATAATAATGCGCTTAGGCACTTCTGAGCATTCGACTAGGACTGGTGAGGCCGGGGTGCCATACCTACCTACATACGTGTGAAGTAGCGGTGAAAAGCTGCATAGGCTAGACTAGATACTACGTCCATGTCTCCTGCATCACATCACATCATATCATATCACCCAAACATATCGACATCGTCGTCGAAATCCGCGGCCTTGGGACGTGCACGACCGCGGCTCGTAGGCTGCGCTGGATGCTGCTGCTGACCTGAGGATGTTGATTTGGAGGCAGAGGTAGAGGTAGAGGCGAGAGGGTTTTGAGCTTCCGCAACCTTTGCTGGCGGATCTGGTTCTGTGGGCTTCAGTGGTGGCGGAGGGGGAGGAGGAACGACCGCCGCCGCCGCCGATGCCGAATCCTCGTTCGCATCCATTTCTTCATCGCTAGAGTCGACCATAGGCACGCCGTCGATGTCAGCGTCCGTGATGTCGCCTTCGTCTTCGTCGTCGTCGTCCAGAGGCATCGGATCGCCGTCGATATCACGTCCGTCGCCTTCAACGTCGCGCATCACGACCTCACTACCGCCACCAGGCCGGAATGAAGCAGACTGTGCAGCAGCCTCGTCCTCATCCACGCTCCGCCACCGATTGACACTGGGATTTTGGTTTCCAGCACCCTTCTCTCGTGCGGCTTCTTCACGAAGAGCGTTCGCTTCCGCCTCTTTCTTCTCCTGCTGCACTTTCTCCGCCTCTGTCAATGGTGGATGCAAGAATTGGTCGACAAACGCATCGTGTGTCGCGGATGGAAACACGCACCAACCCTCCCATAGGCTGAGGACGCTCTGGACGCTGCGGTGCCATTTGTCTGCCTTGAGCTTGCCCCAGCTGTAAGTTCGCTCTGCGCGGCCGAGGATCGCAAACACTTTTTGTTGGCGGAGTTGAGTCTCGAATAGAGAACGGTAACGCCATGCGTGTCGGACGCCCGAGGATGCGCTGCACGAGAGGATATCGCTAATCAAATACAGACCGACGAGAGAGGTGGCAGTGGTGTCTTGTTGTTGGCTGGCTTCGGTTACACTTTCGTCCTGGTTGGGCTTGCTTTTCTGGTCAAAGCCTCGGCGCTCATCTTCGTCCGAGGAAGTGTTCTGACTGTCCTTGGCCTTCTTTACGTTCAAGCAAAATGGCTTGATCACATTTCTTGTGATCAACGCGGCGACTTCGTCTGCTCCTGCTCCTGCATGTTCGATGGCGAAACCTGTAATTCTGGCCACGTCACCTTTTCGCAGCTTTGAGTTTGTTTCCGGCAGACGGCTCAGGAGATGCACCAGTTTGGTTTTACCCAGTGGATTGAGGTACCCTATTCCATCATTATCAGGATTGATGTCCGTGGAGGGTGCATTGATTTTCTGATGGTCCTGATATCTTCGTGCGAGACCACCACCATCATCCATTTCTTCTTCGTCCGATGAGTTGTAATCGTCATCACTAATCAAGTCTTCCAATCGCGTTGTATATTCGAATTTGAGTGAAACCTCAGGTGGAACCCAGATACTCTGCCCTTCAAACATCACGTCACCACGAGGTTGTGAAGCATAGCCTCCTGCGGGTTGCCGTCGAATTCGAGCGCCGGCATTTGTGAGAATGTCCCATAACCTCCATCGGTAGTAAACACCACCTGTAGATCGCGAATTCCACAGCCAGGCCCATTGTTCGTCACGTTGGATCTGAGGCCGTGACATCAGAAGAGCCTCAAATTCAGGACCATAAGTCAGCAAGGCTTCGACAGTCTTGTGAATTAACTTCAATTGTTTGAGATCGCTTGGCGCTTGTACCGTAACTTGAGTAGGAGGTCCGTTCGAGCGAGGTCCATAAGGAGTAGATGAAGTATATGAAGCTGGAGGGGCGAAGCGAGCTGGACCTTGCCCTGGCGGAGGTGCTCGAGAGAGAGAAGTATGTTGCACAATCGGTCTGGCTCCGAATGGCAAATTATTCAGCCCCGTGCCTGGGGTGTTGCTACTTAGAGAATTACCCCCGGTCAGTGCTGCTGAAGATAGATGGCGGGATATGGACAGATTGAAACCAAATCCGAGATATTTGTTCTGCAGATGCGAAACCATCGTCTCAATATCTGTGGCTGGGGTTTCTGCGGCGAGCGTGACAATGGCAGAGATGGACTTCCGCTCGCTCGGTTGTACTGAAGTACTCGGCAGGATCCGTACATTTTCCACATTCAAAGGAGACGGTATGAATAGTCCCTTTATTGTTGAAGGAGATGTGCCAGGCGGAAGAGAAGAGAGGTGTAGGGTTGGTTTCGCAGCCGCTTTGAGTTCATCTGCATCTCTTGACTCATCTTCCTGGCGAGAAAAGGCTGCTGTATCTCGGCTGCGATCCCGATCCCTGTTGTCGCCATATGAAAACATCCCCTTGTGTTCATCGTCTCGATCACGAGCACGATCTCGTCCCCCACCATAGTCATCGTAATGCCTCTTCTTTCCAAAAGACGGGTTCGGTCCGAGACTGCCAGGCCCACTCTTCGGTGCGGCAGGAGATGGTCCCAGACTCCCAGGGCCACTCTTCAGGCTCGAACTCGTGAAGTGTCGTTTTCCCGGCGCTGAACCAAAGGCGATGCCTGTTGGAGGACCGAACACTGCACCTGGACGTTTAGCGGGTATCTGGGGCGAGTCATCTTCGTCATCGAAACTCTTGACAAAGGACTCAAGGACTGCAGCAGTTTCAGCTTTCTCTCGCGCCTTTTTGGCCTCTGCTTCAGCTTTCTGGCGTTCGAACACGGACTTTTTTGCGGAAGCCGCGAGTTTAGGCGATGGGTCGTGATTGGGATTCGCCATTGTTGGGGGATCTCGTCACGTGAGGATGGTGGTTTACGGTACCCATACTATCGTTCGAAGGTATTCGAGGTCATGTTCTCGAGAGCTTTCGCTTCGATGACCAGAATCACTGCTCGTGGTACGTTGCATGTGGAACTGGCTGATTGCGCCAGCAAAAACGCAGGAGATAGATGAAGTGGTCCGAGGTTTTGCCGACATCTTAGCACGTGTTGCTGTCTCTCCTGCCGAAGATAAGATAAGATCGTAGCCACCAAAGTGCTCTCTACTCAGCGTTTATATAACCCGTACTCCATACTGCAATATGGCACCCTCGGTTTTCAAACTATTGGCAAGCTTACAGTACGTCTGTTTATTTTCGTCCTAATGATGTTCGCCAATACTAAAGTCTAGGCTCTGGTCTTGCACGAGGTATGGGAGGACTTTTCGTGTTAGGATTTATTCGTCCGACGCTTCTACTCGCTGATGCATGCAGCGTGGCCTGAGGTCGACGGCGCTGACGCACGTATACTACTCAACTGCAGGTCAGTGTTGCGAGGCTGAACGTACCCCGTACCGCGTACTTCGTTTTCGGGTAACTTCTGGAACTCAGGCAAGTCATGAAGAAGCCTAGCTCAAGGGGTTGATGGGAGTTGCCGAATACCGAGCACTTCGTGGTGTACAGTGCCCACGTCTACGGCCGTTGCTTCCGTTAAGCTCCTGGAGGATCCCCATGCCTCCGCATAACTGAAAATTGTGGTCTGGAGAAGGCGGCCGGAGAGCCCACCGGTGGTCTTAAATTAAGCCCGATATTCTGACACTCTCGAAGATCGTCCAATGATGATAGGAATAATAACCGTGAGATTGCCGACTATCCCAATTTCGCTTTCCACCGGCTTTAAACACACGGCTATCGTCGTGCAATAATCGCTGATGGGGACGAGAAATACAAACCTCGTGGCTCGTGGCGCCCTCTGACGACTCCTCTTCGACTCTCACGTAGGTACTCTAAATTTAATGCCTCTGGATTTTGTATTACTGCCTGGGAGTTTGTTTCGTCTTATTCTTTCCAGCTAAAGTTATTCATTATCCACGACTCATCCAGCTTGCCGATCATTATCCCATAGAGGCAAATTTTACTACACTTCCACATTGATAGCTGTCTAGGGATATCTCGGCGCTTTCCCGGGGATTCTGTATAGCTTTTTTTCTCCGATACCAATCATCTCGAGTTAAGCACAGCTCTACTCAATTTTCTTCTCAAAAATGGGCCACCCTCAGTCAAAATCAAAATCAAAACCCTCAACCATGGGCAAGGTTTCAAAGAAATCAATCAACAAAGACCGTCCTCAACCTCAGCATTGCTTTATCACGTGGACGGACTGGAGAGCATTCCAACCAGAACAAAAACAGGCCGAAGGAAAGCGAGAAGATGCCAGATCTTCTTCTTGTAGTCAAATCGAAGGTTGGCACCCCGAAGCCTTTGCAAACCGCTACAGAAGATCTTCCTACCCAAGACCGCTACCACGGTCAACCACCAACATCAACCTTTTGAAGAGCCAAAGGACGAACTCCTGGGAGATGGATTTTTTGAGTTCATTGCTATCGACCGAAATGCCACCCCTAATCGCGGAAGAAAATGAATCGAACGAGTACGATGTCAGCATTACACCTTCCAGCTTTGTGCACGAACTCGACCTACCTGACGGGCTAAATGACTATTTCAGTTCCGATGACAGTCCGACATCATACGCCTCGACTCAGGATGACGAATTCAACCACACGGTGGAATCCCCACCAGAGTTCAATTTCGAGAGATGTTTAGCCGAAGTGGAGCAAATTGCCTGTGAGTCTATTCGAGATCTGTCGAATATGTTCGACCCTCTGGAGAAATTCGAGGGGAATATCAAAACTGAATGAGACGAAACGACTTTCACCGGGTATGATGTATTGAAAAGGGTAGAGCTGGATGGGAAGGCTACTTTCCGTGACTTGGCAAGTCAGATTTGGTTGGGGTTAAAAAGGAACCGGCGTTACGATGGGGCTTATGGAAAAGTCATGGCCATTGTATAGTCAGAGGTCAAGCGGTCCAGGCCCGGTTTTGGAGCCTGAATGGGTTTAATCAGCTCCGGGCCGGAGTTTCTGCCTGAGTTGTATGGATGATATGACGTCGAAAAGCCTTTTAGGGCTATGTCACTGAAGAGGATCATTTGACTGGTCGATACGTATCGCTGGGCATCTACTTGAAGATCGATTTCTGGAATCGCCGATGAGCAAATCGGAAGGGGAAATGAATGCAACCACGAACGTGTCCAGTCACACTACTGGTAATGCTATATTCGCGAGGGAGATCTTCCGAGAGTGAAACCAGAAGCAGAAATGTTTGCCTAGCATGGTATGTCCAAGTTGAGTACCAATGGGAATCAGCAATGACCCAAGCAAAATATCCAATGATAACCATTTACTATCCAAAAATTGAACTCCTTTATCCTTGTGTGTGACTTTCTATTGACCAGCAACATAGATATCCACGTAAACTATCGATCGCGTCAAGGCGATACAGAACCGCTCAGAGGTTTATGTTGTACCCTGGCATTAAACAAAGGCTGGTGTGGTGCCTGGTGGTTGAGGGCAGATATGCCAGACTGACCCCTCATTCTCCGACAACAATGCTCCGGAGACTCGGCGGGCCTGTCGGGATCACCGCATCAGTCTGCTAAATAATGCCATCATGACCTGTCAAATGCAGGCGTCGTGCATATGCATGTATCAACACTGCCGGTTCGTGGCAGTCTATATGATTGGAGCCGATAGCATGTCCCTAGGCAGCCGTCTCTAACGTGCGATCTGCGTGTGGTGCATCGCCTGGTCATCGCTCCTTATCCCACCTGCAGCAAGCTTCGATAGAGACTTAAATCTCGAGGATAGCAGCAGCACCAGCGGCCTTATTTAAAACCCCCTTTCAAAGAAATCTATCTCAATCACGGACAGGGGACCACGAAGCTTAACCAGAAGCGAATCGCCTGAAGGTAACTCATATAAACCAGGAGATCTTCACAGGTCCCCACAAGTACTTAACATCAATATCTATTCGAACACCAGACATGTCAGCAGAATCCATTGTTCGAAAAGACGGGTCATCCTCTTCCCGAATTTATGAGGCAACGCTCAAATCTGTACCTGCGGCAGTGTCGACACTATTAAAGGAATACAGCAACATTCAAGTCGGCGCTCAAAGAGCACACATCATAAGAATCCGGGATCAAGCTTACGAGAAATATCCATATCCCTGTCTGGGCCGGTGGCGTTTTCTCGACCTAGATTTGAGTAGTCACCCACTTTACAATACTGAAATCCTTCCAGCACTCACCCCTAAGGAGCACAAGCAGGAAGACTCAGCAAGAGCAGATGCCGACTGGCTATTTCTCGACCTTGGCTGTTGTCTCGGACAGGACGTCCGCAAGTTGATATTTGACGGAGCCAATCCTTCACGGTTGCGCGGAGCGGATCTGAGGCCGGAATTCATTGAGATTGGATATTCTTTGTTCGGCGACAAAGCTACATTTCCACCATCTCATTTCATTGCCCCAGCGGACGTTTTCGACTTCTCACCCTCAAGTTCACTCGCGCAGTTGGATGGAAAAGTGGGCATCTTGCACGCGTGCGCCGTGTTCCATCTGTTCGACTTAGACGAGCAAAAGACATTTGCACAGCGGGTGTTGAGACTTCTCAACCCTCAACGAAAGACGGTGCTGCTGGTCGGTGGCCAGGCTGCCAATATCAACGCTGGGGAGTGGGGTGAAGATCGGCGGAGGTACAGACACAACGAAGACAGTTGGCGACGGTTCTGGGAAGAAGCCGTCTCGGAAAAGGAATGGATCGACAAGGTTCAAGGAGTTGATGTCGAGAGTCTCTTGGAGGCAAGAACTTTTGGCACAGGTGGTAAGACGAGTGATTCGAACACGACACAGAGGCAGATAGGGGCGTTTGATGAAGGGTTCAGATGGATGAAATGGTCGGTCTGGATTACTTTTAGGTGACAAGTATCTCTTCGTGGTCGAAGAGGAAAAAAGCATGGCCCTTCCAGAATAATGCAGAATTGCGATATACCTCGACTGAGGGTGCACCTTGAAGGGGTTACGTGCATCGCGGAGCTTTTGGTCGCTCAGCTATTCTAATTGAAGCAAAGTCATGAGCATCTTAAGCTAGCGATAGATGTCTGTTCAGATTCCCCGATTTCTAGAACGAGTACCTACCCCTGTTCACGTGGAACTACTGCACAATTGCCGGAGGTAATGCAGGTTAAATGGAAACCTACCAATACAAGGATGCGCTGTCATTCATGTGAATAGGGTCCGATGAGTGACAATCTAACACACTGGAGATTGGCGAACGAATGACCTGCTGTTACTGACTCACCACTGGGAGCCTATGACCCTCTGGTGCGCGTTTGCGAGGCAGTCGCGTCTGGCCTGTCACTTCGGTTATGTGAAGACAGTGGAGTGAAGTCCCACATTGAGAGCAGTCTATATTATCGCATGATCCACTTGTCAGTGCTCTCAACGAGTATCATCTCCCCTCCTCATCGAGAAACCTAGCTGACGAAAACTCAATCGACGACAAAATGTCCGACTCGGCTTCCCCCAGCGATAATGCCTCGACCTCAGCCACATCAACATCACCTTTAGCAGGAGTATTATGGGTCACCACGAGCGTCATGAACCCGAAGGTTACGGCTGCGCTCCTGGACGCCTGGTACGATGAACACAAGACAGATGTCCTTGGATGCCCAGGCAATGGCCGTCTCTTCCTCCGATATAAAAATATTGACAAATCCGTCGATGATTTTGCCGACCCCAAATTCGCCGATCGCTTCACACCGACTGCTTCGATCCAGAACATTGCAAATGCCGGATGGCCTTACCTTGCATTCGTCAAATTGAGCGACTTGCAGTGGCTGGTGAGCCAACAATTCATTGATATGCCGAGAGTTAGCAAGTTGCTTCCATTGGAGGCGCATGGATCGATTGGCAGCGCTTTCAGTAATTGGCACGCCGGCTTGCGTAGCTACGAGACGATTGCCAGACTCGGTGGCAGCAGTGAATCCACAGAACGACCACAGTACATTGTGAGCATTCAGACCGAGCAAGGAGACACATCAACCCTGGAAGCTCTCGACAAGAAATTTGTGAACTTGCCCGGATTCCGAGGATCTTTGAAGTATCGCAACGTCAATGGCCTGCTTGAATATCAGGAACCGGGTCCACTTCCTGAAGGCCTCGTCCTTTACGAATTTGACGAGCAGCCACCAGCAGAGACTTTGGAAAATGAACAGATCAGAACGGATGTTTGGGAATTGACGATCGAATGGGGCGATCTGAGCCTTGTTTTGTGAGGTGGGTGATGGACGGACAAAGCTTTCTCCAAGTTATATGGGACGGTGACGAATTACTGATGATTTTGGTGGTTGTTCAACAAGTGTCAACCTCACCTTCCTGCATTACGCGTCGCTTTGATGGCCTTCTGACTCGTCTAGAAGTCAACGCCTTCCGGCTTTGAGACGAGCTAGCACCGTGGAGGGAAATGGAGATGAGAACAAGTCGCGAGCGCGGTCCATTGAAGTAGCGCATTCATGAGCATTCATGAGCTTTCATACTGGCTGTCAGAAACCCGAATTCTAAGCAACTTCGAGACAATAGCTTGAATGTGGTCATTAGATCCGCCATCAACAACGCCGTTGCTGCTGAGACACGATGCTGTGAAAAGGCAGTGCAAGCCTGTAGATAGTCAATCGATTACAGCGATAACGATACAGAAGTCTTTGCCACTTTGAAGTAATTTCAAGCGATCAGTCGACTTGGTGGCCTTCAGATAGTCGGTCCCAACAAGGAACCTTGACCCAACCATGGCCGGATTCACCCGCTAAGAAGGAGACCCCAGAATGCCAAATCGCCATGGAATTTTAGACTCTTGTCCTGCCGAGAGCCTCGCATCCTTTTCCCGCTCTAAAGCATGAGTTCCATCGAAGATCAGAATTGGAAGAGCGTGTACTTGGGAATTCTGATTCACGTGGTCGGACAAGAACGCCAAGAACGCCAATGCCAAGTGAAATCTAAACCTTCGAATTTCCAGCGACTCGAGCTTGAAGGTCGTATTCTCTCCTCTTTCAAGTCGCATCCCAACCTCTTGGAAGTTGGAACTGCTCCGTACCAAGATAGCCGTATCTATGGTCTCTCAACGTTCTGATGAACGGGTGGGCCTCTCGCTTGTACCACACCTGTTTCTGGGCAGCTGATTCTTGTCATCTAATGCCGATGATTATCTGCCTTGCTGATTACGAGTCTCGAAGGGTTGTTTACGACCACCCAGGCTCCCTCGGACCGGACCAATTATAGTTATATCACCACTTCATTCCTGGCTTTGGAAGTAAACACTTCGATGCAATATTGCCTCGCCCATCTGTTCAGCGGAGAAACCGTGCCGACAAGGCTGACCATCATTCGGTGATCGGCTCATCAAAAGTGGAGCGAGCTCTCCAACTGCAACCATCCCTCTACTTGACTTTACGTCATATATCCGTCTTGTCCATGCCGGGTCTCTTCGCACTTGCTTCGTACCGTCGTTCAGACTGGCATCACAAGCATCAAATCCCCTCTTATCACAACTCAAAGTCTACTCTAATCGACCGATATGACGATCACGTACATTCAACTGATCTAGTCCTTGGCTCTGGCTTGGCCGGTCCAATTTTCATTACGCCGAGTGCTTTGTATTCTTGTCCGCCAAGGCTTGGGGTTCCCCCTTTGCTTGGCTTATCCAGTGTTGCCGCCGACTGAGCCGTGCATGTGTCGCGTCCTCTGGTACGCAGCCTGAGTTCTCGTTTTTGGGTGTAGAAGATGGCCTTCAAATTCCGGCTGTCGAGTCTCGAATAAAGAAAATGGAGATCTTGTAGCGGGAAAGCTCAACTGTGCGGTCACTGGTGTTGATCGCGATGCTTTATTGGTTTACGGCTGGGCAACCGGAACTCAGAATAAATCGATATTGTCTGTTAGGGTCACTGTTGAACTTTCGTATGTCTTGGCTTTTTCTGGGTCCCAAGACATTGCCAAACCTCAGGATGCATGAGAGTGGTCTCGACCCTGCCTTGTCACTGGCCGATAGGCGTTTTTGCCTGTCCCCAGACTTGCCTTTCGATGACGGCAGACATGATGAATCCTAATCAAAAGATCCATATAATGGCGGTTCCTGCCTTGGCTGGGCATATTCTGTAGGTAGTTTGTTTGAGATCTCGATCATATTTCTCTACCCATTTCAGAGGCATTGGATCGATGATAATCCGGAGCAGCCTGCATTGAAAGAGTCTGACCGTGGTACTATGCAAACATGGGGAACAAGAAGACAGAAGAGCTCCTAGCAAGCCATGTCTCCGGACAGGCCAACAAGGCCATGTCGAAGCCGGCCCATTCGTTGACTTTCAAGGAGGTCCTCGAAGAATTGGGCGCCAGCGGTATTGATGGCCTCTCTCCCGATCAAGCTGAAAAGCGGTTGGAAGAGTACGGTAAAAATGAACTCGATAATGGTCCTGGTGTCAATCCCACCAAGATTCTCGTACGGCAAATTGCCAATGCCATGATGCTGGTATGTATATGCTAATCCCAGTCGAGGAGGAAGTAGTTACTGACCTTTGAAGGTGTTGCTGCTCGCTATGGGTGTGTCTTTCGGAATTGGCAGCTATATTGAGGGTGGTGTCGTAGCTGGCATCATTGGTCTCAACATTGTCATTGGTTTCATGCAGGAATACTCTGCAGAGAAGACAATGGACTCGCTTCGGTCCTTGTCCTCGCCCACCTCCAGCGTCATCAGGCATGGAGAGTCCATGGTTATCCCAACAATTCATGTTGTGCCAGGTGATATGGTTGAATTGAAGACTGGTGGTAAGTTCAAACCTCAAAATTCTCAGTCGCGCGACACTAAAGTTCCACACAGATACTGTTCCAGCAGATATTAGGTATAGTCTCTAGGCACGAATTAGCTAAGACTCAACTAATAAAAATCTAGGCTTATGGAAGTTATGAACTTCGAGACAGATGAGGCGTTACTTACAGGAGAGTCCCTACCGGTTCAAAAGGACGCCGATGAGGTGTTTGATGAAAACATTGGACCCGGTGATCGTCTTAATGTTGCCTATTCATCTAGCAACGTGACAAAGGGGAGAGCTCGAGGTGTTGTTTTTGCAACAGGTGAGGAAAGCGCGACCACATTCACTCACATACTAATAAACAATTCTCCAGGCATGTACACGGAAATCGGTAGCATTGCAGCTGCACTTCGAAAATCAAACTCGAAAGTTCGAGAACCCAAGAAAACTCCTGACGGCAAAGTCAAACCTCATCGACAGGCTCAGGCATGGGGTCTTACTGCTGGCGACTTTATCGGGGCCTTTCTGGGTGTCAATGTCGGTACTCCACTTCAACGAAAACTCTCACAGCTTGCCATCGGTCTTTTCGGTATCGCTGTGGTGTTTGCCATTATTGTGCTGGCAGCAAACAACTTCTCGAACAACAGAGAAGTCATCATCTATGCAGTGGCTACTGGTTTATCTATGATCCCTGCATCTCTCATTGTCGTCTTGACCATCACAATGGCTGCTGGCACAAAACGCATGGTCGAGCGTAACGTCATCGTTCGAAAGTTGAATGCCCTGGAGGCTCTTGGTGCCGTCACGGATATCTGCTCCGACAAGACTGGTACATTGACCCAGGGACGAATGGTGGTCAAGAAGGCCTGGATTCCGGCAAGGGGTACCTATTCGGTCGGGGAGAGCAACGACCCTTTCGACCCTACCTCGGCAGCACTATATCACAGTAAGGCTCCCCCGAGCAGTGATGATTCCTCCAGCGAATACGACGTAGCGCCAGATGAGGACGACAAGAAGACGCATGACCAGCTTTTACAGGATAACACCCCTCTCGAAGAATTCCTGAAGGTCGCATCTTTGGCCAACCTGGCAACGGTTTACAAATCTACCGAAGGTGAAGGCTGGACTGCTCGAGGAGACCCCACCGAAATCGCCATTCAAGTTTTTGCTTCCCGCTTCGACTGGAACAGAAAGAAACTGACCGAAGGCGACAAAGCCGACTGGCACTTAATCATGGAATACCCCTTCTCCAGTGACGTCAAGAAGATGTCCGTCATCTTTGAACAAAAGAGCTCAGGCAAGAAGCTTGCTTTCAGCAAGGGAGCTGTCGAACGTGTCATTGATTCCTGCACCACCATTGATCTCGAAGGGACCAACGAACCCGTTGAATTAACCTCCGAGGTCAGCGATCAAATCCTCGCAAACATGGAAAGCCTCGCTTCTCAAGGTCTTCGTGTTTTGGCACTCGCCTCAAAATTTTATGATGGTGCCGCTGATAGTGATGCTCGGCCACAAGTTGAGTCTGAACTTACCTTCCGTGGTCTTGTCGGTCTGTACGATCCCCCTCGTCCAGAATCCAAAGGTGCTGTCAAGCGCTGTCACCGTGCTGGGGTGGGTGTCCACATGCTCACGGGCGACCACCCTGGAACTGCACTGGCCATTGCGAAACAGATTGGCATTGTTCCCGACAAATTGAATGTCGTTAGCAAGGAAGTTTCCGATAACATGGTCACCACTGCCGCCCAATTCGACCGTCTCACCGATCAGGAAATTGACGATTTACCTGTACTGCCACTGGTCATTGCCCGTTGCGCACCACAGACTAAAGTACGCATGATTGATGCCTTGCACCGACGAGAGATGTTTGCAGCCATGACTGGCGATGGCGTGAATGATTCTCCATCTCTCAAACGCGCTGATGTCGGTATTGCCATGGGTCAAGGAGGTTCCGACGTTGCCAAAGATGCCTCTGATATCATTCTGACTGACGACAACTTCGCCAGCATTCTCAATGCCGTCGAAGAGGGTCGCAGAATCTTCGATAACATCCAGAAATTCGTTCTTCATTTACTGGCTCAAAACATTGCACAGGCCTGTACGCTTTTGATCGGTTTGGCATTCAAAGACTCGTCCGGTCTTTCCGTTTTCCCTCTGTCACCTGTAAGTACTTACCGTCTCACCATTTCACGTTTGTGTTTGAACGCCACTAACGTCGAATCCTTACCTAGGTCGAAATTATGTGGGTCATCATGATAACTTCTGGTTTGCCCGATATGGGATTGGGTCTCGAAATCGCTGCACCCGACATTCTGCAAAGACCACCACAAAATCTCAAACGAGGCATTTTCACCAACGAACTAATCGTCGACATGCTCGTCTACGGCCTCTGGATGGCAGCACTTTGCCTGTCTTCATTCTCGCTCGTCGCCTTCGGCTTCGGCGACGGTAACATGGGTGAGAATTGCAACGCCACGTACTCAGAAGCATGCGACACCGTCTTCCGCGCCCGTGCGACCACATTCGTCTCGATGACTTGGTTCTCACTTTTCCTTGCCTGGGAGTTGATTAACTTCCGCCGCTCGTTCTTCCGCATGCAGCCAAAATCCAAGAAGTACTTCACGCAGTGGATGGCCGATGTCTGGCGCAATAAGTTCCTCTTCTACTCAGTCATGTTCGGCTATGTCTCCATCTTCCTCATCCTGTACTGCCCCGTCATCAACCACGATGTCTTCAAGCATACCGGAATCTCTTGGGAGTGGGCCATCGTCATCATTCAAGCGCTACTTTTCTTCGGCGGCATCGAGTCTTGGAAGTGGGCCAAGCGAATCTTTTTCCGTCGACGTGCGAAGAAGGCTGGTGGTGGCCGCGCCCGTCGTCTCTCGAGTGTCGTCTTCGATGCTTATGCTGGTATCACACCCGGTCAAGTCCCGGATGATGATGACGTCAGCGTGGTTAGCGATGCCAGCGAGAAGGTGTAAATGGCACATCCACGAGTCTTGTTTCGTCCGAATTTTGAAAAGATAAAAAAAGCACCACCAAAATATTGGTGTTTGAGCGGTTATTGGTTTCTTGCACATGAAAGCCAGATATATTCCGATATATCTGCTGTTTGTCTAATTGGGCGGAATACTATGTTTTGTTTCTATCTGATGACTGTACAGATTATGACGCATTCTGATGAGAGATCCGTGTACTGTGTGGACACGCGATTGATGACGCCGTCAGAGCAGTTATGGAATGAAGATAGGCCGCGTTGGAACCCTCGGCTGCATGGATACATTTCAGGCGCTGGAGACATCTCAGGGTTAAGACTACGAGAATGAATAGTGGAATATTTATCTTGTAATTGCTACCAATCCAAACAAATACATTCGAACGATGTGTTTCAATTCCTGCAGTCTTTTTTTGCGAGTACTGATGTGCAGGGCTGTCACGATCTTGCCCACTAAGGAATTAATCGAAAGCAAGTGGACCCAACTCATAGATCAAATTGTACCGGACCAGGTGAAGATGAAGACGGATACACGGCAATAAGGACCAGTGCCGTAACGGCGCCGGCTATGGGTAGTTTTACTTTTGACCCTTCGAACAAGGCTGTCCACCTTGCCTCATGTCATCCGAAGGGCGTCTTCAGATTCGAGTTGCACTACACGAAACACAAGCAAACAGTAAGATCACTAACTAGGTGGTCTCCAGCGGTTTATCACACTTGTGCCACTGAATCATTCTTCTGATTTTCTACGCATCAAACTACATGAGTCGTTCTGGTGATGAAACAATTGAAGGTCACCATCGAACCCGGCCAACCATTACATCATTAAACTTAGACCATGGCGTCTTTGCAGCTCGACTCCCTCCGCAGGCGCACAGCCGCTGTAGATGTGAGCGGCGACCAAGCAAGTGACCAAGCTGAAGCTGCCGAATGGTCGTTTCCCGAAGGCGGAAAGGAGGCATGGAGGTGCCTGTTCGGATCGTTTGCATTGATGGTGCCATCTTTTGGCTTCCAGGCCGCCAGTGTGTTCAATGTCTCCCACCCACAACATGACCTTGGATTGACTTAGCAGCACAGTCGGGGCAGTCCACGACTACATTGCGACGCATCAGCTGTCGTCGCATTCCCAGCGTGACATCGGCTGGATCTCTGCGGTGATGGTTTTCTTGACCCTGCTGCTCGGAGTCCAAGTCGGCCCGCTCTTCGATCGATATGGTGCACGCTACCTGGTGCTGTGTGGCTCCGCGCTGAGCTTTACCTCGTACTTCCTCCTTGCCCAATGTGTCGAGTATTGGCATTTCATTCTCTGTCTCAGTGTCTGTGGCGGAATCGCATCCGCGGTCCTCGCTACCGTCGCCATCGCCGTCCTCAGCCACTGGTTCCACAGGCGCCGAGCACTGGCTTCGGGAATCTGTATGGCTGGCTCCTCCTTTGGAGGCACTACCATACCAATCGCACTTCAGAAGATCCTTCCGCGGTATGGTTGGGTTTGGTCTATGCGCATCCTGGCGTTTACTGCACTCGTATTCTACTGTGTCGGCATCCTCCTCGTCAAAGGTCGCTCGCCGAAACGCGAGACGGCCAAATCGATCATCGACTTTAGAGTCTTCAAGACGGCATCCTTTACCTTTCTGGCCATTGCCGTGTTTACCTTTGAGTTCATCATTTTCGGGTGTGCAGCGCTTCTTCCCACCTACGTTCGATTTGCTGGGTTTGGTGAAGACACACAATTTTACACACTGGCGGTTCTGAATGGAATGAGCTTCTTGGGACGAACTCTACCTGGCTTTGCAGCGGATAGGATCGGCCGCTTTAACGTCTTGTTGATCTTGGTTTCAACCACCATGTTGATGATGGCAGTCATTTGGTTGCCTTTCGGATCCAGCAGCGTTGGGACAATTTATGCTGTTGCAGCATTGTTTGGATTCGGGTCGGGAGGATGGCTATCCCTTGCTCCAGTTTGTGCCGGTCAACTCTGTCGCACGGAGGAGTATGGGCGCTTCTATGGGACAATTTACAGCATGGCTGCGTTTGGGGTTTTGTTGACTGTTCCTATCGGAGGGCAGCTACTCGATTCCACCACTCCGACAGCACTTATTGGATTCTACGCCTCCGTCTTGCTTGTAGGGTTTCTTAGTACTGTAATGTCACGGTGGGCACTACTTGGATGGAGCTGGAAGTGGAAAGTAAAAGTATAGCCATCTTTCCCACTCAATGTGGGCGAGGCACGTATTCAATCAGTACTTGTGAAGAGTGTTCGACACTATATGCAGTTGCAACCCTCACCTGGTAACCGCATCGTGGGGTGTTGACCCAGACTTTTGACGGACAGATCGGCATAATAGTAGCGGAATGCGACCCAAGGCTGCGCATCAACGTTCCACAAGTGCCGCTGTTGCAAAGACGCTATTTATCTGCGGAAATGGTCTCTTTTCCCCCAAGAATTCGATACCTAGATGGTCTAGATTTAGGGCGACGACATCAGAAAAGGGAGGAGAGTCATCACTGTGGATGAATGTCCATTAACCGTGAAGGGAGAATAGGCAGCGAAAGGTCCGTAAAGTCCGGTGTCGTTCTAAACATCTTTCATCGCAATTTCCCCGCAATCGCTCCGGCTGGTAAGGATAGTGGGGATAGATAATATTGGGAGGAGGGGTGGTTAATGAGTGTGCTCCTCCGCACGCAGCAAGGCGATACTCCTGCCTGCAGCATGGGGCATTTCCTCGAGCGTGGGCGGCTTCTTACCAGAGCCCCACGAATGTGTTTGTCCATTCTCCCAATCCATCATGGCTTATCCGTTCACAAACCAGTGGGAGGAGAGATATTGGGGCAGGTATCGCAAATGCCGAGTCAATGGTTCCTTTCGCCATGATTTTCTACTCCTCACGTTTGGGTACGAATTCGGATCTTGATTTTGTTCAATATCTTCTGGACATTTCGCTTTTGGGATGCTTGTTGTGGTCTGATTGTTGAGTCTTGAGGCAGAATTACTCAATACCAGCAGCCATGGGTGTGATGGTCCATCTCCAGCATGCGGCACCTAGTGTCAGCAATATTGCGATTGGTGCTGCAATATTAGGTCTCATCGTGATCATTGCCGATTATGCTCGGATGCTCTATCTCAGAAGTAAAATGGTATGTTGAACATGGGAAATGGAAATTGCTGTCTTTGCTAATCTTCAAAGCCACCTGGTCCCTTTCCATGGCCGATCATAGGGAACACATATCAACTACCCGACACAAAGCCATGGGTGTACTTCGAGGAGGTCGCCAAGCAGTACAAAACTCCTGTGATCACGTACTGGATAGGTCGCAATCCCACCGTTTGGATCTGCGACGCTTGGGCTGCTTCAGAAATGCTCGACAAGCGAGCTGCAGTTTATTCCTCGCGACCTAGAATGGTGGTATTTGGCGAGCTCAGCATGGGCCAGTCCAATATCGTGTCTATGTTTTATGGCGATCGCTGGCGCGTTCATCGAAAGCTCACTCACATGGGTGTTGGACTGCAGCTTGTGAGGAGCTACAGTGGGTTTCAAAATAACGAGAGCAAAATGGTGGCGTGGGAAATTCTCAAAGATCCCAAAGACTATGTCATGGCATACGAGCGGTATGCTGCCTCTGTGGTCAGTATAATTGGTTTCAATCGACGGATCAGCTCAAAAGAGGACCCTATTATCACGGAAGTTATTGCTGTCATGCAAAAGGCTGCAGAGTTGAACGTACCTGGAAAGACATTCCCAATGTTGCTGGAAACATACCCTTGTAAGTTTGTGTCTTGTCCTCCCTCTGCAATCTAATATCGAGTAGTTCTTGCGAGATTTCCAAACTGGATGGCACCGTGGAAGCACGGTCTCGGTGGTGGAAAAGGCCGGGGACGATCATTTTACTACGCACTCGCTGAAGAAGCAGTCCAGAAGAACGGAGGTGAGAATTGCTATGCGAAGAAGATCTTCGACGAGGCCCCGAAATATGGATTGTCCAACCTCGAAATTGCTTCTTTGAATGGCAACCTGTTTGGCGCCGGAAGCGACACATCAAGTTCAACCTTGTGTACGTTCACCCTGGCATGCTGTGCTTTCCCAGATGCTCTTCCGAAAGCTTGGGAAGAGCTCGATCGAGTTGTTGGTCCTTACCGAAGTCCTGGACTTGATGACGATTTGCCATACATTCGTGCTTTTGTGAAAGAGGTTTTCAGATGGCGATCCGTTGCCATAATAGGTGGCCAGCCACATGCCCCTATCCAGGATGACTATTATAAGGTACGTGCAGCTTCACAGGAGTACGAGACTGTTACTAAATCATGTAGGGCTGGTATATCCCTAAGAATACCTGGGTGCAGGGTAATGTTTGGGCCATCCACCGCAATGAAAATGAATTTCCGGAGCCAGATCGTTTCTACCCTGATCGATTTTTCGAAGGCAATCCCCTACACCGCCCATTTCCCAATGACAAGGGCTATATGACGTTTGGTTGGGGCCGTCGTGTCTGCAGTGGCCAGGGTCTAGCCGAACAAGGTACCTTTTTGACCGTTGCAAGACTCCTATGGGCTTTCAACATTCAAAAGGCTTTGGATCAGACTGGTAACGAGATACCGGTGGATATATTCGATTACACGTGAGTGCAAGCTGAGTTCTCCGCAAAGAGCTTGCTAACATGCTGTTGATAGTAATGGTCTGAATATGCGACCACAACCATTTGAGTGCCGATTCACACCGCGGTCATCTGAGATCAAGGAGACTATCGAAAGGGAAGGCCGCCAGGCCCTTGAAGAATTGTCGCAATTTGAGGGCGAAAGCCAATACCGTCTGAGCACCTTTTATTTGAATGACACAGTAAACAAATAAGCATGCTAGCCGATATCGCCGGGCGTGTGTCAAGGACCTCTGATTTGTACTATAAAGAGTCTTTTTGAACATATAGATAGATGAGAACCCGTTGAAAGGTGTGATATTGGCATCATCATGACATCCAATACATTGAATTGTGGTAGTAGCCTAGCGATCAGGGACATAGTGATGCAAGATGGTGCACCATCTTGGCCATGATATTATGGAGCTTGAAATATTCTCCGTATCGAGGGATAGAAGGCCCACGAGGAAATCGTCGATAATATCATGATAGAGGAATGTGTGAAACAGTCGCTTCAGATGCTCCAAGCTATCGAGATGTAGTTGTACTCGAAATTGGTGGAATAGATGGGCAGGCCACCCCGAATAGGAGATATCGCCCCTTGCAGAGTAGACATCATTGCCAAGGGCACACATAAACAATAACCACAAGTATAACTCGAGGTCAGAGATTGATCCCGTCGTAGCCATAGTGTCGGCCACACTCCCCAATATTGGCTCAATCTTCTGGAATAGCTTGCTGAAGTTGTAATTGCTTGGGGATTCACAGTACTCAAGGTTCATAAACAAAATCGCAGTAAGACAAGATGCTGCGATTATCGACTGTCGAACATCAATGGGGTGCTTGATATTCGAGATGCGCATCAACTCGGTGGCATCAACATATCCTATCATCAAATAACCGGACACGGCAGTTGCTCTTCTGTGCATCCATTTGACCACTTGCTGTTGTAGAAATGGGTCTTCAATTACGGTCATCAATGCCTTTGTCTGCACAATTTCGAGCGCAGAGTTGAAGAGATGGACCGTGGGCTGATCAAGGCCGTAGGGTGAGACTGCCTGAGGTATTGTTCTTACGGATGTAAGGACCGTGGGTGCATTGAAGTGGACATCGTTGATCAGAGTAGTATTGAAATCATGAAGATCACGGGCTCCTGGATCATATCGTGTTGGTGAGATCTCAGGCCTCTTCGCCAGCGACATCGCGATCCATACATCACACACAAGGAGAAGTCCTTCAATTTCTTGTAGTAGTGCTAAATTCGACATTGCCATAGCCAAAAGGCCGCGTAAGTGTAATAAAGCAGTTGAAGGATCATCATTATCGAACTCCAAAGAGATCAACAGCCGAATCAACGCTATCACACCTGGAGATGTTTCTCCAGAACCAAGACGATGGCGCAGAATAGCAACAGCCCGGGTTTTGTGCACAGACTCCTGTGATACTGTTGGAAGTCTTGGAATGGTAGTTAATCCGGAGCTGACACGATTGCCAGATGCGAGGATTGCATGTAGCAAACCTTCATCTTGGACAGCAAAGTCAAGCTTGATGTGCGAGTTCCGCGTATCAGCGATGGGCGTCCTGAATACAGCATTGGCAGTATCTGGCCACGCTGTGAAAATGACAAACTGCTGTGCGAGTCGTAGGATCTCATTATTGCGTGGATTCAAAGCAACCGGCGTGGCATGAAAGGGGTCTGAGTTACCCTTCCAAAAGCCTGGCGAGGGGCTGACTTGGTTCCATGTTGCTTCCCTGGTCGCTGTGAGCGTCAGGGGCTGAACAATTTGTTGGTCACCTTTTTCTTGGCCTGCTGGAAATGGCAAAGGGTGCTGACTACTCTTCATATGCAGAAAATTTGTGCGAGGTAGCTCCTTACAGTCTTTGACCGGCTGATGTTGTATAAAACAGGGAGGCTCCCAGGGCACAGGAATTTGACTGGTTCTCGATGGTGTTAGAGTAACCTGCTGATGCAGACTTTTCTCGGCCACTGGCAAAATAGCAGGGCGAAGTGGGCGCTGAGCAATTATGCTCGTTGTCGATTGACGCAACCTCTGCCATCTTTCCACTTTTAATCGCGCACGATGAGTTTTAGAGACGTGTGAAGAGATTGTGAAACTATCGTCACGATTTGTTCTTGGTTGATCCTGATTACTATTGATGAAAATGAACGAAGTATTGCCTGGCTGCCTCATCGTTTTCTTCTCGACGGGTCGATAGTCAAGGCGAAAACATGCTTGCTGTGGTTGACATGTTCGGAACGAGGTTGAGTCACCTATTTGGAGGCTGTACTATGTGAGCGAGGACCTGGGCATCTCTGAAGTACAATAGTCAGCTGGAGTCCAAGGAGACGACATCCTGGCTCTGTTGAAAGCATTGACTTTATTCACAGAAACATCAATTTGCTCATGAGTTCATCACGAGTCAGTGCTGGAAGATAAACTAAAGGGCATGTCCGGCTGAAAGAAATCCACAGAAGCTGCCTGCCAAGGTAAAGGCTAACCTTAACTAACCAACTGAAAAGCATGGAAGGGGGTGTTCACGAGTAGTTTGGGTGCTTAAGGACGGTTGCACCTACTGACTACCTAGGTACCTAACTACGGTGGGTGATTACTTTGTGGGTATATTAGGAGAGGTGTCATCAAAGTCCGCGTGAGTTGGCACCCGTGGGCCTCCTTGAACTTTACTGACCACAGTACCTACCATATGTACCTACCTAACTAGGTAGGTAAGCATCTGTCCCGGCCATCTTGGTAGGTGAAATCGTTTGTCCCTGGGTCGCAAAGGTCAATAAGTTTCCCCCACGAACCTTCAGTCAAAGTCAACTACAACGATTTTGGATATTGAGCATTGTCAAGGGGATTATGGTTGTTCACACTGCTGAGATTTTCCTTTCTTTGAGATCTGCATACTCTCTTTCCCTTCAGGGACACGGACGACTGGCGCCATACTTAATTTCATATCCGACGGTACTCCTCCCGTGGATGGTGGTGGGACGCGCAATGCCAGTGAGGGACTCAAAGACTCGATATCTTCTAATCCATGTAGGTAGTGTTGAATAGTCGGTTTCCAGTATCAGTCCCGCCCTGGCCCTTGAACTCGTTGTGCGAAATCCGAAAGGCAGCAAGGCTCAAATTGTCGGGGCCTTCTCGCACCTCCTTCTTGAATTTGGAGATGGAACTTGCTTGTATGACACCCGCCACGACCACAATGCGAATGTTATTATCGGCTGCCCGCACAAACTGTATGAATTCTACCACCGAGCCTCCTGTGTTGACTGAATCGAGCAAAATGATCGCCTTCATTCCATTCAGGTGTTCTTTGGTAATGGTCTTGGGCACTTTGGCGTGCAGGAAGGAAGCAAGGGGGAATACAGCACTGACACCGAGCGCCATGGGTTCTCCACCACGCATCAAAGCTACTATCAGTGTCTGAGCCTCATTCAGAAGTCGAAAGCCTTGGGTATCATTTCCTTGCACATGTGGAATAGAGTATGTTTCAACACCGATCATGTGCACCACAAATTCGCGTGCCAAGTAAGAACCAACTTCGTGGTGGGCAGTCCTCAAGGCTGGTCCGCTTATTCTTGCATCACGCATTGGCGTCATCAATAACATGGCAGCCTTGCGATCAGTAGCATGCATCATTTGTATGCCCGAAGGATGAGAGAGAATGGATTGGATAAATGATGGTGATTCCAGTTCGATCAGGGCAAGTCTGCACGTATCCAATCGGTGGGGAGCTCCAGGGAGCATTATGGCTTGCCGAGCATGAAGGATACTCTGGTCAATTGCGAACGCCAAGGGACATCCATGGTCTTGCTCCTGGACTCGACATCTCCGACCACAACGATTGCATGGTCCGCCTTGACCAGCATGCCGAGATCCAGGACGCTGTCTCCGAACGCCCAAACTTCCAGACGATGGCATCTCTGTAAGCGCGACACCACTGCCGTTTTCACAGCAAGGGTAACGATACAGGCGTCTTGAGAAAGTTCGCTTCCCAAGACCTTGACCGTATCAGAAATGCCTTCTCTTGCGATGATATGCTCCCATACCTGAGAAAGGCCGCAAGTCACTATGAAGACCCCAACATGGCTTGCTCTCGTGACACTCTTCAGGAGAGAAATTATTCCAGAGTACAGATCCGTTGCGTTAGCGACAGCATGGCAGATGCTATCAAAGTCATGACTGGCGCTCACCTCCCCGTACAGCAGCGCAACCTGCCGGAAGGCAGTATGTGAATAGCCAGATGTGCTGAAGATTGTCTTTGGGGACGTCTGGCGGTTTGAGAAATTTGGCAAGCTTCGTACGTGTTCCCAGAACAAATGACCCGTATCAGTGGCGCTGAGTATTCGATCAGCATCTATAACCAGCATTTTCTCAAGTTTGCCCTCCACGCCCTTCAAGATGTTGTCCAATTTCTGCTCGGCAAGCAAGAAGTTCCCAGTTTCGGTGTGTGAATCAAAGCACTCAGCCAATTCTGCCGCTCTCTTTGACACATCAACTGTGAATGGTAGCACCGTGAACAAAATACCGTTTTCACCACAAATCCGACGGAGATCGCTTTTCTCAGTCTCTTGCCATTTATGCAAATTTTCCACAGAGACCTTTGATCTAGTCCACTCGAGATCGGCCTTGCGACGTGCTAGAAGCAAGTCGACCGGGATACTCAAGTAGATGATGTGGGTAAAGGTAGCTTGGTCACGAAGAGTCCACACTGGCTTCTTCTCTTCAGCGCCATCTGCCCAGAACATGTAGTGACCAGTAAGGATTGTGGTTCTTCCGCTGATCTCTCCATCCTTTGCCACATGGTCAATGGCATTGCTTCGGTAGACTTTCTTCTCTTCTTCTTTCAGGGTTTGAAATTTTGCAAGGCCTCCAGGGACGATCTTAGGGATGACCTCGAACCCTTCGATAAATAAATACTTCTCGTCACACAATTTTGTCCTCAGTTATTCAAGGAGGTAGCTCTTTCCGCAGCCTGATACTCCATATATCCCGATGACCACTGGCTTTGTGGTATGTATGGATATATTGGGAGCAATGATGAGCAGATCAGGAAGACTGGTAGACATTGTTCGACCAGCTGATTGAGATAGACAACCCATGTTACTCCTGTTAGTAATATGACGGAGAGCAGATTGATGATACCAGATATCAAACTTCTGGACGTACTTTGACAATGAAAGATCGAAAGAGGAAGAGACCAAAATATTGGATGCCAGACTTGGGGGTTTAGCAAAACTGGGAGATTCTGACCTGATTATATCCGCACTTTCAAGGCTATCCGTGTTGGTTTCTCACCTTTGAGGTCATCACAGGTCATATTTCCGGTTTGTTTGCTACTCTAGGTAGCTTCAGCCCTGGACCTGCAGCCTCGCAGCCTACAAACTCGCAGACCTTGCCAGAATCGTCTGTCTCGGTTTGAGCCTTGAAAGGAATGTCAGTCTATCTTAAATTTATACCCTCGCGTAAGACGACAGAAGGTAGAACTCGTCTCTACCACTACACTGATGGCACACAATAAGACAGTCAGCAAACAAGTCCTTTCCCACAACCTCAACATTCAACGGCCACATAAGCAAATTTTTGCCTGGGCCAGAGTCATGCCTCCGCCTACTGAGGTCAAAATCCCGATGACGACAGGGATGTTTTGACACCCGCTCCGATGTATGCTTCCTCGCATAGAGCACACAGCCAATACCATTCTTTGCCTCCTAGTACAACGTTTGTCAGCGCCCACTTCTGCTCTCTACACCTCCATGTTGAACCAGCGTCGCATGTACGCTTCCATTAGGCCACTCTCCTCAAGTAGGTGGCTCCCTTTCGCAGCCGCAGGAAGCGAAATGGCATTTTGAGGGCTGTCGAGTATGTCTCTTTTGGGATCTAAAGTGGGCAGAAACATGGACCAGTTCGTGTCTTAGCTCGAGCCTCGTAAAGGTCTGGATCTGTTTCCCTTCAGATGTTGCATCATCGTCAAGCCCATGCAGGGCAATATCCCTGGCCACTGCCCGGATATGTGAAATATCACCGTTATCCCATCTCTCATGGATTGAGTCTTATGAGACAATAGTATTAGCAAAATCAGTGCAGTCAATATAGGGAGCCATTTCTTCTCCACTAGGGATAAATTGAGAGCACCCTCGTGCAGGCATTAGGCACCTAAGTACCAAAGCCGCACGCGGTATCCGGCGGCGGTTGCGAAGTGTACTCGAGGCATGGGACAATTTTGGGAGCCTTTCCCAAAGGAATTAAATAAAGATAGTATGATACAATCGTTGTTTAGATAATATGGCTACCGCAGGGGGCAAATAAAATTGTCGCTAGCTGAGCCGTAAGGTTAAACGATAAGTAACCACAGTCCGTTTCGGTTAAGCGGACCGCTAAAAGCGTCATCGTTTGCACCTCCAAAGACCTAACTAGGGTTGGAGCCTTGCGTATGCCTGCCTAATTGTTCTGCTCCGCAGGTGCCGCTTCCGCACTTCTCACCATTGCTGCCTCGCCAAGATAAGGTATCTATTCTAAGGGGCTTATCACGCTACTTTTCGGCGTTTTCTGTACTCCCTACAATGGAACACGCCTCCTTGGTCTTCAATTACTCGGTATCCATACATTGTTGTTTCCCAAAACTGCCCTCACCTTCGCGAAGATATGGATAGTTACAACTTCAAAGACCAAGAAAATAAGCGAGCTACTTACCATATACGCAGTAGTTTGTACAATAGCATACACTAATCATCGACACACGAATCCGTCCTCGATTCGGAGCCATATCGTGCGATTCTGTTACCGGAGCTTAGTTAGAGGACATGTTTACCTATATTACTTCGTCCAAAATATAGGATGCAGTGATCCGTGCGAAAAGGGCTATGAAGTAGGAGCGAAGCGTAATGTCTATATAAGTGAAGAGTACAGGACTGAATCAACGATCAGCTACTAAATACCTAATCTCATTAGTGCAAGCTTTGTCGTCGCCTCCTTGTTGACTGGTAGTGGCATGATCTGGGTTGAGTAGCGAGTCTCAAGGTTAACCTTCATGTCGATCCAATAGCTTGTCGCGCAGGACAGTTGGGTAGTGGGTATTTTCCCGAGCTTGAAGGGCTTACGAGGTGAAAGTAAGCTTCTTCATTTGTGGCAAACGTTATTCTGCGCCAGCTCGAGACGGTAGCACGGATAAAGAAGAGAGGGCTAGAGAAGATGAGGCGCATGCTCAAGGTACGGATAGAACGTCCTTTCACAATCGTGGCGATGAACCACCTCTCCGATATGCTCGGCGACCAAGGTCAGCTCGAAGCATTCCACTCTCACACATTTGCCTCGATTTCGCACCTGGCTTCAGCACCAAAGCTGAAGGGCCAATGATAGCAAGAAGCGCCGTTCGGGCGCTCCTCGTATTAAGGGAGCTTTCTGCAGGGGAGACGATGTGTAGTTGCATAATACCAGATTAGGCTCTCTCGCCTGTTCAGTCTCGGCGTCCACCCGATTGGAGACCTCTCTGGCGGCACAATCCTCCCGGCTACACTTGTGCACTACTACGAAGTCAAATATACATAAACTCTACGCCAGTTTCCCATGATGGAAAAGACTGAAGCCACTTACAAGCTAATGGTTCGTGGTCCAAGGTCAAGCCAAGTTGTCGTCTGATAAGAATCTAGGGGGCACGAGTCCCTAACAAGCCGTGCATGATGGTATCGAAAATTCAGCCTCGAAACGGGGCTTTGACTCAATAAGAATGAACATATCTGCTGCTTATGAACGAGGTGAGCACAGGAGCAATAACTTTCTTCACAGCCGCAATTGTCATGGCTACGTGAATGTCCACTCCATCAAAGGAACTTTAATCCAGGAAAATGCCGAAGACAACACCACCATCCGGCGCCGCTGTTATCGTGAGTGACCATGTCTTCTACTTCCATATTCGAGCCCCAAATCTGGGGTCAAGTCTAGGATGCACTAGGCTGACAACAACCCTTCTCAGGCAGCAGAATGGACCCTCATCTCGATCGCACTCGCAGCTATTGTCGCGCGGTTATATCTTCGCCTGAAGATCAATAGACAACGCCTCCTGGCTAGTGACTGTTTCATGATCCTAGCCCTTTTTTCATCGGTCGCAACATGTTCCTTCGACATCGCCTTTCTAAGGATGGATGTGCTGAGACCAGAAATCCAAACAAACCTCGGTGGCATAACCGATCTTGACGTGGTTGAAACTGCACTCAAGGTTAGCCTTCTTACCTTGATTCTGTCAATACAACCATGGTATCCCCATGTCTGAGAAGCAGGGAAATCTGGTTTTTAGCTTATTGATTTGATTACACTTGGTTAACATTCCTTAGTTCTTCTGGATCAGCAACTTTCCTTTCTTCTCAACGTTGTACCTATGCAAAGCGTCGATCCTTGCAGTATATCTCCAGATATTTCCACCCCAAATGAAGACCTACCGGAAGGTCCTGTACGCTATTATTGCATATTCAATCATGGGCTATGTCATTTCGATATGTCTTGCCTTGTTTTTATGCTTCCCAGTACGACGACAGTGGTAAGTCATCAGCCGTACATACCCCTACACTTCCCTCAACCTTACGTAGACTTGACTAATTTTGGGGTTGAAAACCCTTTCCTTGTGTAGGGATCTTAGTATCGAAATGTGTAAAGACACGGAAGTTTCAAATGTCTTCGTTGTGGCATGGGCTTTCAACTTCTCATCCGATATTCTTAGTATGTTGGCCCCCTTTTCAATTCCGCGAATCTACACATTAGATGACCTAGAAAGACATTATACTCACTTCATTTAGTATTCCTGGCGCCATTCATGATTGTGCATACTTTAAATATGCGTCGCCCAATGAAAATCGGAATGTATTGTGTCTTTGGCCTCGGCATTGTCAATATTGCATTCTCCCTAACGCGCTTCCTCACAATCAAATTAGCACTTGATGGAACGGCGCCACTTACAACCGTTGGTACGTTTACTTTCAACTCCTATTCGTTTCTATTCTGGTACTTTGATCCTTGTCGATTCTGATTCCTTTGATAGAGCTATGGAGTTCTTTAGACCTCAATATTGGGCTCATCATTGCATGCCTACCGTCACTCCGACCATATGTACGATTGATCTCCAAAGGCTCACTGTCTAGCTCGGACAAATATCACACCCAATCTGGACAACAGCACTTTCACTCTAGGACTCTGGGAAATTCGAACGTTGCTACTGGCCGTTTCAGCCGGATTAGCAGTTCGAAGGACAGAAATATTCACGTCCGCATGACGGTGGAGCAGCATGATATTGAGAAGCCTGATTACGACAACAAGAGCAAAGACGACATCCTTTTTGAAACGCACAAAAGCAATACAGCTGTCAAATCGGACGAGACGTCAAGCGATATTGAGCTTATCCCTTGGTCAGACCCAGAACCGGACAGAAAATGAGACATGAGTAATGTGAAAGGTTAGACACTTACATATCGATCCACAGTAACGTACCTCGCAGACTATTAGATGGACCAGGAAACAGACACTGTATTATAAAGTTGAGACACAACTAGAAGTTGAGTGGAGATAGAACGGGGTTTTCGGTGTACAAAATCACAAAGACGATGCCAAATCTTGACACATGGCTGCGATTAAATAGTTCCATGCGTTGCCTAGGGAATCCAAACTTGAAATAATTGCGAGGACTCTCGAGAGAAATAGGCAAATTAGCTTCAACTAGCTGGGTGAAAGCGCCCGTGATTTAATTTTCAAGCAGGAGCGAAACCACACCGCAGCTCGCATAGCTTAAGGTATGATCTGTGAGCCTTGCTTCACCAAACAGTACTTAGATGTTCCGGTAAGTGCTTCTCTTCTGCCAATAATGGATCGTACTCTCTCGGCGTTTCTCATACCCCAAACTCTGGATCAAGGTTTCAAAACGGCTTGCAAACGGCGAACCTGCGCCAGAACGTCGCTTCTGGCGAGGTGGCGCAACTCATCAATCAATACGAGGGCGAACTAGTTAGGGACGGGCTAGCTACATCTCGATGGCTCTAATAATGTATTACTCATGGTTACAGATTCATTAACGGTCAATTTTGAAAACCTGGGGCGCCCCTATCCTTTTCTTTGGAAATCATGCTTTTGTCGTTGCTTAAGGCCCCAGGCATGATTCATACAATGATGTCCTCAGTCGCTACAACTCCTCCATTAGACAAAACAGCCTAGTCATTTACTTGATCTTGTACCATTTCCCCTTTCCGCGCTTCTTGGATACTTGTTTTCTGCCGGTCTCAATCCCTTTCACAGCAGATCGACGCACACTAATTGCGGCATCCTTGACTCGATGATTCAATGATCTTGACTCCCCCAGTCTTCTGCCAGTGCGCAAGTCATACTTTGGGCGCGTGTCATTCGTCTCTATCCAGAGAGAGTGGCCCTCATCTTCTTCGTGGACTGCACCTGGGCTCTTCAGAGGACTACCAACTTCCTTATCGCTGACAGAGCCACACGCAGCGGACAGTGAGATCGGTCTGCCTTTCTTGTCCCCGTGGACATACTGGACCCGGCCAATCTTGGTTAATCCGAGCAAAACCGTGCGATCCTTGATGGATGCCGGCTTCTTTTCACTTCTCGCTTTTGTTTTTGGCTTGACGACTAGCAATGTTGACACTTTCTTTCTGCTGTCCGTGAGCTTCCTCAGCATGTCTTTGGTCCTCTCGGCAAGAGCGTTCGGAAATGCTGTTCGCTTTTTGGTGGTAATGTGAGCTTGTTTGGCGCTACCATTCACATTGGGTTTTGGGGTGGAGTCTGCTGCCCTTGCTCCTGCGGTCCGGTCTCTTTGAGCATTGATTGCCACTCTTATCCTTTCGACATATTCAAGAACGTCCTTTGGAATTTCGTTTCTTGGTTTTTCGTCACTTGGTACTAGCGATGCGGTTGAGTGTGGGGGTGGTACTGCTGCCGAAGCGGACGACGAGGACGACGAATCCGAATCCGAACACGGAGCGATATCCAAATCAATCTGGCCAGGCTCTTCTTCCTCAATGATCTCCATGTAAGGTTCAGTGGATGCCCTTCTGGTGAGTCTAGCCATACAGGGAATACACTCCTCGGCATCGATGATGGGCAAGAGCTTTCCCAATGACAAGCCCGACATATTTGTTTTCAAGATGAGAAGATATGCTTGATTTATTTGTGCTTCAGCGAAATTTTCAGTGAGTCTCTGAAACCATCTCTACATTTACAACCTTGGGACTAGGAGATTGATTATATCCTTCTGCCCTCCTAAATCGCAATTTACCATTATAGCATCACACCGTCATCTATCTTTAGACAGACAAAAGACTCCAGTGTTCGAAACAAAGAATAAAATGCATCTCAGAGCCAAACACTGCCACGATTCATATTCTTCCCTTTGTTCACCATGGTTGTTCAACACCAGCCCACAGTTTACCACTTTGGATTTGCTCCCCAACCAACATGGTGTTTGCCGTTGAAGAAGAATAATGTTGACAGGTAAATGAACCCAGACATATCAAGTCCACATCCCAAAGTCGATGTCCTCCCAGTCTCCATCAATACAAGGCCATAAGCCTCTCCAAACAGGAGATAGACCAGACAAAGGGGCCAATGTGCATCGTTTAATCACGTGACTCAGCCTTGCGCTACTATACGAAGCCTCGTCGTTATTGACTCTTGTAGAGACCGTTCCTGGCTAGCGCTTACCTACACAGCATGGATCGGGGCCGCCAACGACCAGCTCGACTACCTTGTCATGGCCATTGTAACGATCAGCGGTGGTCAATGGATGTTGGTGGTAACATGTCTGACGACGGAACGGTTGTCCACAAAACCCTTCTCAACAATGCATGGCCTGGACTGCCAGCAGGATTTTATGTCCAATTCGCCAATTGATAGTATTCCGCCCGCCAAGTGTTCACGCTTCGTCTGAACACGACGGACTCCGCCAGCGCGAGCCAGTGAGATGTCCATTGAGACTGAAGCAAGAGTCAGCTTGATGCAGAAGACCGGAGATGGACCGCCATGATCGGCGGAGGAAAGCTTGCTCAAGGTCTGGGGCTGAAACATGAGCTCAGGGCGTATATAAATGATAGGACCATAGCATCTCAATTGGCAGCCGCTTATAAATATCGTCCTCCTCGTAACATCGACTACCGTCGCCGCTACCTCATAATGATGGAAATTCACCTCACGAAGAAAACCCTCATGGTATCTCGCGGCCACAAATACACTTATTATACCTGCCTGCCATCAAAGACCTCTAAACCAACAATCCTCCTCCTGCACGGCTGGCCCGATGACGCATCATGCTGGAGTGGCGTGCTTGACGCCGCCATCGTGCCTACAGGCTATGGGGTGATCGCACCCGATTGTCTCGGTAGTGGGGAGACAGCGATGCCCCTTGACGAGCGAGAATATGATTTCCGCGCCATGGCGGCAGATCTGCTGGAGATTTTGCATATGGAAGGTGTGCCAAGTGTGGTGGTTTGGGCGCATGATTGGGTTAGTATTTCTCTTTTTGAATCTTTGGAATACAACTGTGGGCCTGTGGTGGATTAGTCTCTCTCCTCTCTCAGTTGTCATAAAGATAATATCCCGAGGGTTGCTCCAGTTTGATGGACGATAGTTGATGTCTGAGAACAGGGTGCCGGCCTTGCATCGCGCTTCTACAATTACTACCCGTCACGCGTGCTGGCCCTGACACTGACAAACACGAACTACTTCCCGCCAAGCGATGTGCCATTCTCCGTTGATGGGTTCATTGAGATGACGCAAAAAGCGCATGGGTACGGCATTGCATGGTATTGGCACCTCTTTGTGTCTGACGAGGCGCCACAACTCATGTCCAAGCACATTGACACGCTATGGACGATCATGCACGGCAGCGGTGAGACGTGGAAGGAGACATTCTGCAAAGAGAACGGGTTCAGAGATGCGCTAGCCAGGGATAAAAAATACGCGGTGAGATCGTATGCGACGCCGGAGTTGAAGAGGGATTGGGTTGCGAAGGTCCAAGCTGGGGACAATCGTAGGTTGAAGGCGAGCTTGATGTGGTATCGGGCTTTGGCTGGTGGATTTCAGGAAAAAGCGAACGAAGAGGCGCTGGGTAATTTGGTGATTGAGGTGCCGTATCTGTTGGTTAGGGCCGAGGATGATGTGTGCTGTAAAGGTGAGGATCATGAGGCGATGAAGAATGCAGGGCTGCTTGGGATCGATGCTGAGACGGAGGTCATTGCTGAGGCAGGACACTGGGTTGTATTGAGCCATCCTAGGGAATATGGGGAGAAGGTTTTGAGCTGGTTGCAGAAAAGAGGCTTGTGAAGGTGAAATGGAAGGAGGGAATTGGCCAAACAATATGGCAATCTGATATGATACAAGTGAACACAATAATTATTCATGCCAATCCTAGTTTAAACAAACACATAGTGGTGACATAAGCTTAGCCAGGGATATCCAGTGTTAGTAATGGTACATTTTGTACAAGTCGCTCAGGTAGAGACTCCAGATTGTGATTTCGAAATTGCACTTGGTACTTCACCTGGTGCTAATTGCCATGCCATATCAATTGCACCTTGTGGGTTGCCTTTGTTGAACAGAAAGAGTCCTTGTAGAGCAGCCATACTTGTCCGGCTGACTTCAGCATTGGCAGTCTGCGTGAGAGGCTCCAGAACTCGAAGCTCGCGAAGTTTGGAAAGAAATCCCCTCTTGAGTGTATGATCGGTGTCGATTTCACCATAAAAACGCTCCCAGAGTTGCTCGATCTGGTAAACTGTGGCTTCAGCGAGCCGAACCGTCATGTCGACTCTTCCAGGTCGAACCAAGGCCTCATCCAAGCGCTCAACATGATTTGTGGTCAAGAAAATGACACGTTCCTCTGCGCTACCAACTCCGTCCAGGGCATTGAGCAAGCCGGAGAAGGTGACATTGGCACCCTGATAGCCATCGGTTTCAACTTGACGACGATTTGAGAAAGCTGCATCGACATCCTCCAAAAGGACTAGGGTTCGTTGAGGGATGACTGTGAGTAGATGGTTTAGGCGATCATCTGTCAAACCACGTTCGCTTAAATTAAGCATTGCGATATCGTAATTGAGATGTCCAGCCAATGCTTGGATAAAGGAGGATTTTCCGGTACCTGGAGGCCCATACAGAAGATAGCCTCGCCGGTAAGGGATGCCTCGCTCATAGTACCACTTGGAAGAAGAGAAAAAGTCTTGGACGTCATTCACTATTCTCTCCTTGACACCCTTGTCCAAGATGACCGAGTCAAGCGGCCGCTTGCTTCTGGGATTGCCAAATTTGTCCCATTTTGTCCCCCAGGCAGTGTATATCACGGTCTTTCCCTCGACAGACTGAGTTGCAATGTCATGAGCCTCTTTGAACAAGGACTCAAAGACATGACGTTGCGAATAGAGGGTTGTAAGGGTGATTGTCTCCCAAGGTTTTCCATCCATGGAGAATTGTTTCGACTCACGTTGACGATTCACCCAGATCCAGGCATTTCTGTAGCGTATAACGTGTCGTCCAGGTCCAGGGATAAGGACGAAATTCGTGTGAATTGCGCCATTGGGTAGTTCCTTCTTTTCAGTCTCAATTGCCAAGTGGCGCATACCGGGTGTAAGTCGTTGGAGAAGAGACTCAAATCTGCCTGGCTGCTTCTGTGCTAGTTGCTGTCCTCTTCCTGCTAGTAATCTTCCGCGCTCGTGGAGGGTCATCCAGTATAAGAACCAGGGGTAGGAATCATCGCGAACGCTGATCTCGACATCAACAAGGAGTCGGCGACGGAGAAGGCCCGCGCCTTGTCGCAAGCCTCTTTGGCCAAAAGTTGCAAGAGCACCGAGACCTGCAAGACCAAAGCCCTAGAAAGAGTCAGAGCGAGTACTCAGACGATGGAGTACGAGGAGTACAAACGGCTGTGAAGAAGGGATTGCCCGTCAACTGAGCAATTAGACCGCCATCTGGACTGTTGGTTGCTGCCGTGAGTTGGCGAGCCAAGTCGAGCTTTTGTTCCACAGGGTTGGTCACGACTTCATTGCTGGAAGGTGATGAAATGTTGGAGGCAACGTTGACTGCTCCATTGTCGCCCTGCATAACCTTGAGGTCTTGCTTGGTGGAAGCATTAAGAGGTGGACCTGGTTTGGGTGATTTTGAACTTGCGAGTCGCAAAGGGTGTTTAGTTGAGCCGAATCCGAATGGAAAAAGAATAATCCGGTGTCTGACTTGGGAGACTATTCGGGAAGGAAACGATCAAACCAGCAACGTTATTGCCTTCCCCGCAGTCTGACAGAATGGCAAGTGCAACACGAGGCGTCCACGGATTTCGGATTTAAGCCGTCACGACATTGAGCCCTGCAGATTGAATGAATCCTCTACCACTACTGCAGCTTTTCGGTACGAGGACTTGCCGTTAATAGAACTTGACTTGTTGTCCAGTCGTGTTGTCTATTGTATCCTCCAGGCGCCAGGCATTCCATTTCGACTCCCCGTCGATGCCAATTCGTATTTCGTTATAAGGTCATCTTGTCTGCCTTTGTCACCAACCCTCCCTTCCTTTCTCTCCCCCCATGCGATCCTTCCTCCGTTTCTTCTCGTCTGCACAAGCTACTTTCCATTCCTCTGTTGTGCGCACACCATTCTCACGGACTCCGTTCCGAATCATGGCTACCTCCTCTACCTCTGCTTTACTCTACGCTGCTACTGTCGCAGTTCCTTCGATTGCAAGTGAAAAACCAGATGATGAAGTCACAAAAGCAAAAGCCTGGCATGCAAAGAGCGGCCATGGCTTCGAAAATCCCTGGCCCTCGTGGGTAACCCTCTCTCCCTGGAGGATAATGGGTGGAATGATCTCAAGACGGTTGTCGGGCGCAGCCAATAGCCCCAACACCACTCCCCCCACAGTGACGGTCCAGGCCCCGTCATGGCTTTCTTCGAGAACAGAAAGCACATCACTAAGAGCGACCTGGCTCGGTCATGCCTGCTATTATGTCGAATTCCCCTCTGGCCTGCGGGTTCTATTTGATCCCGTCTTCACCGCGAGATGTTCTCCACTCTCCTGGCTTGGTCCAAAAAGATATACAGAAATGCCATGCCAGATATCCGACATTCCGACGATTGACGCCGTCGTCATTTCTCACAACCATTACGATCACCTGTCGCACCCTACGATAATGGACATATCCCAGCGTCACCCCGAATGTCAATTCTTCGTCCCTCTGGGAAACAAGAAATGGTTTACCGCGTGCGGCATAGAAAAATGCACAGAGCTCGACTGGTGGGAGGAGGTCGATTTCAATCTAACACCCTCAAAACCGGCCGACAAGAAACACTCCACAACGTCTGACCAGACAAGTGTGACTTCAGTCGATGATCCTAAAAAGCCTTCCGCAGATATAACGGCCCGCATCTCATGTTTGCCATGCCAGCATACCTCAAATCGCAGTCTGAATGATCGTGCTGCAACACTTTGGGCATCCTGGAGCGTGTCTTCTGGTGGCAAGTCACTATGGTTTGGTGGAGACACAGGTTATCGGGCAGTGCCAAAGGAGTCTGACGGAAAGGATGACTACGCCGAGGAGTACGCCGATTTACCACATTGTCCTGCTTTCGCCGACATTGGTCGACTTCGTGGTCCCTTCGATCTGGGTTTAATCCCCATTGGAGCGTATATGCCTCGTTGGCTCTTCAGTTCCATGCACGCTGACCCGAGAGATGCGGTGGAGATCTTCAGAGATACTAAATGTCAGAAAGCCTTGGGAATGCATTGGGGAACCTGGGTTTTGACCGAGGAGGATGTTCTCGAACCGCCTAGGTTGCTCAAGAAGGCACTCAAACATCACGCTATTCCGGAGACCGGTGTCTTTGATGTCATTGATATTGGTGCCAGCAAAGAGTTTTGATTTATGAAAATGAATGCGGAAGCAGATTTGGTTGGCAAAGTCATCGGGGTAACCTCGTAACATCAATCTTCGTGTGGGTTGTTGAGAGTTGGACATTTGAGGTGTTTAGAGGATATTTTCTCGGGTGGAGCGTTCTACCCGTCACTCTAGCTGAGAGAACGGAAGGGCTGCGGATTTTCTACACATACCCCCTTTTTCGCTTAATGGAATTGTTGCATGTATGAGTATAGAGATGGCAGTAGATAGAAATAGAAACGAACAAGACTCTCAAGCAATATACCCTAATCTAGACTACAAGCAACCTCAACCTCTCATCTGCCTTATCTTACCATTGGACTGCCGAATAGTGTGGTGTTTGTTTCCTGACAATGGCTGATCTCAGGCTCATTTCACGCAAAGTTTCAGAACATGCCAATAGGTATGCAACATAACAGAACAAGCAAGAGCACCAGAACAGAATGGTGACGCGGAAATGGTCGGTCAGAACACGAATTGCTTTTGTCTGTCTGTCTGTCTTAGTAAGTAGGTAGGTAGGCAGGTACGCTACATATACCATGTATCTGTCCTTCCCATGCCCTCGTCAGCCTTGCCATTCTAACCGGCGTTTTGTGCTCGTCCCAGCACTCCGCATTTCGCCAACATAAAATAAGAATGCGTGAGGGAAAACAATGTAGATCGTTAGCTCTAATAGGAAAACACTTCGTGTTGCCACATTTTCTGCTCTTTTGTTCGTACATGTCTGGTGTGACAGTGGATCAGGGGAACAGAGATGGGACTGGCAGCGATATCTTGTTGTGTGTAGTAGTAATAGAGGATATCTCTTTGTCGAGTATGCAGTTGAGTGGTCGGGGTGAACTGCTATCAGCACTGTTTGGCAATTGGTCTGATCAGGAGAGCAAATCCGAGGGCTCCGATGGTGTTGCTTGTGAGCTTTCAAACACATTTTCACTTCGCCTTAGATTTACCCTTGGCGTTGCTTTTGCCCTTTCCTTTGGCAGCTTTCTTCTTGGGCGCGGCAGGCTTCTCCTCCTTGTCCTCTTCCGCAGACTCATCTCTCATCGGAGCTGCGTCCATGGTCATTTCGTCTTCGGGCTCCGGCTTGAACGTTGCGGCAGCCTCGATGTCGGAGAGGGATTGTTCATCCTCTGGGTCAGGCTTGACCTTCTTTCCAGCGCGTGAACGTTTGGTTTTGGAGGCTGGCTGTGCTTCATCCTCATCTTCGACGCTTGGTTCAGCCTTTACGTTCTTCTTGGATGCACGAGCTCGCTTTGTCTTTGGAGCCGCAAGAGGAGGATCTTCATCTTCAACATCAAGCTCGGGCTTGACAACAGTTTCCGGCTCTGCTTTGACCTTCTTTGCGCGTGATTTCTTCGGCTTTGCTACCGGTGTTGCTTCTTCCGGGTCGCCGTCACCTTCAGCCTTCACACCGGCTTCTCTTGTGGCTTGCCTTCCTCTAGAAGTGGTCGCCTTGGGCATGACCTCGTCCTCGCTGTCACTCATTGCGGCTTTGCTTCTGCGACTGGCAGGTTTCTTCTTTGGTGGACTGGCTGGGAGATCATCTTCACTGTCCTCGACCTTCCGCTTTCGGCGTCCAGCCTTCTTTGCTTGGGGCAATGGGGATGCTGAATCGCTATCCTGGTCCGATTCAACCTTGGCCCTTTTGGCTCGGCTCTTCTTAGCTTTGGGCTTAGAGACACTTGGGGTATCGCCTGCAGTATTGGAGCCTTGCTCTTCATCCTCGGCAACATTCTTCTTCTTTGGTGTGCGTCTGTTGATTCCTTTTTGACCTGGTCGATTCAACTCGGGGAGCTATTTGCATGGTGGGTGAGCAGTGGTTCCGTGTACAGTATCACATGGAGCGACTTACACCTTTCCAGTCCTCATCATGGACGTGACCATTTTGAAGGGCATATTTGATTTTGTCCTGGAATTCAGTGGAGATCTCATCGTAGCCGTCAATAATAGCAGGCAGATCGCTGTCAAGGTCAAGATCCTCGACAGAGCCGACTTGATCCTGGAGGTTCTTGATCTGTAGAGGCGTTACACATCCCCTACGGACTGATAAGTACTGTGGCGCCAAGAGCAGCAGAGAGGATCTTACCAATGCTTCCACCTCCACGTGGCGTGCTCCTCGAATATTACCAACGTGCCCATGCGGAACTCTCCCTTTTGGATTTTGATACCACTCTTCTTACATTCCGTGTTCTGACAGAGTGCCCGATTCGTAGTAGACAACTCTAGAGAACTGTTAGCAATCATTCCAGTGAGCATGTCAAGTCTCATGGAGGAGCAGCATGAGACTAGAATCTCAGCATTGATTAGATCCGCGGACAGCACGTGTCAAATCAACCTCCGAATGTTGCAGACGATGCTTCAGGGTGGGTTTGGGGACCCGCTTACCAAAGCGATATGTAGCCATGTTGATTTGATGTGAGCTCACGTTGGGCCAGGTTGTAAGGCTAGCTTGAGCTTCAGATCTTTTCCAAGGGCGATGAATGCAGAAATGGAAAGGCAGGATCCAGAAACAGGTTTTCTAGAAAGTTCAACAAGTTGTCCTAGCTGATAGTCCGAAGTACAAAGCAGAGGCGAGCAACGGCAGTGGGTCAACAACTCAAAGAGTACCTAGGTAAGTGGCATTATGGTGCTTTGAAGAAGGTGGAGGCTACCCAGGACCTGCAAGCGTGACGCGTGCCTGCCTGGAATCACACGCGTAAAGTGGCAGTGGCTGACACGCCAAGGCCAGTGCCAGAATTCACAACCAACGCCATTCTTTTCCCGAATCTATTATTTTTTAGAACAGCTGAGACATCATTCAAGTCTGTGGAAATATCACTATGACTGACCTACTAGTCGCTTTGTCTCATTATGACCTAGCGGTCTCTGCAGCTTGAGGCTCGGTTGAAGGTGAGCAATGATCGCCAGGTGTGATGATGCGGTTACATCATCCCCGCTTCCTCATCACACCCCGGACATCAGCTTCACATTGCACGCTGAAATAGCACTCCCATGCAATAATGAATCGCCTTTTGCTTCCTTGAAGGACTGCTACCCCACGTGGGTATAAATCGAAGACCCCGAAGAGCCTGTTGCGCATGCAAACCAGGCTTGTATCCCTATATCTCAATTTCGTGGGGTTTACTCGCACCTTTCTTGCATTGTAGAAGTCCTTCTCATCCGTGGGGCGTTTTCAGACAATCTGATTTATTCTACTAAATGATACCGTGACATAGGATCGAGGTAAGCTTCAAGGACGATTGAAACCTCGATATATTGAAGATGTCCCTAAATGCATCATATCAAGCTCTAATCAGTCTTCTTTGAAGAACGATTGTAGAGCAATCAAGGTTGCAGGAAGTCAGCCCTACTAGCAATGTTGTTGACCGGAATCACCCCAGCTCTCGCCTTGGTTCTGCATCTGTCCAACGCCTTTCAATTGCTCCCACCACCACTCAATAGCAGCTCGTCAAGTCCCGGACTCATCTTGGATTTGATTTTGGATTCAAAGACAATTTACATCTACAATGACTTTGCACCCACCAGAGATAAAGATTCACTAGACTCCATATGGCCGAGAGCAGACCAATTTGCGGAAGTTTTCCGTCAGGATATCAGTTCTGTCACTCGTTCAGAATGGACACTGACACCAATCGATAAGCTATGCAAGAATGATAGAGGCATTGTGCTGGGGGCTTTTCGTGGAGATAAGACTGATATTGCCTATGAAAATGATGAGCCAACTGAAGAAGGGTATGAGATTGAGTACCAACCTGGCAATGGGACTATTTACATCGGTGGTACAGGAGCACGTGGACTGTTTTGGGGAACAAGAACATTACTTCAACAGCTCCTCTTTGCGGTGGATGAACCATTGTCAGCAGGTAAAATCGTCGACGCACCTGCATATGCTACCAGGGGATTCATGCTAGATGCAGGCCGCAAATGGTATGCTCTCGACTTTCTGAAAGATTTATGCACATATGCCTCCTTTTTCAAGATGTCGGAGTTTCATTATCATTCCAACGATAATTACCCTCTCAATCGAGGTCACAATGAGACATGGAATAAAGTTTACTCGCAATATTCTATACGACCAGAAGATCCAAGTCTCGAAGGGATGGTCCAACGAGTCTTTCAAACTCTATCGCCAGCAGACTTTGAAGACTTTCAGCAACACTGCGCAAGTCGAGGGGTGACAGTGATTGTCGAGATCGAAGCTCCCGGACATGCTCTATCAATCACCAAATGGAAACCAGAAATGGCATTGGCAAAGAAAGACCTTCTCAATCTCTCATATCCAGAGACCATTCCCTTCGTCAAGAGCATTTGGGCGGATGTCTTGCCTCGAATTCACGCCAGTGAGGTCCATATTGGGGCCGATGAATATGATCCGACGTTGGCCGATGATTACATCAACTTCGTCAATGAGATGGCCAATTGGGTTAGAACCAATTATGGAAAGAAGATCCGCATCTGGGGAACGCATGAGCCTTCAGAGAATGTGACAATTTCGAAAGATATCATCTTTCAGCATTGGCAGTATGGTCAGTCAGACCCGGTACAGCTTGAGACGGATGGGTACGACTATATCAATTCAGATGACAAATGGGCATATATGTCGTTGAAGAATGACCACACGCCAATCAATCCAGCACCCTACGCTCAATTCTTTAACGAAACTCGAGTCACGCACTTTGCGGGGAAAGAAGCCGTCCAATGGAACCCGCAGTTTGTCAATTCAGTGAATTTTACCATGCAAGTACCTGCAAACTCTCGTCATAACAAAGGCGCAATCCTCGCTGCGTGGAATGATAACGGGCCTAATGCTAGCACTCAGCTAGAGGCATATTACGCGATTCGTCGTGGAATCGCACTTGTTGGTGCGCGAGCGTGGGGTGGAAGTCGCGGTCCTCTCTTAGACCTTGATGACCTTGACAATACCATTGATTTCTTGTCTCCCAGATGCCCAGGCGCAAATCTCGACAGAGTTCTGACACATACAGACCCCGAGAGCGATGCAGCGTTAATATCATGGACTAACATAGATTCAACAAACACCTCAGTCGATCTTGGTCACGGAAGCAAGGGAATGAACTACACACTTGTGCTCACGGCAACAGGGCCATTTAACCTGACATCCCTGGACGCTTCCCTCTCTTTGACGGCTTCTTCTCAGAGTGGGAGCCACCTCGTCTTCATTGCGGATGGAATTATCTATCCACTTCAAAAAACCACATATAAAGACAGCAGTATCTTCCCCAATGAAGTTGGTGTGAGTCCAGGACGCATATGGGCGAATCCTCCTAACAATCAAACCGAGTCGACTCACCAGATCGTCGAGCTGAGTCCATCCCTCGAAAACCCCGTCAATATTACTATCACGACAGATGTTGTGCGTGGTGCTCGATGCTGGGTCAACGATGAATTCGTCGGCCGATTTGAAGTTTTGGTCTTTGGCGGGAGAAACACCTGGCAGAGTTGGAGTCAAATGGCCTTCGTCGCGCCCTTGGATCAGATTGAGGGTGAGTTGACGAGTTTGGAAATCTTCGATGCCATAATCGAACCTGGCAAATTGGGATTGAAAGTCTAGTGCAATTCAATATATTTACGCTGACGTCGTCGGTTCCTCCATCCTATTCGCAACACCAACGAGTGCATGGGACCGGTTTATCATCGCCTGCTATATTGCTATTCGTATGGATTACGGCTGAATTCTCGAAAAGACACGTGAAACCAATAAATACGATGATGATATGCAACCTGATTTCCCAACAGTCCTATTTCCTCATGGGGTTTAACTGTGTCTTCATTTTCTGTCACTGTCGCTGTGTGTCTGAACGAGAGGCAAAGGAATCGCGTCCTATTCTTGTTTCTCCACCTTTGCGCCATTTGAGCTTTCACCTGCCTCAGTCTCGACACCTCCATGAGCCTCTAGGCCATCAAGAACGCCAGTGCGTTCCACATCAATACTTGGTCGCCCATACCTAGCATCCTGAGACATGTCAGCTGATTGAAATAAAAGCCGTTGGAAAGACTCACATAATCGTGCCTTCCATCATGGAAGAATGCATACGGGAGTTCACCATGAATCTCCTCATCACCGATCAGCAATACCTCCTCACTGTACCGCAGCGGTATTCGAAGAACGTATCGAATGAAGAGGCAGATAGCGCTCGTCCAAAATATGTTCCAACCAATGATGAAGAGGAAACCAACGATCTGTACCCAGACCTGCCGACCATTTCCATCAATTGCGCCTCCATTCGGTGCCAGAGCAAATGCAGCAGTGCCTTCACTGGTCGCGAAGAGACCAGTGAGGAACCCACCGACAATGCCGCCCACCAAATGAGTGTGAAAGTCGCCAACAACATCGTCAGCAAAATCCAAGAACCATTTCTGCTTTCCAAGAATGTTCATCGACATCCATGGAATTGAGCCAGAACAAAATCCGATGATAATAGCCCCCCATCCTGCAACAAATCCTGCCGCTGGAGTTATTGCCACTAGACCAGTGATGATACCTTGTACTGCTCCGATGACAGAAGGCTTTTTAAAGAAGACCAGATCCAATGCAGTCCATGTCAGCATACTCATCGCGGTGCAAACATTCGTGTTTAACACTGCTGCACCCGCATCGGGCGATGCTGTATACGGATCTCCCCCGTTGAAACCATTCCAACCCAGCCAGAGTAGACCCACACCGGTGAGAGCAAGAAGAACGTTGTTTGGATGAAATTCAGTCCGATCTCTGGGATGTCGGGGTCCCACCCAGTATGCCAATACAAATCCTGCTGTTCCCGAAGATACGTGGATGACATACCCACCAGAGTAATCGAGAACACCAAGATCATACAAAAAACCGCCTCCCCATATGCTGAAAGCACCAACGGTGTAGCTCAAGGTCAACCATAGCGGAACAAAAGCCATCCATGCGAGGAAATTCATTCTCGCAAGCGCCGCTCCTCCAATGAGAACCACCGTTATAGCCGCGAAGACAAATTGGAAGTAAACCATTGTGCTCATTGGATAAGCTGCTTTGAGCCCGGCCTCTGGTAGAATCGCCTGTTGGAGTTCGTAGTCCATACCGACCGCGGGCCCTGGGACACCGACAAATGGCAACATCTGCTTGCCAAAGGAAGCTTTGTATGCCCATACAACCCAGCAGATCAGCACGGCTGCAAACGCATAGAGCACCATGAATGCTGAATTTATTGCCCACTTCTTCTTGACCAGCCCAGCATATATGATCATGAGCCCCGGTACAGATTGCAAGCCGACGAGAGTCGCTGCAGTGAGCTGCCAAGCATTATCTCCATTATTGAGCCATTCCGGTGCCACGAGAGTATCGGCTTCCCAACGTCGTCCTAGAGACATTTTGTAAACAGACTGCGATTTTCGCGCGAGTTGGGTCAGAAGGGGCCTGGATGGCTGCTGGGTGACTTCGGGGGGTCCAGCTAACAGCAGATTGCGGTCATGAAGAGCCCTCTTAAATACAAGGACCCAGTTCTGACGCCATAACACCTCCCTTCATATACCCCGTACATCGGCTGCTTATGGAGCGTACGCAATTCCGAGAGATAGCGAGTCCTCGTATTCGACCCAGATCGTGTCATGGAGTGGCAGTGAAAACTCACACCACATGAAGCGATTCTGGCGCCCTACCCACGACCCCCGCTGTCCAAGATCACCATTCACAAGCCTCGCAAGAGTAGCTTATCACTACAGCAGGACTGATAATACTCCATCTCCTAGCGACCGACGTCTGCGAACCGCCCCACACTTGAGACGAATGGCTACTCTTGGTTTTCATTGGAGCAGAAATGCAAGGATCATTTGAGACCTGGGGTAAACCACCAATAGTGGAGTTGATGCTTATCAGAGCTTGGCTCTGCTCTCATGCAATATTTTAAACTACAACAAGCATTGTGAAGCTTTCAAAATCGCGCTACTCTCTTGCCTCAGGTCAATCTTGATCCAAGGATCTGGTAGGATTGGTTCTTGTGGTCCTTATCTTGTTCCTCCCTTGTACGATGCTTGCAGGTATGCTTCGACTAACGTCTTAAATTAGCGAAGGAACGGCCAGGGCGGGTCCTTGCGTGGCTCACATCAGTGTTTTTGCGAGCGGAACATGCCTCGTCTTATTTATGACGGCTGCGTCTAGGTACTCGCAGTGGTTACACTCATACTCAGCCAAATCCCGGGTCCCAGGGCGCCCTCAATGGTGAATCGTCAGTCATGCCCAGGATCGACAAGACCTCCGTCGATTGGAGCTGCGAACAGAACGTGTTCGAAAGGATCACGAGTGCGGTGTTCTTGCAGCATTCTCCAAAGCTCATCTCCTCGAGTTTCATCAGGATAATGACTTCCCACAGTCCGAGTGCCACGTAGGGACGGAGTGAGGGATGGATGATGATCATCCGAGGTTGCCATCGTCCTCCTGTACCCCGGCTCCTTGCGAAATCAACTACCGAGTGAGTAAAGAGCACTAGCTCTCGACCACTACCAGACCCATGCTGAGCAGGTGTGCCACACTCTGTGGCCTTATCTACTGGGATACATTTGATGCGTGACATGAACAAATTACGATCTAATGCTCCTAATATTAATGGTGGACCTATGCGAGTTTGGAAAGGTGTTCCGTGTGGACATATTGCTTTTTCGCCTCTATGGTCTACTGGACCCAGAGACCCCCACAAGCTTCACCTCGGCCCAGTCCCATTGTAAGTGTACTCATAACACAGTCATCCTGCAAATTTCGTCGGTCGTGAGCTGCATCACATGGAAGTCGGGCATTTGTTGGTGCTAAGACGAGGCCTCACCGTCTCTTTTGTCGACAAAAATTCCCTCCTGTTGAGGAGGAGGCTATACGATCTGATTTTGTCTTCGTTGGACTTGCACCGAGGGGACTATCGTATCAATTTGGGGATTTCAAAAGAGAAAATTCCAGTCACAATTGTAGGTTTGAACTCTGCGCAACATGGCTATTCTGGCTAGCCTTTCCGATTATTACTTAGTCGTGAAACTCCATACATCAATGTAATGCGGGTGCACAGAACTATCTAACGTCGCATCCAACATACCAGTCTACGACTCTTAGCTGAAGCACAGCCAGACTCAAAAATGAGACTTCTCTTAAGACAAATATTTCTTGAACCACTCAACACCCTGCTTCTCAGCAGCATCCATGGCCTTCTTGTCCTCATCACTACTCCAATCGCTCCTGAGCGCGAAACCGTGCACCTGATCATCATAGATCTTCACTTCTGAGGGGACACCGGTCTTGTTCAGAGCTTCTCGAATTTGCTCAACAGACTTCAAGTCCAGCATACTATCCTTCTCTCCAACAGCGAGACTTGTGGGTCTTGCGACAGGCGAGATGTCACCAGGGATGGCGAGTAACGACGGATGGCACGCGTAAGCGGCATCGACGCCACCGACTTGTCCTTCCTTTCGCTCGTGGGTTTGCAGTATGGCGTATCGCCCACCCCAGCAGAATCCGATGGCACCGACCTATCAGCAGGCAACGAATCAGCTCATGTTGCCACAAGGGAATTGTCTGCTTCCACAAGCATTATACTACATACCTTGTTCGTGCCAGGGATATTCTTGACAGTATTGATGAACCCACTGATAATCGGCTCGGCAATACCTTCGCGATGTTTTGCCAGCCAAGGACCAAGCGTCGCCATGACATCAACTGTTTCTTTCGCCTTATTGACAATGCCCTCCTGCTCTTTTGCCTTCAAGGGAGGCTCGACGCTCTGGAGAAACTCAATCGGTAGAGAATCGCCCTCGTGGACGTCAGGAATGTAGCAGTAGAAGCCGGCTTTGGCATAGTTGTCCGCTAAGAGCCTAACGTTCTTAAACTTCCACCCAAAGATATCGACCAAGAACACCACGGTTTTCGCAGTCGATTTGTCCGAGGGCTCGGCAATGTAGGTCGCGATCCCGCCAATGGTGTCTTCGCGCCCGCTTGGGTTGCCACTGTGGACCGAACCGGAGATGCAGCAGCTGCTGAGGCCGCTTTGACTAGACATTGTGGAAAGAATTCAGAGTGCTGGGGGTACTAAAGTCAGACTGAGATTCGCAGTTCGAGATTACCACAATGAGTTGGCGAATATCAGGTGCAGTTTGATAGCTCTATGTAACTGTTCACACAAGGTTGAAACTTTCGATTTGGAATAGCACTGTATCTCCAAAGTCAATTACTATGGAGAGTACATGGTGAAATATGAGATCAGCTCCAATGAGCTACGCAGATCACTGCTCAGGTCCGCATTGGATCCAGACCGTGACCTCATGGCTCTGGGGGATGGTCACTGTAGCCATTGACAAGGACCAAGAGGAGCGCAAGATCATATAATTTGTCAAGATGTTTAAAATTTATGTATTATGACGATATGCAGTTTGGAGAAAGAGGGCCAGGTCGAGTGCGGGGTGTATTGACCAAGGGGCCGGCGGATGACTGTTCATCGTGGCGTATCTACGGATGTTGATGTCCGACGAAAAGTAGACCAAGCAGAATCAGGGGATTGGTTTGCTAACTAGAGTCCCGTTACCATCGGGTTGACCATCAATCCCTAGCACCGCTTGACATGGCGCGAGTACCTGAGTTAAAAACAAGTTATCGGAGGAGTAAGTATGTATTCTACTTAGTCAAGTATATAGTATCTCCGCAAAGGTCAGTAGCCAAACCCTTTTTCATGCAGGTAGGGTGGGGTCCTATATTGTCAAGATTATGCAAAAAGTTCTAAATGCAGGCCTAGAGGATCGATACCCCTACTGAGTCGTCAGGTTTATGCTCGCCGATAACGGTGACAGTGATCGACTTGTCAGTAATTTTCTTAGCAGAACACGCAGGTGCACCCAGAGCGAGCTGCGTGCGTTCCGCCTCGCCATCACGGGGCATCCACACTGTATGCTATCCTTGTCAGAGACAGCTTGCAAGTTCTAGTCCTTCTTAATCTTCTCAGCGGCCCACTCGGCCACACCGTACAACAGGGCCGTGGAGTGTCCCGCAGCCTGAAATGGAATCACACTCAAATCCACAACCCGAACATTGCTGGTCCCATAGACTGTGAAGTTGTTGTCCACCACGCCGCCCATGTCGCGCGGCAACATTGCGCAAGTTCCCAAATGGTGATAATTCGGCTGGTACGCCGACTTCTTCTTGATCCAGTCTAGCCAGACCTCATCGCTGGCATCTTCAGGAACGAGGGTGTAGTCCGGCGTCAACGTCGATGCATTGACGATATCCGAGAACGGTGAGGTCGCCACCACCTTGCGCGAGAACTTTGTGCTCGCGACGGCCAGGGTGCCGTCGACTTCGAATTGAAAGAACTTCCCATCGATGGCTGGAAGGATTGTGACGTTGGATGAGGTGATGTGAACACTCCCTCGGCTGAATGGCTGCAAGGGCCAGGATATGACGCCGACGAGGTTGACGAGGGCAAGGGGGACGATTTCCGCGGTGGGCGTGTTGGAGTCATAGAGCAGGTCGAGTTGTGTGCGGAGCAGGCGTTGTTGGACCGAGGCATTGGATGCGCCATTGTTTTGCGCTGCAATCTGTTCCGCGTAGTTGGGAAGCTGGGATAGTGTCTTGTTATAGAATGATGTGGTATCCGGTCCTAGCAGATCTTGGAGGCACACGTGTGCCACGAAGGCGGGCAGGCCGGTGAAATTCTGCTTTCTCGTGGTGGCAGCGACGACCGCGATGGTGGTTTGGTCCTGGAAATTCTCGCCTACGCCCGGAAGAGGGACTTTGATATCGATGGAGTGTTTAGAGAGGATCTGTGGATTTCCAACTCCGGAGTGCTCGAGAATCCCAGGGCTGCGGATTGCACCCGCCGAGAGGATGATCTCCCGGGTTGCTGAGATGTTTGATATCACCCCGTTCTGGGAGATAACTTCAGCTGCTGAAGCCACGGCTTTACCGTCGGCGCTATCGTTGTCCGACCAGAGAATGCGGGTCGCGGTGGTGTTGACAAGCACGATGAGGTTTGAACGGTTCTGTACTGGGTAATAGTACGCCTGGGCAGCATCCTCCCTGATATCCGCATGGCCGTCTTGAGTGACCGGCTGCACGCCAAAGCCCCTGAGATCTCCGTCGTTGAAATCATGGATTGGCGGGATACCTAGCGCTTTGAACGTATCATTGAAGATTTCGTGGATGTCTCCCATTGAGATATGTGGGCTGTAGCATGTCGCAAGCGGACCAGCAAATCCATGGGCAGACTCTTGATAGGCTGCCCCGATGGCGGTGAGGTTGGTTGACGGAATTTGGAAATGCTCTGACTTCTTTGCCGAAGCAAAATATTCCTTCCATCCCAGGTCCAGTCCCAGAGAACGCCATAGGTCGATCTGAGAGCTAGCAGGCCGGATGTAGGTCATGCCATTGATCAGGCTGGAACCACCCAGTCCTTTCCCAGCGCTCCATATGAGGCTCTGATTCCCTCCATATACCTGAGGGACGCTTTCATACTGCCAGTCGACACGGGTGTTCTTCGCCAGGCCAAGGACGCTGGCGGTCGTCACGTTGGGGTTGCTTCTTTCGAAGTTTCCAGCTTCGACCACAACGACGGTGACGTTAGGATCCTCCGAGAGCCTTCCGGCGAGGACTAGACCAGCTGTGCCGCCACCGAGAATGACGTAGTCGAAGGTGGTATTGGTGGCTCGATCAGCCTCAGCTCCGCCTACCGGAGAACTCAATGCCGAGGGAAGTAGTAGCAGCGCAGGCCATAGACATCGAGCTTGCTTCGGAAAACGCATATTGTTGAGCGAAGTCTAGACGGTCGACAGTGGTGTGCTAGAAAACTCCATCATCGGTCCGAGTTGCGGGTTGCTCAAGTATTTGTACCTCCATCGGACCAAGACATCACGATGCAACAGCGCTAGTTGATCGTCGCTCAGGCGCCCCGAGTACCGCAGGCCATTAGCTCCCCTCGACAGAGGTAGTACCTCAAACTCCACACCCAAGATCTAAAGAGGTAGGGTTCTCACCCTTAACCTCGCCCTCACCCTCAAGATTATATCTCGATTCCGGTACTACTATCTAAGCATTTTCGCGAAACATTAGGTTATACACTTTAAATACTAACAGATTACCTAAAGAGTGTCCGAAGAACATCCTCAACCTTGCGTAATTGGGACTGATGGATAGACTAACACCCGTGCTGAGGTTTTGCCATCATCCGAGCCGCTGGTGGTGGTTGGAACGTCAGTATCAATCTCGTCGTTGACTATCGAGACTGCCCAAGATCGGAGTGGAGAATGAATGTCAAGCTTCACTCAAAAGAACCATTTGCGCCCTGGCACTGGGATGAGATGCAGGACTAGACTGCGTTGGACCTCGGCGAGAACTCGTACGCTGGAGATGCGATGCTATCGGCTCAACGCGCATCAGAAATGGGAAAGGTGAGTGGCCTCTTTTGGAAAGCCCCGGTGATATTAACAATCACTTTGGGTGCTCTGAAAGCATGGTTGCAACTCCTCTTCTGGTCGCTGTTTTGGAAGACTGATATAACGTAGGCCATGCCGTGTTGTGTTCTGCGCGATATTCGTTGCTGCCTTGATTCTCAATAACATGGAAGCTGGATTGGATATGAGAGGGACAGAGGAGTTCTGCAGCAAGTGGTCGTTGGGAGAGGCGGACCTGGTGTTTTCTAGAGTGCAGCAAACAACACCACGTCAGGGCTATGAAAAAACACCAAAGGCAGGGAAAGGATGGTGTGCAAAATCTCTGCCCGATGGATTTGTTCGTAGGTTTTGCAAGGAAGGAATGCATCCCATCATTTGGCAGTCAGAACCAATCGCCAGAGCAAGTTGCGCTATCGAAGCTTCTTAAGACTTATCATCTCGAACTGTCCAGGAATTTTTGCCTGTTATTGGCGGTTGTAGCCGGCATTCGTATTGGAAGAGCATCATGCAGTAGAATGAGCCCCTAAAAAGATCAAATCTATCGATCCTGAGTTGGGGTGTTTGGATGTGGTGTTGTGATTCAAAAGTAGTCCAATATGTTGCAGGACGTCGATGTCTTAATTGTTGAGTAGCTATGCATCCTGCTCAAGAGCTTCCTCGTCGCTTCCTAGGGTATTGACATACCCGTCCATAAGACAACGAGAACTTCTGATTAGATTTGCGCTCCTGATTTTGCCATTACCGATTGCTGCGCCAACTTCAAGTGTGCCTGATGGGTGCCCAATAATGGTATTCGAGGGAGAGAGATGCTTCGAAAGACGAAACGGGAGCGTTCCTTTCAATTTGCAAGCCACCCCGAGATTAAGCGCAAGAGTGACCGGCACCGCCTTATGTGCCTGGCCCATCGAGAGAGCTTGACATGCAATGTCCATCTGTTCATCGGTGGGTGGGAAAAGCATGACAATTTTTGGCACACTGTTAATTTGGGGGTCAAGCCCCATCATTTCTGTGCCTTTCTTGCGAATTTTTTCCAGGCTATCCATAAGAGGGCGATTTGCATTCAATTCATCTGGAGTGGCTTTAGGATTCCATCCAATCTCGTAGCCATTGATGAAGATCCCGGGATTGCTCACATCTACCAAGGAAGCCTGGACTGAGAGGTTGTCCACCCTGATGATATCAACTGCATTTCCCGTCGGCAAGGCACTGGCAGTCTTGGAGCCTTCCGGATCCAGAAATGATAGCGTGATCTTAGATGCTGTGCTGGATACCCCATCGATTTTTGTGTCACCAGGATAGTGAAATTGCCAGTTACCATTGAATTTGCATACTTTGAAAGTAGCTTCAATAATCTTTCTTGTATTGGTGTTCCTCATTCGCATCATGATCTGTCGATCTTTGTCCCTATCCCCACCGCCTGTGTCCGAACCCTGACCTTGAGTTTGATAAAGCCCGGCATTCAAGGCAAAAGGGCCCACCGCAGCACTAAGGTTTCCACAATTCCCAGCCATATCTATTACGCCGTCCTTGATTCCTATCTGGAAAAAAGTGTAATCTACATCTGCGCCAGGCTGAGTAGGCGGACAAACAACCATGGCTTTGCTTAAGGAAGAGATGCCTCCACCCATACCATTAAGTTGCCTGCCATATGGATCCGGAGACCCCATAACAGCACCAAAGAATTGCTCTAAACTTTTGGTCTGAAGTTCGTCCGGGGCTCGATCAGATCTCAACGTCTGTTGAAACCACTTAGGCAGATCCCAAAAGTTGAAGAAGATACCTTTAGAAGTGCCGCCTCTCCAAAAGGAGGCCTTGACGGCTCCCTTGAAATGCGCCGAAGACATGGCTCTTCGGGCCCCAGGGCCTTGGGTTGTGGACAAAAGGTCGAGACAGATACGAAAGGAGCGTTCTAGGTGCCCTCGAGTTGTTGTGTCTGCCCATCGACGACTGACCAACATTGTTCTGACTTGTGTGAGAAATTTCACCAAGCTTAGCCACAACTCTGCAGAAGCGAGCTTAACCAGCAATGAGAGAAGCTACTGTGGCCAGCCTTGCGCCAGAAGTTTGAAAAGAAAAGTGGGCAGTCGAGGCCACGAAGCCATCATCTCATACACATAGGGAGCACAAGGAAAAACGTAAACTTGCAACATGTGTACGCCAAATATTGGCTAAGGCGCCCAGCCATTCAAGTTCCGATATACCGGCCAGCCTTGTTCGAGTTGGGGGAGCGCGTCTATAAGGCTGACCTATCACCCACTGCTTATTAAAGTTGCGGAGCGTTGCACCGCAGCGACTCGGAGTAAGTCTGGGCACCACGTAATGAACCAACCTAGTAATGGAACACTCGATTTTATCGCCACCACGACAACTAAATCATGAATTGCCTATTCTACCGGGCCATTGACACTAAACTGATGCATAAATGGTGTTAAGGAGTCATTCAAGTGCCTATTACTAGTAGTATTCCTAGTGGTTGAGCGCGTACTAGACCTCGCTGTCGCCTCTAATGCCTCCATACCCTGCCTGGCTTGCCTGATAGTCTCGATATTCGCAAATACCTCATTGCAATTGATTGCGACTCGCGTTTGTCTCCTAGCAACTAGCTTATCTAGCTTTTGACGCTGAGTAGTGAGTTGTTGTGATTGAGTAGTGATTTCCCATTGTAGCTGGTCGAATGCCTTAGCCGTTTTTTGGAGTAATCGACGTACTGGGCGAGAAAGAGTCTCCTGGGCTGAAATCGACTTCGTTTCCTGTCGTATTTGCTGTCGAGTAAGTGGCGTATAAATATCATTCGATACATACTGAGCTTGCTTGCGTGATGGTGGCGTAGTTGGTAGTATTCGCTCATTTTGGCTAGTTTGAAGGACCTGACTAGATCGAATGACTTTACGAGGATCCTATGAATATATGCTAGCTGCTTTCCATCCCGCACGGATATGAGGCTCTAAGAGGCCCTTATTACTCGCTTTTTCATAGGTTTTGAGAAATCTGCTCTTCTTTACGGCCGAGGCGTCGTCGTACCTTGCTAAGTTAGTAATCTCATCCCGATAGCGGCATTTTAGGAGCGAAAAGCATGCAAGATCTAGTGGCTGGAGAATATGGCTTGAATGAGGGATTAAGTAGACTAATACCACTCGATTCAGATGGCATTGCCATATAAACTCGTATGTAGCGTGGCTTTTATGCCCATTAAGTAGAAGGAGTCGATAGCCATTCGTTGCTATCTGAGGGAGAAATATCTAAGATAACCAGGCCAATCCGATAGTATTTGAAGTCCATCCATTAGGTGAAACCGTATAGGAATAGTTCGGAGTATCTGGATCTGTAAATCACGTTGATTGGAGCATATTTCCTTTAAATATGACGAGACACTATAGTCGACGGCCAGTCGCTGATATTGTCTCAATAATAGAGACCCATTCACGATTTTCTGGTGTTGCTTTATAGGATCGA